AAATGATATGACAGCCTAAAGAGGGCTGAGTAAGCCACCACTGGCCATGACTGAGTATGTCAACAATAACAAGGGCTGAATAAGCTACCACTGGCCATGGCTGAGTATGCCACCACTGGCCATGACTGAGTATGCCACCACTGGCCATGGCTGAGTATGGCCATGGCTGAGTATGCCACCACTGGCCATGACTGAGTATGCCACCACTGGCCATGGTTGAATGTGCCACCACTGGCCATGGCTGAGTATGCCACCACTGGCCATGACTGAGTATGCCACCACTGGCCATGGCTGAGTATGCCACCACTGGCCATGGCTGAGTATGCCACCACTGGCCATGGCTGAGTATGCCACCACTGGCCATGGCTGAGTATGCCACCACTGGCCATGGCTGAGTATGCCAACACTGGCCATGACTGAGTGCCACCACTGGCCATGGCTGAGTATGCCACCACTGGCCATGGCTGAGTATGCCACCACTGGCCATGGCTGAGTATGCCACCACTGGCCATGGCTGAGTATGCCACCACTGGCCATGGCTGAGTATGCCAACACTGGCCATGGCTGAGTATGCCACCACTGGCCATGGCTGAGTATGCCACCACTGGCCATGGCTGAGTATGCCACCACTGGCCATGGCTGAGTATGCTACCACTGGCCATGGCTGAGTATGCTACCACTGGCCATGGCTGAGTATGCCACCACTGGCCATGGCTGAGTATGCCACCACTGGCCATGGCTGAGTATGCCACCACTGGCCATGGCTGAGTATGCCACCACTGGCCATGGCTGAGTATGCTACCACTGGTCATGGCTGAGTATGCCACCACTGGCCATGGCTGAGTATGCCAACACTGGCCATGGCTGAGTATGCTACCACTGGCCATGGCTGAGTATGCTACCACTGGCCATGGCTGAGTATGCCACCACTGGCCATGGCTGAGTATGCCACCACTGGCCATGGCTGAGTATGCCACCACTGGCCATGGCTGAGTATGCTACCACTGGTCATGGCTGAGTATGCCACCACTGGCCATGGCTGAGTATGCCAACACTGGCCATGACTGAGTATGCCACCACTGGCCATGACTGAGTATGCCACCACTGGCCATGACTGAGTATGACAACACTGCCCTTGTGACACCACAATTGCAGTATATGTAACATCACATTCATCGTGTGTTTGTTTAACATAAAGTTTATGACAATATTTCTGTCCTTGGACTTTGCCTGCAGTATCATTCTAAGGCTAGTCTGGCAACATTTTATGGCTGGAGACCTGAGCTCATTTAGTTATTTCAGTAACTCGTTGGCTTCGTGCAGCGGGGTCGGATGAGAAGCTTACCTACTTTTAAACCTTTTATTTTCATTAAGCTTTGCTAGGCTTTGTTTAAGGAAGTGTGCTGGTTAAATAATTCAAAAACATTTGCCCTATTATTTTTACTACGTTCAATCATTTTCTCCCGTAATGCAAGCCCAACTACTTGGACTGGACGGTAGAGCAACGCATGCAGGTTGGTGTTCGATCCCCGACCGTCCAAGTGGTTGGGCAGCATTCCTTACTTCCGTCCCATCCGTCTTCATCCTTTTATATCCCTTCCAAGTGCTATACAGTCGTAATGGCTTAGCGCTTTCTACTGATAATTACCTTACCTTACCTTCCTTAGAGCAACAAACGAGGCTTGGACGAGTTCCAACGTTTGTGCTCTAAGGTTTTCGACCCTCTTATTTTTCTAGCTTCCGATTAATGTTGTTTCAGGGTGACATTAGCGGGTAATGTGCGTAGATGGTGGCTTTATATATAAAGATTTTTTTTTTGCAGGGATATTCCTGCGCGGGCCCCAAGCCTCTAGCTGGCCCACTAATTGTTGCTTGTTTCTGTTTTATTTGGGTGGAGTATGAGTATTTATGACTCGTATGGTCGCTTCAGTAAGATTTTGTCTCACGTGTTTAACAACTTCTGCTCTGTTGAATCCAAGTTGAAATCTTAATGAGTTTGTAACTCTGCACTGTTATATAATGTTCCAGTGGTCTGTCGGGAATTTCTCCACAGTGCTAACATTTCCTCTCATCTTCCGGAACCTGTAAGCCTATTTCCCATGCTCATGGGAATCCAAGCCTGATGCGATGCAAGTATATTTCTGTTGTTCTACTGCTCCCTTTCATCAAACTAAGTGGTTCGTAGTTGGTTGAATTCTTGTACCAACCCGCAGATCCTGATGTTGCAACTGCTGTGTTGTGGTCACTGTACATCTTTTGCATTGCTCTGTTTCTAATTACTTTCTTAATCTCTGATAGACTCTGTGGTATGTAAATGTCTACATTTCTTCTCTTAGTTGCAAGTTTTGCAGCTTCGTCTGCAATGTCATTTCCTATTATTCCCACATGACTTGGCACCCAGTTGATAAGTACCCGTTGGCCTTGTCGTTTGAGTGTTTGCATTAATGATATGACATTTGTGATCAGATGGATGTTATTACATGTGTTCTTGTTGCAAGGTTTCAATGGAGATGATCAACCCGCTCCTCTTCTTAATCTTGCAGGCCGTGCAAGAGTTATCAGGAGGCAGCGTTGGGCCAAACTGTGTCGACCTTAAGCACTGCTTTCTTCTCTTCCGTTTCTTAGATTCATAAACTAATCGTTGTTTTCGAAGTAGGAAGATCCGTATTACAGGCCGTGACGTCATTGCAAGTTCTCTTCAGTTTGGGTTTCCCAGATTCAGCTGTCGATGTGTTTATTCAGGTTGGCTGTGATGGTCCTCTTGAATCTTGTTATTTTTTGTTTGTTTGTTTGGTTGGTAGCCGGGCAAATATTTAGGGAGACGGGTTTTAGACATGCACGGAACATACACACGCACAGCAACAAGCCGGGCTGCATACATGCGATACAGGCACGCAGCCCCAAGCCGGGCTGTATACATGCACACAGCCCCAAGCCGGGCTGTATAAATGGAACGCGTGCAAGTATAATTAGCTTCAAATGTTGTCTAGCATAGAAGGTTATTGATGTAAATGAGAAAGAGAAGTGGGGCAAGTATACTGGTATATCACGGCCCTGTGTAATGCCAATGTTATTTGGTAGGGCGCTGCGGAGTTTCTCGTCACCTTCCTTTATGTTAACATTACCAGTAATAATGAGGGGAAGTTCCTTGGCCTATACATAGACAAAGGACTTAACTTCAGCACCCACATACATCACACAGTAAAAAAATATCTAAAAAACGGTCTGTATACTTTCTAAAAATCAGATATTATGTTTCCTACTCTGCTCTCCTCTCATTATGCTACGCACTAATCTAACCTTATCTAAAATACCGTATCTGCACATGGGATTCATCCACTGCAAATTACCTCAAGCCTATCATCACTCAGCAAAAATCTGCTATCAGAACTATAACAAACTCTGTGTTCAGACAGGACACAGCTCCTATATTTAGATCCATTAATATGCTAAATATAAACTCACTCCGTACATTCTCATGTGCGATCTCCATGTACAAAACAGTGTTCCTAAATGCTGATCTTGACCTAAAACTTTTTCTTGACAGATGTAATAGAACCCATGAGCACCACACCAGAAATAAATATATCTTTGATATCTCCAGAGTCAGACTAAATCTGTTCAAACACTCCATGCAAATAAAAGGTCCCAGTCTTTGGAACTCACTCCCTAATGAATTAACAAAATTTCCAACCCATGCCCTGTTCAAAAAGTACCTAATGTCATCCTCAGTTTCCTACCTTGTGCTTCAACCTCACACTGTATCTTGTACTACCCACTTCAGCAATATTAATACTTAAGACATATATCCTTACCAGTGTATTCACCGCTGTTAACTTACGTTGTAGTTATTTGTTGATATAAAAACCTTGGTACAATGTACCCTTTCATCTTACCTGATATGTTAGATTAAGGGCCTGCTTGAAACGCTATGTGTGTTAGTGGCTTTGCATGAATGTAAAAATTCCAATCTTATATAATCTCACCAACCCATTGCACCTTCTTGCAAATAAATTATTATTATTATTATTAATCATGCTCTGGGGGTTCATCACTTCCAGTGTTTCCAGGGGCGGCCCTGCCCTCACCCTGGTGGAGGCAGGACCACATCATTCCTCTGAAGCAGGGTTCAGCAGGGTAACACGTGGTGGCAGGCTCCCACTTTGGAGGTGGCGAAGACCTACAGGTGACTATTTCCTCAATCCTTGTGGCTGATCCTCCAGGCGAAGCGTACTGTTTGGGGTGGGGCAGTGTTCCTCGCTACATTTTCACATCTTATTCTGGCGCATGCCAGGCACGTACTCCCCACCTACCTTCTCTATTCTCGGTTTAGGGTCCGAGTAGTTTGTTCTCCGACTCACAGTCGAATTCCGGGTGGGACAGAAGCTGGGCGCTTTTCCTATCACCTAATTCACCGGTTCACCCTAGCATTATTATTGTTATTATTATTATTATTATTATTATTATTATTATTATTTATATATACAAGAGTTCTTTCATTCTTGTACAGCCACTAGCACGCATAGCGTTTCGGACTAGTCCTTATAATCCTATGTTCCTTGGAATACGACCCACTAAATCGTTTAACAACGAGATACCCGTTTTACTGTTGGGTAAACAGAGGCTACAGTCAAGGATTGATGCCCAGTAAATCCTCCCCGGCCAGGATACGAACCTAGAACAAAACGCTCGCGAAACGCCAGGAGAGTGTCTTACCACTATACCACGGAAACTGACAATTAAATTGAATAGGTAACCAGGAGTTAGTCAGCGTGTTGTTGGATTGCATCTTGGAGAAGGTAAGTAGTTTGCCCCTTCCCAGGATGTGGAATAAATAAATGCTCTGCCAGGCTTGTGTGGGTTCCTCGCCGCTAGGACGCGTCATCGCTGACCTTTCACGTATTCAAAATTCCCGCTTCACGCTTCCCGTTCTCCTCAACGTCCATAGCCTAGAGCAGGAATTGCGTTACGACGCCCTGCTTTTGACGTTTCATTTCCCACAGGTCACTTATAAACGTCTGTAGACCGCGCAGATCGAGCCCATAGGGCGCCCTGCTGGTTTATCGGGAGTCTTCACCTACACCTATATTGACTGGTCACAAACGGACCAGAGTGCTGTAGCTGCCCCTATCCCATTGCACCTAGTGGGAGTGTTGACCAACAACACCCAGCTGATGGAGGCGTCAACCAGCACTGATATTCCTGCCTCAGACACTTCTCTTGTGCAAGTACGACCTCAAAGTTAACCCATACTCTCTCTCTCTTTATGATTTAAAATAACATTGTATATCGAATGCATTATTCCTTGATTCTTTTGTGTGGTTGGCGATATTCATTGATACTTAGGTTGTTTACAAACAAGAATGGCAGGGAACAGCCCATTCTCAGGAGGTGGTGTTCGCAAGATGCAACTGTATGATGCAATCCTTGTGCATACACATGCTCATATCCTCACTAAACTGCATACACTCCCATAAACATTGAACATCCTCCCCTGTTTGATTGCCAGAGTGCCAGGGTCATGGACGGTTGCTAATATCCATGGCTATACTCAAACCTGAATCTAAATCCTTTATATATATATATATATATATATATATATATATATATATATATATATATATATATATATATATATATATATATATATATATATATATATATATATATTATAAACAACAGAGGTCCCAAGACAGAGCCTTGAGGCACTCCACTTATAACATTTTCCCACTCTGACTTAACCCTATTTATACTAACTCTGTTTCCTTTGGTATAGCCATGCCCTAATCCATCGTAAAATAGCACCCCCAATACCATGAGTTTCTATCTTTTTAATCAGTCTTTCATGTGGCACTGTATCAAAAGTTTTGCTAAAGTCAAGGTCCACAACATCACAAACCTTACCACTATCAACTGCCTCAACTATGCTGGAATAAAAAGATAGCAAATTTGTTACACATGAACGGCCATTTGTAAAACCATGTTGTGACTCGTTTATTAATTTATGTTTTTCAAGATGAAAATGAATGGTATTTGCAATTATCGATTCCAGTAACTTTCCCACAATAGACGTTAGGCTAATTGGCCAATAGTTTGATGCAAGTGATCTATCTCCTTTCTTAAAAATTGGTACCACATTAGCAACCTTCCATGACTGGCACTCTGCCTGACTCTAATGATTTTTTAAATATGGTAGACAATGGATTGCAAAGCTCCTCTTTACATTCTTTAAGCACCCTGGTAAACACTTAATCTGGCCCTGGGGATTTGTTTGGTTTGAGTTTTACTATTTGTTTAATAATATCATCCTTAGTAACTGTTAGACTAGTCAACCTGTCCTCGTCCCCACCCACATAGACTTGTTCGGCTGAAGAATCTAAATATAAATGATTTAGATTCAGGTTTGAGTAGCAACATTTGCAAATTTGCCGATGATACAAAAATCGGTAGGGAAATTAACATGGAAGAAGACTCGCTATCACTTCAAGTTGATCTAAATAGGTTTTTGAAATGGTCAAAAGTTTGGCAGATGCAGTTGAATGCTGATAAATGTAAAGTTTTGAGGCTAGGTAATGATGATAGAATTACAAGATACGAGCTGGATAGTGTTGAGATTGCGAAGTCGGATTGCAAAAGGGATCAGGGAGTTATGATTAGTAAGAATTTAAAACCAAAGGATCGGTGCATGAATGTTCATAATAAATCAAATAGGACATTGGGATTTATTAATCAAAGCGCTAGTAACAAGATACCTGGTGTTGTTCTTCAGCTATATCTTACTCTGTTTAGGCCCCATTTAGATTATGCAGTTCAGTTTTGGTCGCTGTACTGTAGAATGGATATAAATTCACTTGAACGTGTCCAGTGTATGATGACAAAGTTAATTCCCCAAATTGGAAATCTTTCATATGAAGAAAGCTTAACAAAGCTTAAATTGCATTCACTGGAAAGGCGAAGAGTTAGGGGTGACATGATAGAGGTTTACAAGTGGATGAATGGCCATAACAAGGGATATCAATAGGGTGTTAAAAGTATCAACACACGATAGAACCTGAAACAATGGGTATAAATTGGATAAGTTTAGATTTAGGAAAGACTTGGGTAAATACTGGTTCGGTAACAGGGTGGTTGTTTTGTGGAACCAATTACCCCATACGGTGGTGGAGGTGGGGTCCCTTGATTGTTTCAAGCGTGGGTTGGACACGTATACGAGTGGGATTGGGTGGTTATAAATAGGAGCTGCCTCGTATGGATCAATAAGTCTTTTGCTGTTACCTTTGTTCTTATGTTTATCTCTGTGTCTAGTGAAGACTAGAGTTCATATCTAGTCTGGGAAGAAGCCATCTCTGTCTTATAGGAATCACCATCCAAAACATAGTCCACAAGAACTGAACAGCACATCCACCTTTCACAAGAGATGCTCAGTATTACTTATTATTTAAATAAAATTAAATTTAAATAAAATTATTTAAATAACAATTAAATTAATATTGTTTGCTAATTCTTTGACCACAGAATGAGATATATGACAAGTGCATGAAGGTGTAACTCAAGGATCAGAGATGTTCAGTGACTGGCCATCAGAACTAGTGCCTCAGCAAGGATGGGGTGATGAAGCTGCTATAAGTGCTTTTAAGGTAGGCTCGAAGTATTTATTAAATGTAAGATTATAAAGGTTGATTCAACCAATTATTCAGGAAATATAATACAGTACTTCATGTGTTTTTTTGAGTCATTATACTGTAATATCATCATATAAATGTATTAAAACTAATAAGTGTATTTGTTTAGCTACATAGTCTCCCCCAGCTTGGTGCCTTCTTTTGATAATTACTTGTACTGCTATGTGATATTGCACATACTTATAATATCTATTCATTACTGTACTGGGCTACATTTTTAATTAATTTGCCAAGTTGCCTGCTGAGCATAATGATTTATATTCCATAACTGCTCTGCAGTATTTTGTTTTCATTATACGATTCATGAGGGCATTATTTCACGATCTGGATTTTAGAAAAGCATCTGCATGCTTCTCTGCTTGCTTTCTCTCATGTAATTGCCCAAGTGTTAAAAAGCATTGCCTGCTGTATTAATATTGGCTTTGTTAGTTACTATTTTGTGCTTCTGTAAAACATGGTTTCATAATATTGTTTCCATTTCAGGATGCAATACCATGGACTGTTGGGCGAGACTTTGTGGCAGGCACTGCCAAACACCTTGCTGGAAGTCTAGGCCTTACCAAACCTGGACCTCCTATTAAAAGCAAGATTATACATGATAAACAGCTGCAAGTTTTAATGCCTGTGAGTAAACATATTTCTTCTATTATTGTTGCACAATTTCCATGAAGAAAGTTTCCAATATTGTACTATTGAAATACAGTATTTAATTTGGTATGTTTGCTTTATATTTTAGATAGAAAAATATATTAGTACAGTATATATCTTTGTAGTTTTGAATAGTTTTGCACTACTGTTTGCCTCTAATAGTAAATAATATTTACTAGGTTATATAATATGTTATTGTACTTTATTGCTAAATAAAAGGAACTGCCAAAAATTAACCATATAGGATTATTTATGAGTGTTGTAATTTTAAAATAAATTTTAGATACAGTATATGAATGGTACTGTATTTATTCTCCATCACGCTATAAATGATTCCCACTTGAAACTTACCCTCTTTGAGGTAATTGTCCTGCATGTAGTATCCTCATAGAAGGAAAGAGAGATCCTCACTTTAATGAGACAATCAAAATCCTCAGATTGGGCAAAATTGTAATTAATTTTGTTAATAAAGATGTTAATAATAAAGAAATGCCATTTGATATTTCACTACTATTTGCACCTGTACTATAGTGCAGTGTCATCTGTTCTGGTGTCTATTCTGAGATTTAGGCAACAGGCCAGGTATTGGAACAGGTTAGGTTTTTCAGTTAGGTTTTATCAGTGCCATGTTTTTCCCCAGAATGAGAGTCGCCAGTCATTTTACATGTAGGTCGTAAATAGTGTTGGGTGCACAAGTGCAAAGGGGGTGATGGAATGAGACCTAATTAGACCACCCTGCCCAGGATTCAAATCCAGATTCTTGTGCTTGTGAGGAGAGAGTACCAACTACTTCACTACATAGTGCATCAAATGTGGAGATAATTTCTTTTTTTTTTTTTACTTTTTGGGGCAGTGTTTATTGAAATTTTATCCATTGGATATGTTGCACTTTATGATGTCAAAGTCTCAGTTGCATTGAGTCAATACTCTATCACATTTATTTACCTTTGAATTTGAGGAAATATCGAGACAGAACTTTTTATTTTGTTTATTTTTTTAAATACAAGTACAGTATAATTCTTTGCATATCTGAAAACTGTATTAAACATTGGTACAAACGACTTTCAAATGTGGTAACAAATACTGAGTTTACTGCCATGACAAAGTATATCCACTTGACAGCTAAATGAACTGCAGAGGTTCTAATCCTGGTTCTAATCCTGGTTTTATACATGTGTATAGTTATTTCATAAATTCAGCTGTAACTTAGTTATGGGTATTTTGATCTTTACAGGCTCTTGGGCATGGATTGAGCTTCCCACTCTCAGAGATAGACATCCTGCGAGACTGTGTGAGTGTCTATTGTGAATGGCTCTCGGCACTTCTACCAAACCCCAAGAGCAGTGTTCCTGGCCCAATTCTTAATGATCCAAATCACTATGCTAGAATAATAATTAATCATTTTTACTATCTCTTTGTTCCGAGAGGAGCACAAGGTAAGTGCTTAATATGCATATTGTATTGTTTTATTCAAGGTTGTAATATATCACTGTTTTATTGACTAGCATTTGTAAAATATGAATTGTAAGCATTTGTAAAATATGAATATGTTGGAATCAAAGGAATAGAGCATACACAATTCCAGTCTAAAAATAAAATGAAGAAATATGTAATTTCAGGACCGGATGTCATAAATCGGCAGGCGGTTTTGTGTCATCGAGTACTTCGTACATTGCAGAATATTGCACAAAATTCTCCCTGCCTTAGTGAAGACACATGGCAGACATTACTTTTGTTTCTGTTGCATATAAACTCTGCACTATTGTCTCCTCCAACCATCAAAGGTAGAGTTAGCACCAGTTCATTTCCTCTCTGTATTTGGTAATTTGCATTAATATAGGAATGTTGCAAATTTTATTTGGAACATGTTCACAAAATGTTACTGTAACTTGTCATCTCTGAAATATAGATATTTGATACAGAATATGTTTTAGAAAACTAGCTCTTATTGATTTAGCACCATTTTTTAATTCATGTCGGCTGCCTGTGGGTTAATATAACCAACTTGTTACAAACAGGTAACTGAATAAATTAATGTTTGAATTTTTTCATTATACAGTAATTATTATTTATATGCATACAATTATTATTTATATATTATTTGTGTACAGTATTTGAATATGCTATAACATATTATATTGTACACTATAAAAAAAAATCCAGAAAATATTTTGTCACAGGGGCAATTATTTGTAAAGACTGTGTCTGGAACAATATAAAGCAGATTTTGGAGGTTGCAGCATACTGACCACGATTGTATTTTTTGCGCAAGTGCAATTTGACCTCTCGTTATTCGAACATCTTCACTGGCTTTTCTTCTGATGTTCAGTATCTTTATTTTGGAGTTAAAGCCATGTTGTGCGGTAAGGATAATAAAGCAGAATTATTAAAAAAACATGACCATGACTGGGGAGGAAAAGGGGTAATGACAAAGGAGTGTCATTGGTTCTAATGATGATTCTGATATGAAAGCAAATGAAACAGATCATGTATTTTGTGAATAAAATGGAGATCAGTCATGGAAAGAGAAGCAACCTAAAAATTTAAACCTTCTAAGCACGAGGATTTAGATTTATCTTTGTTTACCCGAGAGCCCCTAATGCTACTGGCCTCAATGAGTACAGGAAGCCGGTGGCTTGTCAAAGGTACCCCCCATTTGCCTTGATCTTTTCCAGCTGTAAATGATATAGATGATGCAGTTTACCAATTTATGCAGCACTGTAACATGAGGCTGGCTGTTAGTGGTGGAAAGTTAGCCAGTAGCTGATAGAATTGCATTAACCATGGGCACTGAGGCCTTCAAGGTCTTTTCTGAGTGACAGCAGAAGTTTAACAGACATCATGACATAGTAATATACTCTAAATGCATTTTGCTGCTGGTGGGTTATTGAAACCACACTGTTTCATAAAAGAGAAATTAATGTTTTGTGTTCTTTTCATGTATAATTACAATTTATTTGCATATAAAGTGATTATTTATACATTATTTGTAATGTATATCTGAATATGCTCTAACATATTATAACATCTACATCTATAAAAGGGAATACCTGTCTGGTGTGTTTGCTTGTGCGAGGCTGGAGGCAAGACGCTTTAGGCTAGCCTTATAAAAATTTACAGGATTAATTGTTATTCTGTCGGTGTGTGTAGGGGGAGATTGAGAGGATGTGTGGGTTCCGGATAGACCTGGGCACCACCAGGTACCCCATCTAGTTAGCTATAAGACGGGGTCCATAATGGTGTAATCCAGGTTCCTGAGGTTGCAAGAATCTGAAATCTAGTGTGTTCTCTAGCACAGACCATGAGACCATCTACTAAACATAGCTTAGTTGTAATCCAGGGTAAAGTATGCACAGACTCTGGATGTTAAGCACAGTACCAAGTACAGTATATATGTTTACTGCACATATATACATTACAGTATACATGTATTCTGTACAATTTATAATTTTCGCCATAAAAATTTATTTACATCGTATTGTTATTACAAAAATATTTTAATGAGTCCATCTTATGGTTTGATTGTGTAGGTTAAAACAACTTTTGGCATACAGTAGATGAAGTAGTTTTATCATAGTGGCTTCCTTGCATAGTAAATGATTTGATCACAGTGCTTCAATCACTTCTTAGTCATTATTACCTTTTAATGGCTGCATGTTTTATATGCTTTCTTCATTTTTCTGAGTTTGCTTTAAACTTTAAGCTGCAAGATTGGCAATAATATTTTTTTTTTTTAGGAAAGTCAGCTTAATGAGGATAGCAATATTGTGTATTATTCCTGAGAAGTGGACAGAATATAAGTAGGTCATGGCATTATGAAGAGGTACCTTTGTCATCACTAAATGGTTCTGAAGCTCAAATGAGCTACTTAAAATAATTACAATTTCCTTTAGCACGAATATAAGGATAATGGATAATGCTTAAAAATATTTTTTTGCGTAGCATTGCCTGCTTCAAAATCTGTTGTGGTGAAGTCGATTCACTTGTGTTGACTAGTTACTTCTTGAGACCTGGTATCTGCGCTAGGTTTCCATTACTTCATTGTTTGCTTGATGGCATAGTGCTCAGTTGTTTGTGTAGTCTTGAATATAGGGATTCAGGGATATGCAGAATCCCTGAATTCGGTCCCAATTCAGCTTTATTTTAGGATTTTTTTAGTAGCTTTGATAGATCGAAGACCTGGGGCTCTCAAGAGTTATCTTCTTTGTGACTGTGCCTTTTCAAACTTTGTCTCTGGCATATTCCTAGGTGCTGGGCTCACTGTCGTGTAGTTTTTTTTTTTTTTTTTTTTTATTGTTACTGTCTTTGATTGTACTAGGTTGAATGAATGCAAGTCAAGTAAATACCTCATCTGACCAGACTGCTACTTGATGGCTTTGTCCCTGGGTCTGTTGGTTTGTTTCCAATGATACAGGGTTTATGCCTGTATTCTGTGTCCACCAGTAAATACCCTATGGCATTCCCTGCTAGTTTTAAGCTTGATTCTGTTCTGTGCAGATGTGAATGGCACATTCACCAGAAAACACATTGTGAATCTCAATATGGTGAGTCCTTCAGTGTGTCCATGATCCTTGGAAGAATTATCTACATCTCTAGTTGTACTCACTGGGTCTGTGTGTAACCCAGAAACCCTAAAAGTGTACCCTGGTTTGTATTTGTTGACTTTGCTGCTGTATGCAATAGTACTTCTCTTGTGGACCAGGTAATGCATGCATAAATTCACCAGGGTACATCATCAAGGTTGGACTACCTTTCGCTGTAGTTGTGGACTGGCTCCTTGGGTATGATAACCTTTCTTCCCAGGTAATATCCTGTGTGGAGATTTTCAGGCCAGCCCGGAGGTTTGTTTGACTCTCTGGGGTGTGTATTCTGGGTCCCAATGTGATATCACCAGTCTCTGATTAGATGACTGGATTTCAGTTGAGCTCTATATGCTCCTGAAGTGTGCAACACAGCATGCTGGCTGTGTTGCTCGGTTCCTTGGGTGCACATTCCTGTTTTCTCGGGTGCATAATAGTTTGACATTTTCCATTTCTCAGGGCTAGTGTCCATGGTCTCTAGGTATTGCCTTGGATTGCTGGGTGTATTAATTAGTTTAACAGATGCATTACCATGGTCCACAGATGTATGTACTAGTCCATGGATGAATGCCTTGGGTTCACTGGTGAGAGTCCCCAGTCCTTGGTTTTGTGACATTTGTTTCATAGGCATGAACTGTGGGTCCATGGGCAAGGGCCACAGTGGGGCTATCACTATCATGCTCTAGAGCACAGGGGAGAGATGCATTTTATTTACAATTTATGCGGAAAATATTAGAGGGACTGGTTCCAAATCTGCACACAAAAATAACTCCTTATGAAACTAGGAGGCATGGCTGGAAGTGGAAAAATCCCTGTTAAACACCAGAGGTACATTAAGGTATGCTAAGAGACAATTCTGTCAACATTGAAACCAAGATTTTCCAACACTTCTAAATACAAGGAGCATAAATGGCCAACCTCTGATAGTTTTCCAAAGAAAACTTGATAAACACCCCCAAAAGATACCTGATCAACCGGGCTTTGATTAATCCATCAGGCTGTAAGCAGCAGTTTCTAACAGCCGGGTTGACCAAACCACCAATCAGGAGGCCTGGTTAGAGTCTGGGCCATGGGGACATTGATTCTCAGGACCAGATAGATAGATACTGATATGTAATTTTTTCAGCGACTATTTTTCTATTCCTTGTTGAGGTTATATACAATATCCACTATGTTTTTCAGCATCAAATAACACCAAGTACCAAACAAAATCGCCACAAACAAGTGAGAAGGTGCATGTGGTGACACATGGGAATTCTGTAGGGGTTCTAATAAGTTTGGCTTAGTCACCATTTGAATGTCAACTTCCACCTGTTCGTGTGGTGTATGATATGAGCATATTCTAGCATAAAAATAATATTTTTAGAGACCGTTTATGAGTCAATGCCATACCCTATATTGCATCATCAGATTGTGACTTGTGTGAAGTTAGGCACTATAATTTTTCTTTTACTGAGCTTTAATGGGTTGAAATTTAGCTTGGGATCATTGTCCTCTTTTCTTATACTGTAACTCAGTAGTTAGAAGTTTTCATTTAAATTTTGTTTTCTAGCTGCTCAGTCTATTATGCTTTGCAATGTAATCCAAGTTCTATATTTCTGTGATGACATTCTTAATTGATATAGAGAAACATGCTAAGGTATAGCTATGCTACTAATTAATGCAATATTTGTTTGTCTATTTAAGTATATATGTTAGTGTTTGAAGCTTAACCATTTAGCCTAATATTATCCTGATGCCATAGTTAATCAAGTTATCTGCAAAGAAATGAAAAATGAGAACTGGGAGCTGATCTTGTGTGACAGTCACTAGCCATGCACAGTGCACTTTTTTTAGACTCCCTGGCATATGTGTTATCAGATCCTTGGCTAAACACTGATGGTTTTTGGCATCCATTCCTCCTCACTTGTTCAAACCATTTACCATTCTGTTTGCAAAAGAAAGCTTTCTAATATTTTGTTAGCACTTTTGTTTCCTTAGCTTGAATCTATGAGCTCTTGTTCTGGAAGTTGCAGATTTCAAGAAGTCTTCTTTGTTAATTTTGTCGTTTTTCTATTACTACTTTGTATGTAGTTATCATATCACCTCTTTTTCTTGTCTTCTATCTCTGACATATTTAATGGTGCTAGCCTCTCTTCGTAGCTCTTGTTTTTCAATTCTGGACACCATTTTGTATCATGCCTTTGTACCTTTTCCACTTCATTGATGATACTCTTGAGATATGGGCACCATTCAACTGCTGCATAGTCCAATTTTGGTCTCACAAAAGTCATGAACAGTTTCCTTAGTATTTCACCATTCATGTACAGAATTTAAAAGTGATTTTAAAGTTGGAAAGTGTAGCACTTGCTCCTCGCACAGTGTCCTTTGTAAGTTCTGGTGACAGTCTACTATCTAGAACTTCCCCTAGATCTTTCTATTTTTGACTTGTTTCATTCCTTTCCACATAATTTGTAGATTGTGTGTGGTCTATTTTCTCCTATTCCACATGTGCAGCTGGTAAGGTGTAAGACACATTAGGAATTTGTAGAGTGCAGGAAGTAACTTAGAAATTGACAAGTGATGAACAAGGTGGGTTAGGTGGTGGTAGAGGTTGCATAGATTAGATATTTGCTGTGGGACAGCTAGTGGAGAAGGCATACAGGAAAGATTGCAAGGGCCTCGTGGCTGAGTGGACAGCACTTGGGGGTCGTAGTCTTAATGGCCCGGGTTCAATTCCCAGCGGCGGCGGAAACAAATGGGCAATTTCTTTCTTCCTGATGTACCTGTTCACCTAGTTGGTAAAAGGTACCTGGGAGTTAGACAGCTGTGTGTGTGTGTGTGTGTGTGTGTGTGTGTGTGTGTGTGTGTGTGTGTGTGTGTGTGTGTGTGTGTGTGTGCATGTGTAAGAGAAATATGTGGTAGACATAATAGAGGAAAAATAAATTGGTTAGAAAGGGGGGGTCCAAGAGCTAATAGCTCGATTCTGCAGATACAAATAGTAACTACTGTACAAATAGTAAATACACGCACACACACTAAATATCATAAATGGATCCAGTACCTGGCTCAAGGCCTGAATACCAACATAACATAATTAAAAGCTGTGAAAATGGACAATGTGAGAAGCATCTACGGTATTAAGAGAAAATATAGAGTATGGAATAAAACTGTCATGGTATCCTCAGATACTGTAGTTTAGTTCATGTGTTGCTTTTTAGTTATAGTATGCCTAATTTATTCCTTGTCCAAGGGTAACTTTGGTTTATCATGGTCATATGATTTATATTTAATGAGTTATTAATATGCATTGCTATGGAATTCCCTTTTGTAATTTAGTAGCCTTTCTTGTATATGTTTCTACAATATCTCTTCCTCCATTGTGCTATGTTCAGACAATATTAATCGTGCAAATCAGTGAGGTGGTGAGTACTTTTCAGCCCCATGAAATTTGGATATGGGGCAGTTGTGGTTATTAGGAAATATCTTGAATCTCATCCATTACTATATACCTTCTAATTTCGAGGTCTATCAGGTTGCATCTTTTGTAATTCTAGGTATCAAGTCTAAGGAACTGAATCTGTAAAGAGTCAAAAATATAAATTTATCTTTGACTTAATTATTGCCAGTTCTGTTCAGTACAAAATGTGCTTTACTTCAGGATACTAATCGTCTACTGCCATTACTAAAGTTACCTGGAAATTTGAATAAAGCGTTGAGGTTTTTACAACAGTTGGTTACTCGTGCCTTCATTTCTTAATATTCATACATACTGAGTAGTAACATTCGTTCTCTTCATTCCCTGCTATTTAATTTCTTCACAATGATTCTCTTATCTCTATTTCACATTAATATGACAAGTCTCTTACCATGTTAGGAAACCTTTGTCAACCAATATGTCAGGTCATTTTGTTTGCTAATATATTTGTCACATACAAAGTAAATAGTTTTGAATTCTTAAAATATCTTTCTTTTCATGCATAAGAAGAGCTAGTTATGATTGGAATATTTTCACACTTACACCTTCTTTTTGTCTTTACCTTTGTTAACTGAGGCACTTGTGCTGTTCGGAGTCTTGAATGGAGTATGATGGTTTGCTATGCATGCCAGGGACTGTTGCACTTGCATAGCTGCTACTTCTGTTTTTTTTTTCATCTGGGAGAGCCTGTTCAGTTGCTCTTCAATGCAACAACCTGACTGAACCTTGGGGAACACCACAGGCTTTGTGACACGCAAGGACCTACTACAGACCGGGAAAAGAATCTGTCACTCAGAGGCAAAGGAAAGCCTGGGGATCAGATCATCACAGTACCAAGATAATTCCATCAGAAAGCAAACAAGACTCCAAAACAAGCAACTACTTAGATAAATTTTTAACCCTGACAAATACAAAGTAACTAATCATTATTGCAGCAAAATCACTTTCTAGATACATTCACTTGCCAAGTAGGCTTTAGGCTGCCGAGTAGGCAGCCTACTCGGCCAACCAGCCGGCTTATTCATGAGTCTTGTGTTGCTACTGGATGATGTGTCACTCGGTGGGGCCTGCAATCATATTTCAGCTTTCAGACAAGTGTTGATAGTTCACTCCCTGGTAGCCAGCTTGCAGTGCCTCTGCCACATCAGGATTATCTTCCCTGCAGGATTTGAGATACCTCCTTTAAAGGTTTCTTGCCCTATGTTGTGCTTAGTATTTTACCCCTTTGTGAGGCCTGTTAATGTAGTTATATTGAAGTTATCTTGAGATGATTTCGGGGCTTTAGTGTCCCCGCGGCCCGGTCCTCGACCAGGCCTCCACCCCCAGGGAGCAGCCTGTGATGGCTGACTAACACCCAGGTACCTATTTTACTGCTAGGTAACAGGGGGCATAGGGTGAAAGAAACTCTGCCCATCGTTTCTCACCGGCGCCCGGGATCAAACCAGGGACCACAGGATCACAAGTCCAGCGTGCTGTCCGCTCGGTCAACCGGCTCCCTCCCGGTCGAGTGGTAGTTTCAAGCAATTTACTAGTGTGCTATTTGCATCTTGCCCACTCTTGGAGCTATTTTATCTGATGCTTTAGTTGTGGGTGCATGTGGGTAGTTTGACGAACTGAATAACTTTGGGCAACTTGTGCCTCCCTTCACAGAGTAGCTGTAAGGTTGGGGGTTGGTGTCTGTTTCACAGAGTGCTCTATGCACCTGGTGTGTCTGCTGCTCTATTAATTGTTAAATGGATATTGGAACCTCTGGGCCTCTGATAAGTACTCTTGGTATCTGTCGCTTCCTCCTTTTGAGGTTGGAAGTCTATGTGCTCTTGTTCTTGGGCTGTCTTTTCCGTGTTTTTTTTTTTCGAGTTGACTTTTTTTCAGATTGGTTGGCTTCCTCTTCTGAGGCTCTGTGGTGAGATAACATTGGGAAGCTACCGAGAGGGGCCCTCCCAGAAATAGTTGAATATAATAAGTCCTCTTTCTGGTAAGCTACTTAGTAGGTCCCTGCCCTGTTCTCTCCTTTCATGTAGAGGTAGGCAGGTTGTCTTCTAGTACCACTTGTGAATGAGCTGGCTGACTGGCCAGGACCTGGATTGCTTGGGCATTCATCCAGTGGTGAACAAGTGTATCGAGTGGTGATTTCACCACAGTAATGATTGTTTGCATTATCATCAGGGTTACACATTTTTATAAGCAGTTAGTTGTTTTGGAGCACTTTACTTCATGGTATTTTCATGGTATTGTGGGTGTCTGATCCCCAGGCTCCTTTTCACCTCTTTGAGAAGTGCAGATTCTGGTCCCTCTTAAGTCACAGAGCCTGCTGTGTTTTCCAGTTCTTGACCATTATCAGATTGTAGCATTGGGGAACTATTGAGTGGCTCCACCATAAATAGGTGTTTCATTAATGCACATTTCAAAGCTTAATTATTTTCTGAAAAGTTTACTTATGACCTTAGATTATATTTACATATTTTCCTTAATGATTGCAAACATGTTTCTCTTCAGTGTTATAATTTTGTTGGATGATGAGCATCTGAGCTGCATGATCATTTACCTTCTTATAGCCTTTTAAGCATATCGGTGCATCTAGTTGTGCGATTGTGTGTGTGAGTGTTTGTGTGCTGCCTAATATAAACTTGTTCCACTCTAGTTCCAGATGAGAGTGAGGGTGCACCCAGTTCCACTCTAAGTCTAAACTTTACTGGAGATGTGCCTGGTATTTATGTACTCATGTTGTGTGTTGCTTGGTGCTTGTTTTCTATCCTGGCTTCTCTTGAGATGCTATCTTGTATCATACACTATCTGCAGTTGGTATGGGATATATAAGGTATAGGTGTTAATCCTCTGTGCTGTGCTGGATATGGTTGTAAGTTTTTATTTTGAGGTTATTATCCCATGTGTTTTGAAGGATCATGTTCTATTCATCTGTTTCTGCTATATCACTTTCTGGCTTGCGTCTCTACTCTTAATTATTTTCCACTAAACAAGAAACATGGGCTCTTTAAGTATGGTTTATTTTATTCTGTTAATCTTTTCCCCTGCTATGCCTGGATGAAGTTGTTAAAGGTAAGAATTAAAGCTTATTTAAATTATTTTATTGTATGTTCACGACATGCTGAAATGTACATTGTTGTGGTGGGTATTATTTTACTCTTATGGAGTCTTGCATTACTTTTTGAAGTATTGTACAGTATAGTATTTGATTTAATGCTGTTGTTTTTTATTTATATTAGAAAGCCAGATGTAATTGAAATTAGAGCTTATTAATAATTAATACAATTCCTAATTATTTTGTTTAAGTCAAAATTTCATAAATGATTATTTTAGTTCTTGTGCAGGAAATGTTTTTTTTAATGGTTTTCTATTTAATTTGTAACTTTATTTGCCTCATAATAATCTAAAAATGCCAGATTTCTTAATCTGGGCTTCTTATGTTTTAACTGATTCTTTAAAAAAAAAAAAACAAAAAAAAAAAAAATGACTTTCAGTAAGTGACACTGCACTTACAATATACGTGTTACAGAGGATGCCGGAGAACAGTTGTGTGAACGTGTGTTAAGTGTTCTGTTTGAGACCTGGCTTCTGGCCTGTGCTCGCTGCTTCCCTCCGCCACCTCTCTGGAATGCATTGAGGTAAGTATCCAACTGTTAATTAATGGGATTTTGTGTAATACAGTAATAAACAATTAAAAAGAGGTTTTTATTGTTTAACAGCATATGTTGTTGTTTGTAACTATGATATATACAGGCATTATATATATACTTCTCTAAGGGTTTTCCAAATCAGTATCAAGAAAAAGAGAGAGAGAGAGAGAGACAAGAGAAGGTAAAAAAGATGGAAGATAATGTAACAAATGTGGAAGATAGAGAAAGTGGGAAGAAGGATAAGGGGAGGGAGATAAAGAAGAGAGAATGGGAAAAAGAAAATGGGAAGAATGGATTAGAAAAAGGGAAAATTGAGAGAGGGATAGAGGGAAGGGAAAGGAAGAGGCAGTGGTGGGCAAGTAGGTGATAGGTACTGTACATAGGTGCAGTGTATTACATGGATATGCGACATGGGTACAGTATGCCCATGTTAATGCTCATCATTAATACAGTGCTGTAATGCTACACTACAATTTCAGGGAAAGTTGTCAACGATGGCGTCACCGTGTTGGGCTCATTGACCAGTGGAACAGAATAAACTTCGCATTGACGCGTAAACTTATTGGTTTTATGTATGGACCCACCTTCCCTGAAATTATGATATGTAAGTCTGACACCTTGAAATTCTGTTGTAATATTCACTTACTTTTGAGAGTTTTATTAAGGTACAGTGTAGAGGTACGCTGTACTATAATGATAATGACATATGAAGTGAAAGGAAAAAGATTACTTAAAGTTGATTCAAATCTTTGAGCAAATGGCAGTTGCCATTTAAGTTTAAAACCATGTGAAATATATTAACACTAATAATATTATAATGTACAAATAATTTGTATTTACTTATTTGCTGGAAATTTTTAGAAGGCATTAACATATTTGTACTGCACATGACAACTGCGAGTAGCACGGTGCTTCTAGTCGTATGAATTGGTAAGGTGCTACTGATTGATAATTGCTAGTATGGGGTGATACTTTCCAAGCTACGTCTGCTTGGAGTGAGATCTAGCTCTCGAACCCTGCCTTATAGTGATTGTGCATGGTGAATTTATACATCTCTAATGTTCCATTAATCTGTCGAACTTGATCCTGAAGCTGTCAATGGAAGTTGCTTCCACCAATTTTGCATTAAATTTGTTCCACTTGTTTACCATCCTCACTGCTTACAAGTGTTTCTTGCACCTATCTGGCTTTTTGTTGTTTCTAAATCCTACTTGTGGCCAAACATTCTGTTGTCCCTTTCCTGTAAAAGACTGACTACCCATTTTGTCCCTTCCTCTCAGTCTGGTCCTTTGAGTGCTCTTAGGTGAAGTTCTTTTAGGCTGTTTTCATAGCTTCTCTCTCTTATCTCTGATATTAGTCTTGTACTACATCTTTGAGCTTTCTCAATTTTGTGTTTCACAGTGTTGGTTCCTTGTTAATGCTCAATATTCCATGGCGGATTTAATTTACATTCAGTATAGTACTGAATTTTGAAGATTTCTTATTTATCCATATGACTACAGTGTTCGATTCTTGCCGCACGATAGAAATTATGCCTTTCCACTCTCGGCACAGCTATGTGATGTGACCTATTGGCAATGGGCTTACCTATTAGTAATTATAGATGGGTGAGGATATTTAGCATGTAAAAGGATGTTGTAATTGGAAATTAATTAACAGTTTTTGCCTTCACAAAATATTGTACTGTACTATATTTCACTTTGCCACTTTAAGGCTTTTATAATTAATAATAGAATTTTCTTATTTTTATAAATGATAAGGTAGGTTCTTTAATAATTTCTTGAATGGAGTTGTAATTGTTTGTAGCGTATTGTTTACCAGAAAATGGTACTAACATTTTTTCTTAAATTCCAAAAGAAGTAATTTTAATAAAATTTCAAATATTTAATTTGTATTACTAAATATGAAAGAAAACCTTTACTCTGTTTACTAATGAAAGGAAAATCATTTCAAAGTTTAGGTATTATAATTAAAGACTTAAGGTTTTTTGTAAATATATGGAGTTTGAGCTACTCCACATGGATGCTCCCATAGGCAAGATCACTGAGCATTTTGGTGGACAAGGCTACGAGTCAGGGCAGATAGACATTCTACCGTGATGCTGCAGGAGTCGTTTTGGAGTCCCAAATTTTGGTATGGCACTCATGATTACAAGAGACACATTGGGGCTTGTACATTATTTATCTGCTATTGATTTTTTTGTTAAGGATGATTTTTGCATCCTCATTCCAGCCTTTTTCTTATCTATAACACCTTGTTCTTGCACACACCAGAGTTGTATATTAATATGCCTTATACCAATCTGTTTAATAAACATTTACAGAGAATGACTGATCGCTCGTCGTTTTTTCCTCTTTTCCCCACTTTCGTGTGGTGGGGAGGTATCAGCACATGAAAAAATGGAGGGAACGATAGTGAAAGGAGGTTATATGCATTACAAAGTAGCACTCTCCCATTTATTATATCATCCACACTATAACATCAGGGCTAACTAATCGACACCTTTTCAGCAATTATCCACAGTTAAAACCCACTTTTTCATAGCAGGTGTACAGTGCTCCTTGTGAGTTGTCATGTATGATACAAACAAACTTCTTCGCTCCCTCCTTATAATCCTCGGCCACCCAGTAAGTTTAATTTGTGAATCTTTTCAGCTGCTGAAGATGACCTTAATATTATTCCTACAAACATGAGCAGAGACTGCATTGCACAAGTCTGGTACCGTATTTTACATATCATAGGTGAGTCTCCTTTGGATTTATGTGCATAGTTATTCTTTACTTCATTAGCATCTTTTTCTGGGCATGTGTATATTTTTGCACCAAGTGATGTTAAGCACTGGTCATTTATCCATTCATCCTCCTGTTTGAGCCAAATATTTAGCTTTCCTACATATTGTGAAATATTATTGCTAACAAAAAATACTGGACAGTTGAAGTTTAATCTTGGGGCCAGTAGAATAAAGTTCATGGTAATAATTATTGCAAATAAAAAATTGGTGTATGCTCTTTAACTTTAATTACACTTGATGCATTAATTAGAAAACTTGACAATGTTGCCAGGGTACCACTACAGTAGGAAGGATGGAGCTGTACTTAGGTTTTATAAGAAAAATCAAGGTTACATTTAGTCAAAATGGTTTCTGCTCGCCTAAACCTCCCCCTCTTTTGTTGCTTTTATTGACATAGTCCAAGTTGTTAGGTAATATTTCCACAAGTATATTGGCATGTGCCTCGGCAAACAAGCAGATAACATTATTGGAGGGTAGGGGTCATGTTTGCTCTTGTGAAAATATTGTACATTAAAATGTCATATAAAATACAAATTTAATTTGAAATGTGAAAAGTAAAGCATTTTAGTTTAGAATGGCCCCTATCTAAGTGGGCCCTCAGTTGGAACCCATACCCAAAGGTGAAGTCCTCCCAGGATAAACAAATCCACAAGGGCCGTGACGAGGATTCGAACCTGCGTCCGAGAGCATCCCAGACGCTGCCTTACCCAGGATCCTCCCAGAATACTTCTCACACTCGCACACAGGGCTCCCTATCATTTTGATAAATTACATGACTGAAAGGAATATACCAACCAGGTTTGGGTATGTTGAATGAAAGGATGATGGTTGACTAGTAAAAATAATGTATACGGGTGAACTTGAGGGTAGGAAGTTGATGCGAGGACGTTGTGATTGTGTGAAGGAAGTGGTAGGGAGTGAAGAATGCATAGGGTAAGGATTGTGACTGAGTGGAAATGGTTTGAACAAAGACTGTGTGTTTATTTGAACTGTAACATTCTGTATATGATAATTCATTAGGAATATTGCACAACTGGTTGTATGTAGTAGTAGTGTGGTGTTGTGGATGACTATGCTGGAGTGTGGTATTGTGGATGACTATGCTGGAGTGTGAATGATATAATGAATTATACTTTTCTTTTTAATACCTATAGCTTTCACTATACCTGATATTTACTTTCTTCAACACATACACACAAACACATGAACACACACACACACACACACACACACACACACACACACACACACACACACACACACACACACACACACACACACACACACACACACACACACACACGCACACACATGTGATGGGAGCTTATGATAATGAAGGATTAGTGAATATTTCTTGACATTTAAAATTCTGTACATCTGATAATCTTGTTGAGGTTGTCAGAAGTTAATGATTTGAAATTATGTTGAAAGCTTGAGATCAGTACGACTCCTAAATTTTTCTCTGTCTCAGGAAACCCAGTGGATCTGAGTCGGCATACTGTCATCAGCAAAACACCAGCTTTCCTCAAGTATGCTATCTCATCGGCCCTGGTGATTGAGCCCAGCCAGCATCCTTGTCTCCAGATGTTGCCTTCTATATTCCTCTCTGCAATGAAAGGAGTATCAGGATTAGTGGATGCCTTCTTAGGTAATGTATATAGATATATTGTATGTTTTCATATTGGATTTCCCCTTAGTTTTGTCAGAAATTGTTTTTCCGCTGTTCTGAGAGGAATATGATAATTTGTTTTACTATTGTTAGGGTCATACAACCTGTTGTAGGGGAAGATTCAGTGATTTTCCAAACATTGGCTTATTGCAGTACAGTATATTGCATTGCATTATAAACTGCTTTGCGATTTTATGTATTGAAGATATTCAAAAGCTGTGTTGTTTTGGCACTCAATTTATATGTATTGTAATGTATACTAAGTTATATACATTTTTCTGTGTAGGAAAAAAGATATTGCAAGGTGTAAAAAAAAATTGACATATAATTATTTATACTGTGATGTATCTGTTGTAGGTGTTCCCAACACATCACTAGATACTCTCAATCAAAAAGGTCGGCAAATCTCCCCATCATCTTCATTTTCTTTGTCTTCAGAGAGTAAAGGTAAGAGGGTTTTGATGGTACTCAGTCTATAATGGTGCTAATTTTATTTTTCTCTTTTTAAAGTTTCACTTAAAAACTAGAATTCAAGTTACTGTAACTGATACACTATAAAAAAAAAACTGTGTGGATTGTTGGGTGGGTGTGTGTACTGGTGGGTATCTCAGTAGCTCTCTGAGCATTGTACTGGTATTCCTGTCAAACCCTCAGTACCACACCAGGTTTCAATGATTCATGAAAACTGTGCAGAGAACAAAACACTAAAAGATCAAATGCTAGGCCATTTGCAGAGGCCAACACCACAGAAACCAGAAAAAAGAAGATTAGAACTGCCCTGAACAAGGCAAAATCCATTGGAGAGCAGTCTCCAATGGATTGCCCTCCATTGCACAGACAGGTGTGGGAAGTTGATGAGATGAAGGCTTAGTGGTTTTGAGTTTTGTCTGGTGATTCAGTTGTTAAAGGCATTCCACGAGTGTTTTGTATTTGTGATCTTTTTTTTTCCCCATTGGGAGGGAAAGCATTTCTTCAGTATGGATTGATCTTTGACTCCTACGTGCTGGTATTTGCTCATGATTTCAAACACAGCAGTATCTGAAGGTCATTTAACACAAAAAGGCCTTCAGGTGAAGTCGAGAGAGCACCAGCCCTGGGTGGCTGGTGTTGACATCTGGTTGAGGTGGGAAAGTTAGCAAGATGATGTTATGGTTGTTTAGAGTTTTGCTTGAAAATTTGCCAGTGTATATGCTTTGATTAACCACTAAGTGCACCCAGAAAGTTTTAATTTTTTTTTATTATGCTCGGTGCTCTATTTCTGTTCAGGTGGCGGCTCTTGCACATTGTACTGAAGCTTTTAAAGGATTTTGAGAGCACACACAACAATCTGAGTATTCCCTTCTGGTGCTGAACCTGATTCTGCCATGTGTAGTTTTGTTATCCTGACTGTTGATAAATTGTTAGGTACAATGGTACCTTCGTTTACGATTCTAATCCGTTCACAGAGACGCATCGCAAACCAAAAAAATCGTAAACCCAAACGAATTTTTCCATAAGAAATAATGTAAATTGAATTAATCCGTTTCCCACACCTTAAAATATTAACTTAAAAATACATTTTATAGCGAATACCACTCATATTTTTTACTACAGTACAGTATGTATATCTTATCTTTATTGAGGACTCTTGTTCATGTATGGAAGACAGTGAGGAGGGGGGAGGAGGAGAAGGTGTTACGTAGTGTTTGGAAGGGGCGTCCCCTTCCATTATAACATCAGGCAGTGATAACGTTTCTGGGGTACTCTGTCTCCTATGTTTTGCAGGCATACCACTAGAACCTGGTTGAGGCTCACTGCTTTTTGTCTTACTAAGAATCTGTCTAAAGACACTTGTTTTTCCCTACATTTTAACACTTGTCTGTAGTGAGATATCAAATTCATTCACTATGAATGATCTCTTGTTTTTCCTCTATCATCATCCTCACAACTATTTTCTTAGGTTGGACTTTACCATTGACTTTCTTGGGACCGATAGCATGATATATAATACAGAACATTTATGTTCAGAAACCAAAAAAGCGGAAAAACAATTAAATTCTTTCAAAGAATTGAAGCGTGGTCGTCACTGTACGAGATATACTGATAAACAACTGAGTGTGCCTCGCCCTGCGCCCCCAGCACCACGCTGTTGTTTGACCCATACAAGTAACAACAGGCGTCGTATTCCAAGAAAAACGTCGTACACCAATTCAAATGTTATGATGAATTTGACGTCGTATACCTTGGTTGTACACCAAGGTACCACTATAGCTTGAAACACATTTGCTAGTACATTCCAGTAATATGATCTTATAACATTGTTTTGTTATAAGATCTTATAAGATCTTATTTTGTTATAAGATTTTTTGTTACACACAAATAAGTTTTGATTTTTATTTAGCTATCAAGTTCTTTAGATTTAGTAAGGAATTTTGTTTTTTATTTATTTAGTCTTTTTACATTAATCTAACTTGCTCTTTATCTGGGGTAATTTTGCTGTAAAACATGTTATATGATATAGAATGTTAATAAGAATGTTTTGAATTATGTGAGATTACAGTGTACAGTACTTAATATTATTCTGCAGATGATGCTTCACGGTTTCTGGCAAGTGGAAGACCCAAATGCAATAGTATTTTGCATCTCTTTGGCCCTTGGTTGTTTGAGGCTGCTCTAATTAATTGCAATTTACAAGCCAGCCCAGGACCACAGCATAGTAAGTAATGATTGTACAGTACTGTATTTCATAATTAAATTAATGTATTTTGTCTTAAAATTTAGCATCATGTGGGATAAAAATTACCGTATATTCTTAGGTGAATTTAAAATATGATGAAATGGCTTTCAGAATCAGATGTAAGCGGGACTGCCAGTAATGTCTCTCGGAGACCCGTTTCTGTGTTTGGTGGGGAGAGCAATCGAAAATCCAGTGACTCCTTAACACAAGGAGATTCCCATGCTGAGCGTCTCGCAAATCTTACTCCTCAGCACTTCCAGAGTGGGAGAGCTGAGGCCCTTGGGGCTCTCTGCAGGTAGATGCAAAAATTTAATTCATATACATTCATATAACATTTTGTTCATCTCCAGTTGAAGTAAAGGGAACTGAGAATTGTAACTAAAAGTAGAGGGTGGAAATCTTCCCTTCCTCCATTCCCATCCTTCTTGTCTCCACTCCTTTTGTGCCTCCATTTCCTTTCCTTCCTCTGTCTTCCTTCACAGACTTCCTACTTTTCTTCTCTGCATCCCTTCCTTCATTCCCTTTATCTGTTACCCTCTCCTCTATTCCTTTCTCCTCCTCCCTTTCCCCTTGCTTCCCCTTTCCTATTTGCATTTTGCATTACATCCTTTCCCCCCTCCCTTTAACTTTACTTGCCTTCCCCCCTCCCCTCTCCTCCACTTTTCATCTCCCATTCCATCTCCCATTTGCCTTTGTTCTAATGGCTCTGAATTATCAGGTCAAAATCAACAAAGTTAAATCTTTTAGAAAATGCAGTTGTTACTACTGTATATTTAAAATGCACTAATATATACAGTGTATTTGGGAGAAGATATTGATTACAAACCATTGTTAATAATTTCTTTGGTACTACAAGTGCACTTTCTTACACAGAATATTTTGTTCTAAAAAAACTGGCGAAGAAATTTTGCCGGTATACTTGGCACGTTTCTACATAGCTCTGCACCAAGGTCTCCGCCAGGTTGATCATGCTCTTCCTGCTCCCCACCATGATACAAGTCAGAGCTCTTCTAACCGTAGTCATGGGATGAGGGTAAGTTCTGAGATGCTGTACAGTTTTCCTGTAATATTAGGAAGTTTGGTACTGTACCTCACATTCAAAATTTAATGTGAGGTACAAGTTTCTTGAATAATGTGAGGTTTCTTGAATAATTTATATAGTTGCACAGAGCCTAATAAACATTTTAGAAACATATGAAAGAGTATTATGATTGTTTCCAGAAACTTTGCAATTGTTGGATTTTCATATTGAAACACTTTTTGCGTCTTTGAGGGCCATATGTGTCTATAGTACCTAACTCATCTTGTATTGCGAATAAGACCTGCTCCACTCCACCTTCACTTTTTTCTTCTAAATTCAGCCACCTCTTTCAAAGCACTCTTGTGGGTAAACTCAGTGAGCTACTGAGGGTTTCCTCCCAGAAATCATGTACCGAATGTTAGGAAAGTTACCTTTCTGGTGGGCCCCCAGTAGCTACCCACCCTGTTCTCATACTTCATGTAGGATAATGGGGTTCACAGGGAGCCCTAGAGTGAGGGAAGAAGCTGGCTGAGGCTCAGACAACCTGGGCAGCCATCTGGTTGGTAGTTGGGCACATCATGGTTCAGGCATTTACCTTGTGGAAACTTTTGTTTACCTTATTTACGTAGTTTTTTTTTAGGGCTTTTCTTGGGATCCGTCAGAAAGAGGCATGTCATTACACTTGTTGCTGGATTTTTGTTTAAAGGCTTTGTTAGGTTTTCTCTAGTTTTGTGGCTGTACTCTTATACCCAAGCTCCCATCAGCTCATAGTGAGCTAGAATCTGGATTGGTCTCAGAGGTCTGGTATGTTGGGCTAAGGCTTAGTAGCACCACAGTTAAGCTCAGGAAATTATTTGGGGCCCCCTGCCAGAAAGGCATTTCATTACATTTAACACATTTTTACATTTTTACATTGCATTTTTTCTTTCAGACTGGTATATGTAGTGAGACTGCAGCAAGCATCCTGATGAATGGAGTGGATTTGTTTCGTCTGGATCTGCAGGGTGTGGTCAGCTTGGTGCCTAGTGTTTTGGGAGTGCTGGAGTGTGTTCTGCCAGAAGGAGAGCTCACAGCTCCTTCCCATCTTCCAGTGACCCTCCTGCGACGAGCAGCCACTCATGTACTGCTATCCATTCTTCCTTTGCCCCTTCACTTCCAGGTGGGTTATTTTGGGGCTTTTTTAAGTCATCTCACTATTTTGTGCACATAATTATCAAATTGTAATTACCTAATTTTTGTTAATGGATGGGACCTATGATCATGGTATTGTCTTTCGAAAAGTCTTAGCATCTAGAAATTTGAAGTATTTAATTGTAGATAAATCACACCATCCACTCTGGTAATTTATTCCATCTGCTTAAAACTTTGCAAGTTTTTTTGTAGTTTTTAAGACCATTTTGGTTTTTTTAATTTGTATCTGTTTCTCTTGTGGGTATCATATGGAGTTCAAGAATTTCTCCATATAAATTTTGTCAGTTTTCAGCATAATTTTGTAAGTAGTGATCTTGCCACCCTTTTTTCCTTCCATCTACCAGTTTTGGCATGTTACAGCACATCTAATCTCTCTGTATAGCCCATTATTTTGAAAGCTAGGATCCATTTACTTAAAATTCTTTTATCGTTTTTCCATTTTCCTTGTGTTTTCTCAGGTAAGAGCACTGTTGTCATGAACAGATTACTGGGCAATTTCTCCAACTATGTGCTCATAAGTTATTCTGAAATTGGTCTCTGTTGCTTTGGTTCCTAGGACTATGCCTTTGATAACCCCCTATGTCTTTTTCCTTGACTGTTATTACTTAGTGCTTAGTGTTATTACCCTGACATATTGATGAGCTCATATCACAGTTATGGTTATCTTCTTATTTGGTAGGTCTGTATTTACAGTACTCCTTTAGGGAATGGAGCCGAGATAAATATATTCCTTGTGTGAATCTAAGCTAACTGTACATTTCTTGTGAGTGCTTGTTACAATAGCAACAACTTAATTTTGTTTTTCAGGGATTACAGGTAAAGGAAGTTGGTAATAACAGTGGTGAGAGACTGTCCCTGTCACACCTTCGTCCCCAACTTGTCAACCTTCTGACAAATGCTCTTCAGTTGGAGACTGACCCAGCTAACACTCAGATGTTGTTAGGTAAAATATGTTTGTGTGTGTGTTTGGAAAAAGATTGCTCATGGTAGCACTTTTATTCAACCAAATTATCTAATGGAGAAAATTGTAAGAATTATACTACTTCTTACTTACCTCTCAGTGTTTTTAACTCTTGATATATTTAGGTATTCCCCAAAAGGATTCTTTAGTTTTTCACTTAATTTTTGTTCCAAAATTTGAAGTATTGCCATAATACCTGGAGAAATCCTTCGTGTTTAGGCTTGAAACTTTAAAAAGATTTGGTAGTACAATTAATATTCTTATTGTTATTGGGCAGGCTACTAATGCCCACCAGAAAAGGATATTTTGTTGCATTCAGTGCTTGATTATTTGGCTCTGATATCTAGAGACCATCTGAGGACTAGAGGACTAGCAACTTTACCCTACACTACAGTACTGTATTGCAGAAAATTTAATGTAACTTGGTAACTACTGAGTTAACTATAGTACAGACTAGTACAGAGCTGATATCATCTCGGCTACCTATACAGTATGTCTTCTAACTAGCTTTGCTTGTGCTTACAGGAGGACTACTCTTCTGTGTACAAGATGCTGCTCTGTGTGAAGTTATGGATTCCATTTCTCAACTTAACTTTTCAACAGACCGAGACCACAACATTATGTCTTCTGGTAAGTCAGTATTATACAGTGACTAAGAGTACAGGATGTCTTAAAATTTTATCTGGGAGCAACTTGTAGCATATACTGGGAAAGGTAAATAAGGCTTATAAGAAATTTTAGTTAAAACTTGTTAACTTGAACTTTTAATCTCTTAATAGGTGTTCGTTAAATTCTGGTTTGACTTGCAACTGTTGAAAATACATTATGTTTCTGTCTTCTGTAATATTTTCATATATTGCACTGATGTATTTTCATCTGATTATATATTCTTGTAATTATTTAGGCTGTAACATTATACAGGTATAACAGTATAGTAGAGCCATTTCTCAAGTTTGAGTTCCTAGTTTATGGAGTTTTGTATTACAGTAGTGAAAAGTTGTCCTCTTGGATTCTGACTGGTAAGTACATAAGCTATTGTTTGAAACTATAACTTTTGTTATGCATGGAAGTGTATCTTTTAAAATTAAAAATTAATACAGTATTGTATATTTCTGCTCAATACTATACTGTATTTATTATTTATACAATCCAGGTTATAAGACTGCTATGGCTATTGACTGGAGTATAATTTTTGTTAATGAAGTTGTTTCAAAGGCATTCTATAGTGATAATATATTAAAATAGGCACAAAAAATGATTGCCTTCAAGCCCAAACACCATTGTATCTAACTATTAATTATAATTTAACACAGTTAATGATAATTTGGTGACCTACTGGTCTATCTACCATTTTGTTTTGTTTCTGGAGTTGGGTTGTAATGTGCAGGACTTAAGGAGTCTGTAGTATTTTGTATAGAGGAGTGCTGTATAGAGTTTTATTGCTTCTTTTTGTCTCGTGCATTTTTTCTGGTGTATTTTCAGTTGTTTTTATCCATTGGGTGCATCTCTACTCACCTTATTGTGCTTGCAGGGGTTGCGTTTCATTTTTTGGGGGCCCACTTGTCGTCTTTCATTTAACTGATGTACAGGTTCTTGAGCCTATTGGGCTTTATCATATTTATAGTTAAAACTTTGTATAGTATTTGCTTCCACCATTTCTTAGTGCATTCTGTTTGTTCACTACTGACTTTGGTTGAAATTCTTTCTAATGTGCTTGTGGCTTATTTGAGTACTTGGTTTCCACCTGTGTTACCTTATTCAAGTACCACCCATGCAAAATCGTCTGTCCTTGTTTGCCCTATCAGTTTTTCTGAGAATTTTAAATGTGGTAATCATGTCTCCCTAAACTCTGAAGTTTCATTCTTGTAGTGTTTCTTTGTAACTCATATGTCTTGGCTCTGGGACTAGTCTGGTGGCATACCTCTGAGCTTTCTCGAACTTCATCTTGTGTTTGACTAGATAAGGACTCCACATTGGAGCTGCAAACACTAGGATTGGTTTGTCGTATGTGATACACAGATTTCCAAAGGCAGTTCTTATGATGGCTAATCCAGCACATGTTGCTGCTTATGTCCATTTGATTGTTCTTCAGAAGACAGATTCAGTGTGATATAAACAACCAGGTCTATCAACCCAGTTCTTGAAGGATTTCATGTACCATTTGGTACCTCATGTCGAGCCTGTTTCCTACACCTAGTTCAATTATTTTCGGAATTCAAAGTTTGTACATGTTGCAAGTTACTGATATACACTTCCCTGCTATTCAGAAGCTATGAGTTAGTCACTTACTACTGAATGATATGCAAGGCAAATTTAGCATTTAACATAGGCAACTTTTTTTCTGTAATAGTTTGCAAATGCTGAGCACCCACATTATTAAGTAATTTACCTCTAGGCTTAGTATTCTTAATTTTGATAGTGAAAATTATAAATTGAATTCTAATTGATGTAATTCCATTATATTGTTAATTAATCAGTATTATTTAATTTTTTATAAATTTTTAATAGAAATTTGAAATCATTATATAGAAAGAATTAAGAAAATCCATAGAATAAAGACCATATTTTGTATGCATATTGACTTAAGAAGATTTTCCATATTAATGTTGCAGTATTACATTCTGTATACAGTATATTGATCATTAAGATACAGCTTTTACACACGTGTTGTAACCTTGAAATATATCTTCAATAAGTGGCTGCTGTTGAGGGCTTAAGTCTGGAATGTGCCACTGTTGTGTGGTGTGGAACAAAGAGGTGATGATAACAGTGTACAGTATTACAAATATGACATAACAAGCAGGTTTGCTTTACAGTTAACAAACTTATTACCATAATATAAAATGTTAAGTTTGAAGCTGCAGGAGAGTAGAAAGAAAGGTTTGAGAACCTAAGCAAAAAGGAGAGGAAGAAAGTCACAAATACATCACGCAGGCAGGAGATCTGATGAGCTTGGGGAAAGAAAAGAACTTGATGTACAGTATTTTAGGGTCCATATATTTTTTTGTGTACTCGCCTAATTGTGCTTGCGGGGGGTTGAGCTCTGGCTCTTTAGTCCCGCATGTGTGTGTGTGTGTGTGTGTGTGTGTGTGTGTGTGTGTGTGTGTGTGTGTGTGTGTGTGTGTGTGTAAAGAGAAACGTGTATCTTATCTTGAGGTGATTTCGGGACTTAGTGTCCCCGACCTCAACCAGGCCTCCTTTTTGTTACACCCCCCTCCCTCCCCCCAGGAAGCAGCCCGTAGCAGCTGTCTAACTCTCAGGTACCTATTTACTGCTAGGTAACAGGAGCATCAGGGTGAAAGAAACTCTGCCCATTTGTCTCCGCCTCCACCGGGGATTGAACCCGGAACCTCAGGACTGTGAATCCGAAGCACTGTCCACTCAGCTGTCAGGGCCCCCTTGTACATTGACATTTCAGTATAAAATGCAGTATTACTGGTAGTAAGGTACTGTATATACTGTATATACTGTATTGCTATGAACTTTATTATACAAGTTGTGTTTTGTATAACTAAATGTCTTTAGGACTTTCTAAGGCTCACTTATATATGTATCAAATTTGTTCTAAAGGTTATATTCTATGGATTCACTTAGTTGCATTTTTGAGTTGCATACAGTATACAGTACAGTATATTTTTACTAAAAACTTGAATTCTATAACAGATTTCCTGCACTTTGCTTTAGATATTCTTTTGAATTAAGACTACTTAAAAGCTCCTTATTGATGGTTGCTTAAGATTTGTACTTTCGCAGGTGATCTATTGTGCTAATGTTAAATCCGATATATGTATCATTGTTAATAGTTATTTAAGTCGTCATTTGATTGATTAAATGCTTCAATCAGTGATCAGCTTGCATTTGTCTAAGCCTTCAAAGTAACCTTTAAATGTAGTAATTTATTTCTACTTTGTTTGCATTGGTTTGTTATACTGCCTGGTGAATGGTCAATAGAATTTTTTTTTTTAATAATATAACTTCAAATTTATCTTCAAAGTATTTTAAAAAGTTCCTATCTTGATCATTAGCCATGTTAGCTTATGCTTACCAGTTTCCTGAACCTGTAGGTGCCTCTGACACAGTTAGTTCGCATGGTGACTATAACAGCCTTCTGGACGAGAGCTGCGAAACCCTGCCAGAGGGGAGTCTGGGCCAAGTTGGCTCCCCAAACTTCATCGGTACATCCACTAGCCATGGTAATAACTCTCCTTTTTGTTGTTTCTTTCTCCTTTATTGTATACTTATTAGTTTACTTGGTGACAAATGGGAGGCCTCTTCAATGTGGGACATGTATAATCCCAATCTCCATTGTTGTCTTTTGAAATTAATAAGAATAGGGCATGTCATTACTTTTTCTCTAGAATGGTCATTTTATTTTCTTGTAAAGATTTATTTGATTTATAAGGTATTGAAGGAGGTAAGAGGCTGACTATGCACTGATTTTTTAATTGTTATATATCATTCAGTATTAATATCATCAATTTTCATTTATTTAAAGAATTTTTTTACAGCAACCTTGCCGAGTACTACAGAGAGCGAAGTTCAGCCAGTTTTAGAAGATTCTGGTAAAGGAAGTGATATGTAATTTACTAACAACATAGAATTAGAATATTATAGAAATGGCTACTAATTTACATATGTCAGTTAGTATGTACCGGTACTATGAGCATATGCTCTGTTCTATGGTCATGATTATGCTCCATGTGCAAAATATTTTTGCAATTAAGCACTGTACAATGAGCTATATAAGGACATAAATACTCCTGTCTACAAGTAACTTAATTCTACAAATTAATTACTAACTCGTAAGGTTCATAGTACAGTATTACATTATTTTAAGTATAATGTGTTATCACTCTGAATTGGTGGTTTTCTGCTTCATTAATGAATATATAATCAGTTCTAGACATCCAAACCCAAATTGTTTACATTGCTTTGATATCTATCTATCTGCATCCATCTATCCATAATTTGATGCCTTGTTGCCATAAAGGTGGGGTGGAGGGGAAATAATTTGTTGAGGGAGCTATTTCTTGTAGGATCTTGAGAGGCGTTAAATCCACCTTTAGGTACTACAAATGCTTCTGAAGGAGCAGATAGCTTTTTTTTTAATATCGTGAATTTGGATCCAGAATCTGGCACTTGGTGAGGGAGTTGGTGATTCAGACATCACCCCAAAGCTGAGATATAACCACCATAAATTGTAAATGCATGAAAACAAACAAGTGCTTGAAAGAAAATGATTAACCTGTATTGCTCTTTTTGTTTCCTAATGTCAGACACTTTTTGTTTAACCCATCCTCTCGTAAAGCTCTCAGAGTGAAGTAGCCATTTTCACAAAGTTCAGTGACTCTAAGCTTATCTTTAACTTGTAACATAACTCACTTCCTCTTAATTCTGCCACATTGATTGCTGCTGCTAACTAGATGTATTCTTAGCCATTAACTATCTAAAGTTTCTATTAAAGTCAAAAGTTAGAAAATAATTTTTCATGAATATAATTTCTAGCTAGAAAAGAACACACGGTTGGACACTGGGAATAATAATTGTTTTATGAGCATGTACGAGGGCACTCTGCATAATGAACTTGCATCAAACATTAAAAACAACAGATTTTTGAAGCACAAAATTACTTGCCAGCAAGGTTTAAAGTGATTGTGAACTTATAGAAAGGATGGATGCTCAAGAAAAACAGCATTCCATATTATTCTTGTTATAATTATGATACTCATTTCCACTGGACTACTTTGGGTTTGCCCGGGGGTGTAGAAGTTCCAGTTGGCCCAGGTCCAGTCTTAAGGGGAGGAGGGGTGGTACAGTATATGTTGATTACACCAGCAAGTGCCATAAGTGGATGCTGCATTTGGCTGGCTGGCTGTGAGAGAGGCAGTAGATGCTTACATTTATATGACCTAGAATTTGTGTAATTTATTTTGATGAGTTGTTTGCTTGAATTTAATATAGCTTGTAAAGCTATTAACATCTCTTCCTCTTGCCTATGCCTCTTTTTTTTGTATGAAATATTCAAGTTAAGTTTCACATCCTTATCACTCTTTGTACTGTACATATGTTAATAAATTGTCTTCCATGCTGCTTAAGTATTTCATAATTATTGTACATAATAAACTATGTACCATATAGAGTACAGCATATATATATATCTGATAAAATAATGCAGCAATTTCTGTCAAGGCCAGTGGTATCATTGTATATATTTGTAGTAGACTAGGCCAGTACCATCATTGAATATAATTAGCTATACATCTGACAAGGCCGATGCCATCATTACACATAATTAGCTATATGACAAGGACAGTGTCATCATTACATGAAATGTTGCTATATGACAATGCCGGTGCTGTCATTGGCTTTCAAGTATTTGCCTACATAACACTCAGACAGTTAACAATCTGCAATCATTTGTTTTTAAATATCATCTGTAGTACCACTTGCTTTTAGAACTCATTCCCTATGAACGTGCTATATAGTCGTAATGGCTTGGCGCTTTCCCCCTTGTAATTACATTCCTCCCTATGTGTTTTTTAATTTATTACACCTTTTATTTAAAAGATCCACTATGGCCTTGTTCCATGTAGAACATTTTGGATGGTAAATATTTTTTAAGTGAGGAAAAATATGCTAATTCTGTTATCTTCACCGTACTGTGCCTGCAGATTCAGCACATGCCTTGTTTGTGCGAGCAATTTACCTTGTGTGTCACCGGCTCATCTCTTCATGGAAGAGTGATGTTAATGTTTCCTTGGCTGGCTTGGAGCTCCTCTCTGGTTTGGCACGTCTCAATATTGCAGAGCAAGGTTTGTCACTTTTTTAATATTTTGATTTTTAGTTTGTGTGTATAAATGATAGTGTCTATCCTAAAGGTGATGATATTGTGACATTATCTTTTAACTTATTCTTTTATGTTACCCTTTGTTAAGTGTAAACTGTAACTGTCGATTAGTATAGAACATTTTGAGCCCAGCCTAAAATATGATATTTGTTTTTCAATTAAGGTGGAAAGATTTGGTTAAGTACCAGAGTAGTTTGTTACTGATTAATTGTATATAAAGAGAGTGTGCTTTGATGCTTGAAAATTTGTTTGTTTGTTCACATGTTGAATTTGTGCTAAAATGTATGACAAATGATATACAGTACAGTATTAGGGTTTAATTTTCATTATGTAACTAATATTGTGTAGCTTTCTGATGTGACTGATGGTAAATGGGGACTGTCAAATATAATAGTGCAGCATAAATTGTCTCCAGATGATTGGAGCTTAAGGATTGAGGGAGCAACCAAATGGTATAGCTCAGAAAGGATATGTGAGGCATTATGAAAAAGGTCAAGAACTTTGTGATCAATGTTTATATAGAATAAAGGTAAATTGTAATTACAGTAGCACCCTCAAAACTGGCTTGTATTATTCTAGAACTGATCCAAATTTTTATGATAGCTGGATTTCTGGAAATTTTTCCATCTTTAATTATTTATTTGCCATCTTAATTTATTTTCCATCATATTAAACACTAATAATATACTGTATAAATAATTTAGCTAATTTTGTTTAGTAGTGTGTTGCAAGACAAAAGCTATAAGTATAATCCATTGTATATGGTATGCTGGTATATGGTGCAACATATCAGATTGCCATATGGCTTGTTAATGATCTTTGGTAGTTGTAGACTGTTCCTGCCTTTGAACTGATTGACTTAGGTATATGCATCTTATTTGCCAGATGGGTTAGAGTGCAAGCGCGCTGTGAAGTGGCTGTGTGACTACATAGCTTATCAGTGTTCAAGACCTCCACGGGCACATTCTAAGGTATGTCTTGTAGAAAATTGTACAATAACTTTTTTGGTAGCCTAAAATTATATAATCTAATTTCTGTATCACTGTTTGAGGCTGAAATAATTACAAAGCTTGAAATAATTACAAGTTTTTGGTTTATTATAGTCATTAAGGGATTGTTTTCACTTGCGCCTACTGTAAAAATATTAGTGTTACACAATGTGTCCACTGTTGCAGGGAGGGAATGACAAACTTTGATTCATATTAATTTTTTATGTATCAATTTTCATTCTTTTGTTTTCTGTTACATATCAGATTATGAGTTATGCTGAAAGACTACTATTCTGATGTTTAGCCCTGGTTGGCACCTCAGTGGTGCCATTTGTTTAGAGCACTGGTGTAACCAAGGCGTAGTGCGTACACCTGGCTTCTGAGTGATGTACAGTACTTGACCCAAAATGGGCAGGATCATTTCTGCAACATCTTGTTTCTTCATGCAGGGCAGAGACTTTTGTAGAAATAAGAGAACAACTTGCAGCCAAGTGAAACTGCATACTCGCTATGACACTCGAGAACAATCTTAAACCTCAGAAAGCAACGAGCATCATTGTCATCTCACCTGTGTTCAAAAAAGAAAAAAAAATCTTATAGAATGATATATTTGCATGCAAAAAGTAAAGAAAAAGGAAAAGCACAAATATCTAAGTATTTTCTGATCTTGTGCACAGTAGGTGAAGCCCAAGTGGTTGAGTCACTGGGTCCATTGATATGAGTTGCGTAGTTGCCGAAATTTGGTGAAGGGAGATAGGATTTGTATGGTCAACTTGGATTTTTTTCTGGGGGGAGCCCCGTCGGCTCCCCGGAGCTTTACCGGCTGATATGCTAATGTCAGACTTTGGCATCAGTCATGTGTATGGAGTTCTAGGGCCTACCGGGGACCACGAGCCAGAACCTGGCCCCCTCAGAGAGGCAAGGGGAGCAATGGCCTATAGAAACCCCCGTGTGGTTGGAAGCATTCTATGTCTGCCATCGACCGGGTCAAGCATCCAGAAAGGTAAGCATTCCAAAACAAACCCCTATTCTGGTGAAAATTGCTACCTAAGCCGAACTAGTGAATAGAACTCTTCAACAGAAAACACGGAAACTAGTATGACGTCATACGTCACCGCGCCGCTGTCTGCGCAGCTCCCCCCTCCCCGGGAGGGGGAAGGGGGAGCCCCAGACCTCCCACGCCGGCTATCCACCCATCAGTTCTTCGGCTGATGCTATAGGCAATGGTTATGTGCTCCGGCTCCAGTGGTTGTTTCAGCACTGTACCTAGAGTGTGGTGTCTGTTTTCTAGGTGGTGCGTGAGCCGGGTGTGATTCTTCAGTACTCGGGCTGCATGCGCCTAGGGTTCCCTTCCCTAGGTGCCCTGTAAGTACTGCCCTTGGGGCTTGGGGCCACCTTCCACAAGTTCCTTGGGTCCTGCCCCTGCTTGGCCGTTTACTGCTTGGTTTTCGGCCGCTCTTTGTGTGCTCGGGTGTTCTGTCTCCCTTGTTCGCCTTAGAGTAAGGGGCAGTGTTTGCACTGGTGGGGCGCGGGGTACTGTGCAGCTTGTCTTTACCAATCATAGCGGCCGGCTCTGTTCCGCTTGGGTACGCTGTCCTCTTGCGGGGTTTTCTTTTTCTTTTGTTTATATACCTGGTGGGGGGGTCTGCCTTCGTTCTTGCCCCTTGTGTCCCTTGTGTTCTGAGTATTTCTGGTGGTACCCCCTGCTAGGTCCCCGTGAGTGTACACGTCCCGGGGGTTCAGCTCTTAGAAAGTTGTTTGGTAGCTTGGGTGCCGGTTAGCAGTACCCTGCCTGGGATTACCTGAGCGCGAGTCCTCTTAAAGTAAACGCTCGGGACCCTGGGAAACCCCTGGGGGCGCGCGGGTCCGATGGATGTGACCCCAGAGCCCCCCCCTCGCTTCCAGCGAGTTTGAGGGTTGCTCTCACCTTTTGTCTCTGGGTGACTCTCTGTTTTGCCTCCGTCTGCTGCCTGTGGGGTCGGTGACACCTTCGACCCGGTGTCCTGCGAGTTTGGTTGCTCGTTGTGGCTCGGTTACCCAGTTGTGCTTACAAAGCGGGTGCGGGCAGCAGGGGCGTTGCACTTGAGCCTTGGTGGTGGCAACGTTCTCGTGGTTTCCTCCCCGGGAGCCCCGGGGCTGCCCCGTTGTATTTCGTTTTGGGACTTGGGGGTGTTGGTTGCTTCGGTTCCATCCACGCCCCCTTGTCTTTCCCCTGGTTCACCCTTCCTGCCTGTATCCGGTTCCTTACCGTCTGTAGGTTCAGGGCGGGGTGTTTGGTGGTGTTGAGACTCGGGCAGTCTCGGGGAATTCCCCTTCCGGGGTAGTGACGGGGGCATTTGGGCCTGTTCCTCCAGCCGTGTTGTATGAGTCTGCCAGTGGGCTCCCTTCCTTAGTGTTTTCACGGCTGCCCCGGTTTTCTGGTACGGCCGGGGCTTTGGGGGAACGGCTCGGCCCCGGGGCCTGTCGTGTAGGTTCCCGGGGCTGGGGAGGGGCTGACTTGGGGGGGCCTTGGCCCCGTTAGACCCCGTGGGGGGTTTTATCCCCCTCTCGGCGGGGCTTGTGGTTACGCGGAGTGGGGTCTTTCCTCCCCACTCGCCGTACGTGCTGTTGGACGTCGGCCCCTCCCCGGGCTCGGTTCCTTGGCCTTTGAGTCGGTTGGTTCCGTCCTGTGGGTGGATGTTTCCTCCCCCGCTTTTTGGGACGGTGTTTTTGTCATGTTTCCCCGTTCGATGGGGTTCTGCGTGACTTTTGATCTCGGGTGCGCCTGCGCCTTCGTGTGCCTTCGGGACTAGTGTTGGCTTCTGTGTTCTCGAGGGTACGGGAAGGTTTTTCGCTACTTCCCGCATTATTGGAACGTCTGTCGGCTCCTAGTACTTGTCGCCCTGTTGGGCTACTTGTCGCCCTGTTGGGCTACTTGTCGCCCGGTTGGGCTACTTGTCGCCCGGTTGGGCTACTTGTCGGCCGTTTGGGCTACTTGTCGCCCGTTTGGGCTACTTGTCGCCCGTTTGGGTTCCCTTTTTTTGGGCTCTTTGCTTCTTTGGCCGGTTTTATTGTTCCTGCTTCCTCTTTTGGCTCTTTTTCTCGTGCAATAGTCCTGGCTGGCGCCTTCCCGCAGGGAGGGTGTGCGGTTCGGCCAGCGTGTTATGCGCATGCGCCGTGGAGTTTGTTTTGGTCTGGGCGATGGTTCAGTGCTGGGGTTTTGCGCCCTTTTTTGCTACAGTGCTTCGCCTCTCGTTCTTCTCCCTGGCTGCGGTATGTGCCCCTTTGCGCCAGGGGTGTCCTGGTTCCCAGTTGTGGGGAGGACACCGCGGTTTTCTGTGTCATGGGTGTGGACCGCCTCCTTCGCCTCTCCCTGTTCTCCTGCGGGTCCGGCTCTGGCGTCTTCACCTGGCGGTGCTCCCAAGTTCTTCTGGGCACGGTTGAGTCGTGTCAAGTTCGAGCCACCATTCGCCAGGTGAGTTTCTGCGGTCTGGCGTCTTTTGGCCGGGCGCTGGATGCGGCGGTGTTCATATACCTGTCTTTATTTAGGTATAATTTTGTACGACTGAGACCGTTCGCACACCAGTGACTGTCCCTTTATCACCCCTTCCTGTCCCCCTCATGTGCATGTCCAACCCATGCTGGAGTCGTTCAGGGGACCCTCCTTTTTTAATGTTGTGAGGTGTGGGGGTTGTAGGGTTGGTTCTGTACTCACCTGGTGAGGCTCCTGGCTGTGCTTGCAGGATTTGAGCTCTGGCTCTTGGGTCCCGCCTATCTGGTAGAACTTGCGGGATAGTACCAGTGGAGTGCAGTGGTGCTATTGGCACTTTTGGGGAACACTGTATTACCATCAGTGGTCTGTGCTTGTTACACGACCTACTTGCGAGCATAAGCCTTCTTGCTGGTTCGTCCGTGGACTTCCAGGGCGCACTGGCCTGTTTTCGTATGGCAGTTCCGGCCCGTCCTGGTTGTGGGGGTATGTGGGCCGGTGGACTGCTCCTAGCAGCTGCCTGGTGGGCCATCCTCTGGCCGGTCTGGCCTGACCTTGGGCCGGGCTTGAGGTGTAAATGAGCTCCCAGTACCTCATCCAGCAGGTATCGAGCGGGGTTTCTCCGCCGTCGGTCGCCTGGTGCAGGTTTCTGGGCCTGCAGGGTTTTGTCGTGTCTCCGTTGGCCCTGTCTGGGGTCTGCCTGCTCCGTTCTCTGCCTTTGCAGAGGGGAGTTGCTATTTACATGTTGCATGTTGCAGTGGTGCCTGTTGCTGCTGCTGCTGCACGTGAGCATTGGTACCGTGTTTCACGGTGGCGTGTCCTTGTTCCTGTGTCCGGTTGTGGAGTGGCGCTTTGCTGCCGTTTTTGTGCCTGGGGATTGCGTGGGGTTTTTGTCCCTGCCTGATTGTCCACCCCTGGTTGTTCTCCTGGTTTTTTTTTTTTTGTGCTTCTGCTCTTTCTTCCTGCCACTTCTGCAGCAGGAATGTTCTGCGTGTGTTCTTAGGCGTTGGTCAGCCTGTGTCCTGTGATGTGCTTCTTTGTCTCGGTCTGTTGCAGTTGTTCGTGCCCCTTGGTTCGGGTCCTGTTCTGGCGGCGACCCTTCCCCCTTCTTTGGTTTTCCTAGCTTGCCCTGCCGGTTGTTCTTGTTTTATTTTTTTCGGGGGGTTCTTGCGATGTCTCGCGTCGGACCCGTCGTTTCTGAACTCCTGGCGGGCTTGCATGCTTCGGAGTTTTTCTGTTCGGCAGACGTTCCATCTCCTTGTGCCGCCTGGGTTTCGGTGGTCGCGCCCGAGATCTTCTCGCGGCTCCGCCTTTTTCCTGGGCTCGGGGGGGCCTTGTCGGGGCTGCTTATGTTCTGCCTCATGGTCTCGCCTCCGGTTGGTGGTCGGGTGGCTTCGTGGTAGGTGTCCCACCTGCGTGCTTCTTGGCGGCAGTATGGGGTATTTTGGCGGTCCTTCCTTTTCCTGTCCCTTCTTCGGTGGGTCCTTCTTGTTGGCTTGGTTTACTCTCGGCTTGGTTTTCTAGTGGGGGTTGGGGGCCGTCGTCTTGCCACATACTGTCGCCTCTTTTCGTGCGGCGCAGGCGGAGCCGCTTCAGCTTGCTTTCGGTCTTGGTGTTGCTTCTGCACCGTTAGTCAGCTGTCTTGTGCGTCAGTTCACCTCCGGCCTGTTCGTGCGCCGCTTGCACCATCCTGGTCTCTGGTCAGCGTGCTCTGTCTTCTCCTCGGTTGGTAGTGCCCCTTCGGTTCCGGTGTGTTTTTTCGTCGGCTCTTTCCTTTGGGCCTTTGCCTCTGGGGGTCGGTTCGCTGTGTTTTCTTGCTCCTTCGGTTTTAGCGTTTTGGTTGTTTGATGGCAGCAGTCTCCATCTTTTCTGGCGCGGGGTGGGGCTGCTGCATTCTGGAGGGGTCCAGGGTTTGTTGGTGCTTTGTTGGTCGGGCCGGGGGTGTGTCGTTTTTGTGTTCAGTGGCGGCCCTCTGCTGTTGTTTGCGTGCCACGGCGTTTGGGTCCGGAGCGCGTTTTGCGTTGATCCGGTTCTGTTCTTCCCGGTTCGCGGGTGATGGTGTCCCGGGTGGTCAGCCGTGTTCTTGCGGCTAAGCTGCCTGTGTTCTTCCCTCATGCCTGTGGCGTTCGTGGCTTCGCTGCTCTCGCTGCCGTCTGGGCGACGTGGCCTTGCAGTTTTTCGGGCATGGATTTTTGGTGTTCGTGCAGGGGCCTTGCTGCTCGTGGTTCTCGTGTTGTTCCCGGGATTTTCGGGGCTGTGGCGCCTTGGGTTGGCGTTTGCTGCCGGTTGTCTCGCCTCCTTGGGGGGTGCGTGGTGTCCGCCTCCCGGTTTTGTCCCTTTGACCTTCCTCTGTGGGTAGTTAGCTCCGGGGAGCCGACGGGGCTCCCCCCAGAAAACCAGCGTTGAATGTAATGAAACGCCATTTTCTGGGTGAGACCCGGAGGCTCCCCGGCAACCCTCCCTCCCTCCGGTCGGCGTTTTTCGCGTGTTTTGACATCCAGCCTCAGAACTGATGGGTGGATAGCCGGCGTGGGAGGTCTGGGGCTCCCCCTTCCCCCTCCCGGGGAGGGGGGAGCTGCGCAGACAGCGGCGCGGTGACGTATGACGTCATACTAGTTTCCGTGTTTTCTGTTGAAGAGTTCTATTTACTAGTTCGGCTTAGGTAGCAATTTTCACCAGAATAGGGGTTTGTTTTGGAATGCTTACCTTTCTGGATGCTTGACCCGGTCGATGGCAGACATAGAATGCTTCCAACCACACGGGGGTTTCTATAGGCCATTGCTCCCCTTGCCTCTCTGAGGGGGCCAGGTTCTGGCTCGTGGTCCCCGGTAGGCCCTAGAACTCCATACACATGACTGATGCCAAAGTCTGACATTAGCATATCAGCCGGTAAAGCTCCGGGGAGCCTCCGGGTCTCACCCAGAAAATGGCGTTTCATTACATTCAACGCTGGTTTTTTGTATGTGGCTTCACTTAATACATTGTGTAAACTAATGTTTGTGTTAAATAACTCAATTTATGTGCACATAATAGGCAAAAACAATGAATACTGAATATAGGATTAAAATGCAAATAATGTAAACAGTACTCTATACACCTATATTGCACTTAAATCTTTTCCTGGCATAACACAAAGCTATGGCAGGAAATCTTTCATATATCTTTCAACTCATTCCTTTGCTGCTATTCTGTCTGGAATTTTCATCCAGGAATAGATTCAGACACTGGTGGGAAACCCCAAACTAGTTTCATGATATCTGCAAGCCACAAGTACATAATAACCTCATTGCATGGTAAGCACAGTACAGTAATTATAAAATGATAGCAGAATTTTCTCATGGGTCTTGGATAACTGCTACATCCATATGGATTACATAAAAATAGAAGTATTATCATACAGTAATTATATCATTGATTGAAAAATTGGGCTAGAATTATGAAAATCAGCAAAGGGCAATAATCACAGTGGCAAAACTGAATTGCCAGACAAGCCTCTGAAGCAGCCACAGCACAAACTACTCAGAATGGCACCAGTTGGCATTCCTACTAGTGAGAGAGCCAGGAAGTGGGCTGTTATAAACCCAGCTTCTTGATTTCAAATGGTGAATGATGAAAATTTCTTTCTTTCATAGGACCTGCACTCGACTATTGTTGCAGCTTTCCATTGTGCAAGTGTGTGGTTAGTGGCTCACCCTTACCTTCTCCAAGACAAAGAATGTCTTGCAACTGTACTGGAAGTTGTGGAACTTGGCATCTCAGGATCAAAGTCACAGGTACTGTATGCTGGTAATCTGTTGCATTCTTAATTTTAGCAATGGGCTTAGAATTTTAATGTTATGATGATCTTTTATGAGTAATAGTTCATTGTAAGCTTAGTGTCTCACAATACCACCAGACAAGGGGTTAAGCAAATGCATGTCAACGGTCCCAATGCGTACATTGTTTAGAATTTACAAGCCCAAGTAGAGAGTGAGTGGGCACTAACAGCATTGTTGCTTGCTTGGGTGGTAAACGAAGACTGACTCATTATCTGGAACTTATTCAGCCGTCATTCCTCAACAATATTAGCCACCTTTATTTTAAATTTTTCATGTATCAATCTTGTGTAGCTTATTCCTTAGAGTTTAGATGTATGGGGGGAAGGTGGACTGTAGAATAAATTGCATTAAACACCATTTGCTGGAAGTTGTGTCACATGCTTTATTTTTGTTTAGCAAAGTTATTTTATTAAATGATAATAATGAAGTGTTTTAAATGTACTGTATACTTTTCCCAGGTTAAGTCCAGTGATGCCCCTCGTCTGAAACACGAGAAAGAACTGAAGCCTGCCAGTATGCGAGTGCGAGACTCTGCTGAAGCTTTGCTCTCCTGTGTGCTCTCTCAAGTAGGTTGTACTGGAAGGGATTTAAATTTTTTAAATTTATATTGCAGGACAGTATTTTTAATATATTTACGCTAGTATTATCATGGCCAAATAGATTGCATACAACTTATAAAACAGGATGCAGTACTGTAATTGTGATTAATATGCTAATTTTGACCAAGGGTAGGTAAGGTAGAGTACTCAAGTACTATTGAGAAGGGTTCAACTATAGTTTTACCTTAATAAGATAACCTTCATAATACAACGTTTCAAGGATTGAGACTAAACTACAAACTAAATGGGGTTTTAAGTGATTTTTCTGTGTACAGTATTATTATTCTTACCAGGTAATATGTTGTGATTTTGCCTGCGTGTTCCTTTTATATTTCTTCCGCTCATATTTCAAACTTTCAAATTATATTCTTCTTTTTACTGGCATGAAGCAATGCATACAGTTTTTTTGGATAGTATAATTCCTTGGAGAATCTATTTGGGGAACAATTTTACTGGACATAAGTGGGGGGGGTTATTAGTTTTCAATTATTTCCAGAGATATTACACTCAGATACTCCCTAAGGCAAGATCACTGAATATTCCTTGATTATCAGGGCAAGGTGAAATTGTGCACCAACACAACAGGAATATTTTTTGCATCCCGCCAAGTCATGCTGGTGGTGGTGGTAGTGGCACTTGAGAAAAGCTCATTCAAGGCCAAACTTGAGAAGGTTCACTCACAAATGCTCAAAGCTTTTCCAAACATTATGTGGCATCCAAGGACCACTATACTAACGAGCTAGCATTTTTGTAGGGTTTAGTCTTTAGTTTTTTTTTAGCCTAAGGTATCATTTACTTAAAATTTAACCCTCAAAGAGCTGTCAGCATCATATACTGATCAACAGTATAATGCTATTATCATGTGATGATTACATTTTGTGTCAGTGTTTGAATACTGACGTTGTCCATATTTCCAATAACTCAATGGGGTTTCCCAGCAATTGTATGAGGCCTCTAAATTCTTTGTTGTCAGACAGACTTCAACCAGGAACTGAACTACATTCCCTTGCCCAACCACTTGGGCTGGACAGTAGAGCGACGGTCTTGCTTCATGCAGGTTGGCGTTCAATTCCCGACCGTCCAAGTGGTTGTACACCATTCCTTCCCTCGTGTCTCATCCCAAATCCTTATCCTGATCCCTTTTAAGTGCTATATAGTTGTAGTGGCTTGGCACTTTCCCCCTGATAATTTCCTTCCTCCTGGTCTCCCATCATCATATGAAGATCATATACTTACCAAGGCCAACATAAAGATCTTTATTATACTGTATACATGTCTGGGAGGGCTTCCTGTGTGGCTCCTCGAGCTACCCACATGGTAAGCTCCAAACTTAGTGTACCATACCAGGCTCTAAAATTCAAGAGTGCTTACAGGAAGTGGGCCCCCTGAATAGAGGCAAGGGGAATCTGGGGTACTTGACCACCACATTTCTATATCGCTGTTATCCTTAGTCCCATCCATAAATAAATATTTTTATTTATGGATTTTTCATTTTGACTAAATATTGTGTGAGATTAGACAGAAAACTTTATTATTTCTAGTAGGCTACAGTACTCAGTTTTTTCACAGGTTGGCACTTTTCCCTCTGTGTGCGGTGCCGAGTCATTATCATCGCTACTGGATGAGGTGACACTTCTGCGTCACTGCAACACCTGGGGCGGCTCAGACCAGCTCACAAGAGACACAGCAGCTCAACATTTTCGCTATTTTGTTGCCCAAAACTCAATTATGTTGGCCCTCTTAGAACAACCCCTGGGCAATCATCAAGGTATTGCCATTTTATTTTGATACACAGCATGATGAACACTTTACATAAGAATAAAGATAACTGCAGAAGGCCTATTGGCCCATACGAGGCAACTCCTATTTATAACCACCCAATCCCAATCATATACATGTCCAACCCAAAGTTGAACAAAAGAAGATAATGATTTATTGGTTTAAGGAAGAATATTGGGTTAAATGAATTCAGTACATAGCCAATTAATATAGGAACAACTGTTGATCCCATAGTATGCACACCTTATTGGCAAGATTGAAGCTAACAAATTACTAAAGTACAAAAGTGGAATGTGCTGTATACCAATACAAATTGGTTCAGTACAAGCTTCAAGTTTAATACAGCACTTTTTATCATGTGGTATGTTGATGCTAACTGGGCTCATCAGAACAGAACACAGAATCATTATATAATGTTTAGATTTTCAGTGCCTATTCTTTAATGATTTTAATGATTTCCTTGTTATTTTCTTTGTAAAATTGGCAAGTGGGGAGATCTGGCTAAAAAATTTAAGAGCTTTGATCATAACAAAAAGAAATAATATTTTTCTTAATACTGTACTACATATATTTTTAGTGAAGTTATTTATTTATTATTTCCACTCTTTGCTAAAGTGTTCATCATAGAAACTGTTATCATTTCTAGGAGAGTCCCCTCAGTAGGACCCCATAGCTAAGCTTTGAGATGTATCAGGCTTCTTGGCTAATGACTCCCCCACCCCTGTGGAAGCAGGAAATAGGGTAATGGTTGTATGCATCGTATAGCATTGGAGAAGAGTCCTTTTAATCGGTAAAAATGTGTATAAAAAAGACTTGTTGCTAATATTGTATTGATTTGTGTATCATCAGATCCTCAGCCGACAGTAACCGCACTCATCCGTGGGCCATTTGGTAGGGTGGCGTGGACCATGCAGCTGCGTCACTTACCCAGGCATAAATCATCGGCAAAGCTTTACACTGTTAACCCAGGACGTCCTTTGCCTATGAATGATGTAGGAATTAAGCACAATGTCAAGCCTAAATACTTCCCAGACAGTGTTGACCGCATTCCTCTTTGCAAAGCGTAAGTTTTATGTTTTAAAATAAGTATTGTACGGCTGTTAAATAGTAAATAATTTTATAAAAAATTTTGTTGATAAGTTATTAGTGAAAGTAAAAGATAATTTGTGAATTGACTTCAGTCAATAAAAATTAAACAGTATTCATAGCTTAATTTGTACAGTCAATTTTTATTATAATTCCAAAACAAATAATTATTATAATCTCCTTGAGGCTATTCATTTGCCATAAAGTTCAATTCAATCCTGCTTACACCTCTTGGTATAGATATGGGCTGAGAAAGCTTATTTATAGCAAATTTAAATATTTAATCAATCCATCAGGGGAATACATTACTATGTTGTCGTACTTTGAATGTATAGATTTATTTATCATTCCTAGATTGTAATTTCTGAATATTATTTTGGAATATTGGACCTGGACCTTTCTCAGTTGGCTGGCTTTGGTTTTTTGGTTAACTGGCAGAAGTCCCAGTTGGTGCCTTTTCAGGCTTGGACATGGTTGAGCCTGGTCTAGAATGCCAGGTTGGCCTTCCTCTCTACCACAGTTGGCCCTATTGTTGCTGTGCCTCCATTTCTGGCTGGTGTTGGGGAGGTCCCAGCTTTCTCATCGTGACCTTGAGCAACTTTTGGGCTGCCTGAACTTTGCTTGGATAGTTTACCCTCTGTGTTATGTCTGGCTTAAAAGTGCTTACTGAGGATCTTAATTTGTAATTTTCCTCTCCTGATATTCAAGGTTCATTTCTATTGCTCCATCTTCTATCACTCGAGCTGTTCACGGGGGTCGTTTACAGCTGTCCTCACACCAGTCAATTGACAGATGGTGGACTCCTTGACAGCAGTGAATGCACATTTCAGTTTGAGAGTTTGCTGGGGGTTTGGTTAATGCTTCAGTGCATCAGTTCCTGGTTGGGCTTCACTCTCTTCATTCGGATTGCACCCCAGTGGACCATTGTCTCACCCAAGGGGGATTGTTGCATTACCTTTCAATGTGGGATTGAATTCTGTAGATACCCATGCTTCTGGCTTCTTAGGATTTAGTTCTCTGGGCATTTCACATTCAGGGTGTATTGAACATCCTTGCAAGGACCTCCTTCCTAGGCCCTGTGCCTTAGGTCCCAGAGTTTAGCACCCTAGACTTCCAGGCTGTGATGTTTGCTCTGGCTTCCTGAACTGTTCAGCCTGGCCCCCATATTTTCCAAGTTTTATACTCTGCCACTTGTCTCATGGCTGGACCTTACCCAGTTATCTGTGCTTGCTGGTTGTGCAGCAGAACACCGGCAGTGATTGCTGGCTGTGGCACTTGTCATGTTTTACTGCCTTGCTGCTTGGCTTATGCTTGTCTCCATCTTTGGGTTGTTGGCAGTCCTCTCGGATGTTGGCTGCTCATTGTCCTGTTACATGTCCCATGCTTTTGCTGTACTTGTGTTGCACTTGGGTGTGTTACCCTATTGTTCTTGTTTGACTTTTCCTCTCCAAGCGTTGACCTTCAGTAACTGTGTCTCGCCTGTCAACTCTCTTTAAGTTTTTATGTATGTTTTCGTCGTATATTTTCAGGGAGTTGCTGAGAAAACTAGTCGAGAAAGTGTTTCATGTGTAATGAGTAGCTACTATTTTGGATGACCCTCAGTAGCTCCTATTCCTATTTTGTTCCTTATTTCCCATGGGGTTTGGAGCTGCTATGGACTGCTCACAGTGAGGGTGGCAGGCTGGCTGGGAGCCTGGGTTGTAATTTATTTCGTTTCTTAATTTAACTGTATTTCAACATTTTATTTTAAAAAATTAATCTTGCTTATGGAGGAATTTTAATGTCAGCTGATGTGTTCACATTTGGAATTCATACAGAAAGTTGTACACTTACCACCCTCTTGTGAAGTAATTCAATATGGATATTGTACTGTAATATCAGTGTATGCATACTTAAGTGAATGGCTTCTGTGCAGTTAAATATATTTTTCTGAATTTCTGAAGCTATTTAGTTACCAGTACAGTACATATTTTTCCCATACAAGGAAGTGCTTTAGAATTCTTGGGTGATAAATAGGTCTTAACCCAAGTTCACTGTTGCTAAATAGGGAAATAAATATTCTGTGCATTTAACTCAATTTGATACATGTGTTTCCCATGCAAAGAGGATGCTTGGGATTGCTTTGGAGGTCAGTGGGGTCTGAGGCCAATGTTTGTGTATTAGTTGTAATCCCTAAGCCTTTACAACAACAACAGGGCTGATGACATCAGTCTAGTGTAATTGTTACTATATATTCTATAAACTGGTATTGGTTACATTTTAGGGACTTTATCCCATTAATTTTCAATATATAATCTTCATCTACCCATTACTAAAGGTGTGTTAGTTGAATTCCTTTTTATTTAATATTATTCTTATTTTACCTGCATCTTGATGTTAATAAACATACGTGAATTTTTTTCATAATTGCTCTCATAGTGATTTTACAAAAATGCTGTAATTCCTAGCCAGTGTCTTGTAGTATGAGTCCCTTTATGTTTAGGCCACACTGAATATTTTGGGATACTGCATAGTTATTGTAATGCTTATTTCTACCATCTGATAAGTCATTAATGGCTGTTTCATGAAGATACTTACGGTAGTTCACAAAACATGCAGAACTGGACTACATTATTTACATATCAAGTGTTGATATGTAAATATCATATGTCAGTATTTAGTGTGATATTCATGTGCATTGATGTAAGAATTGTTTTATTTGTAGAGTGCCTTGAGTAAATGACAGTAAGTATTTTTATAAATTCTAGACAAAGGGGTCATTCCATATGAAGGGGTCTAATTTTTCAAAATGCACAAGGGTTACACGAGTCATTATATATAAGCATACAGAAAATGGTCTTCAAAACAAGATTTTTGTCTTCCTATATTGTTAAAAACAGTGTCCTGAGCATAGGATAAATATAACAAAAATGGTAAATCACTTTCCAAGGTGATAGATATTTATTGGAGGCCTCAAATACTGATTGAGAACACTGTACCAGCGAGAGTTTTGTAAATTGCAAAATACCGGAAACACCTGAGGATGGTATATGTACCATTGGGTCAAAGATCTGGGCATGGTATGTGCATTACTAGAGTTAATACATGCTTCAAATGATCGTGAGCAAAATTTTGAACACACTAGGGCTTTCACTGTTGAGAGCATATTGGCATTGTAGAATGTGCAGAAATTCATGGTATATCAATATTCAACCATTGTAGCCATGGAAATGATCTTTGATGAGGATTTATAAATCTTTGTGCCGAATCAGATTTAGGACAGTAAATTTTCTGGAATAAAGAATCAAAGCTGCCATCAAATGGCTTGTTAACCAATTTGACCACACTTTAACCCCTATAACTTGGTAAATGGTGGCATGGTGCTAATTAGTAGAGTTATCACCTCTTATAAAAGTCATCACTTGAATAACATGGCCACGACTCATGTGAGGAGATACTGACATGACATTAGAGCCAGAAATTTAATCTGAAAATTTTACCCATATGTAAGCTTAGGTATCACTGGAAGTATCTTTGAAATTAGTTAATCACAGTTGGAAAGATTTTGTCTTTTACTGTTACTCATCTTTTTTTTATCTTGCAAGTTCTCAGTTTAACCCTACACTACTCCAGTCACTGGTTGCGATTGCCTCCTTGTTCCAAATGCCATATGCAATTTTTTCTCCATTTGATTTGTTAACTATTTTTAAACTGTGCAATTTCATGGTTAAGCATGGACACCTAGACTACTTGGAATGGAATGATCCCAAATTTAAATTAGCATTTTAAATAAATTTACTGTCTTGCAGGGACAAATCTATTCCTTCGTTGGAGAGCGTGATCCTGAATGACGAAAAATCTGCAGTGGAGCATGATAAACTATTACAAATATTGGACCACCAGGTAAAACTACATTTAATCTTATGTCAGTATTTAGTTGGATAAATTATGGAATACATTAATAATTGAGATACAATTGAGATTGAGCTACTGTGACAAGACAAGAGCTTTATGTTCTCCTATAGTCATGTTACTATGGTGGAGAAAATTGAGCAGACATTATCTGGTATTCCATATAGTGTATCTCTTTCCCAGGCAGATTTTCTGTATATCCATAGCTTTTTCTATAACATTTTCATAATTATTTTCTGGAGGGAGCCTCTAGAAAATAATAATGAAATTAATGTTGTAGATGAAGTTCCCTGTAGCTTAGGCAACGGTGTAGCTAAACCTTCAGAAGTGCACCAGCCTCATTGACCTACCAGAAGCCAGAACCAGACCTGAATTCTCTGTGAGGTGAGGGGAAGTTTGTGCATCAGAGATTGATTCTTAAACCAAGAAAAATCTACCAGAAAGGTAGGGAAAACAAAACAGACTATTGCCTGAAGAAATAAGTAAGTTCTTAAGCAAGCAGTTGTTGCTGCCGGAGAACAATACTAACCTTGATTCTACCAACATTCACAAGATGGTTGCCCATATCAACTGGGGTTCCAGCCAGCCACCTCACGCTCGTGCCTGGTGTGGCTGAGGGTGCTGTATAACTGCTTGAAGAAAATTGGGTACTTGCAGGCAATGAGGAAACATTGCCTGATCATTGCTATAATGCAAACACCCCTAACTGTGGTCAGTGTGACTTCCACCTGGAGACAGCCTAGGTCATGTGAGGTCTCAGCTAGCCTGCCCCCCTTACTCATGTCTGGTCTAGTCTTGTGAGCTTGTGAACGAGACGTGGTGGATCTGGATTGTGCCTGTATTGCTATCTAGCGGCAGTCGGGCTAATTGGACCTCAGGTTTTTCACCTGTTGAATGTGTTACTGTAATCTCCTGCTTAGGCAAGAAGATCCGGCCTATTCGACAACATATCTGCATACTCCAGTATAAGAAATCAACATCAGCAACAATAACAGTACGTGCTCAGAAGCCTGTGTCTAGACAAGACACCCCCCCCCTCCAGCCTCAAGTACCCGAGACTCCTGGGACACCTGCTGTCTAGAGCCCAGCGCCACTCACCAGTCGACCAGCCCTTAACTGCTTGTTTGAGACTGCCAGTGATAGTTACCTGCACATCAGAGCCATCTACACTAGGTCTGGTCTGCATACTGTATATAGCAGCTCACCACCGGCCAGACCTCAGAATACACTTCGTGCTCTCAAAGCAGTAACATATACATATTGTTGCCTTCCCAGGAGACAGTAGATGTATACAGCTTTTTGTATATTGTATTGTGTTGCACCTCCCTTTGCCCTTAATGTAACTGTCTTTTTTTTACATTTTATATTGTGTGTTGCCAAGTAGACAAGGGGTTTGTTTTATTTGTTATTAAAGTCATTTTTGTTATATTAAATGTTAAAAGTTTTTCATTCTTTTGGAATTTAGCCGCAGCTCTCACACCATAGAAGAGGTCAGAAGCAGTCTTATTTACTTTATTTTACTTCTTTTATTTTTATGTGATTGGCTTAACACCAGCATTTATAGTAAACATTAACATTTATAGTAAATAAAAATGAAATAGAATAGGAATATCATAGAATGGAGTGTGCTTGGAAAATTCATATTAGTCTTTTCAACAGATTGCATTTGAAGAGAACACTCGACGAGAGGTTGAGAGAGAGACATCCGAGTACCCAGATGTTGAAACAGAGTGTGTGGCCCCACCCCTCTGCTTAGAATTTCAGACAGCTCGTCTTTTACTCTCTCACTTTGGATTTTTATCTATTGATGCATTGCAGGTAAAGATATTAGACATTACCTTAATAACAGAGTGATAGTTTTAGTCATTGTTTGAAGATTGCTGTTATTATTATTAAATTTTTTTAACATGTATACAATATTGTAATCTATTGTTATTGCTATGTTTTCCTCTTTAATGGGATGGGAAGGCATCATTCTGGGGAAAAACAGTTTTCTAACAAAGTAAAATAAAGCGATTTTACTTTATCATAACACACCGCTTCTTAAGTGTAACTTCTACCACGCTTCAGAAGTCTTCCACAGTAACAATACATTGCTTCTTAAGATGAGGTGTACAGTGCTTCTTGTAAACGGCCTTGCACATTCAAGTACATTTACTCAATTCTTACAATTCACTTCACCCAACCTTGTTCCTTAGCATATCCCATGTATTATCCATATTCACTTCCCTCCTTCTTACGCTCAAAATTTTTACCCAACTTCCTGGCTTTACTCACTCACTTTAATACATTCTTCAACATTCTACCATCATCCATTCAATCAACATACTCAAACCCGTATAAATATTTATTAGTTTTTCTGAACTTAAACCAGTCAGTTACTCCCTCAGGCAATGTCCAGCCATTACCAGAACATAACCGAAATCTAGATTGGCCAGTGTGACTTTCTATCGCCAACCCAGTCAAGATTCATAAGTAGAAGAATGGAGACGCTGGACTTTTAGAATGCTCCTTCATTTACACTGAAAATACCTGGTTCTCTCCTCAACTGCTTCCCACATCTGTGGGAATTTCCTATGGCATACCATGAAATGTATAGAAAAAAACCATGAAAATATTGATCCCACGACATGTCCATTACTCTGGACTTGTCTATCAACCCAAATGTAGAAATGAGTCTTGGGGCCAGATTCACGAAGCAGTTACGCAAGTACTGTACGAATGTGCACATCTTCATCTTCTTCTTTCCTCAATCTTTGATGGCTTTGGTTACAATTTACAAGCATAAAAACTTCCCAATCAACTGTTGTTATTTTTATAAACAGCCTCCCGGTGCTTCAGAGCACATTAACTGTTTAATAATTGTAAACAAAGCCGCCACATTTTGAGAAAAAATGTGCAGGTTCGTAAGTACTTGCATAATTGCATCGTGAATCTGGCCCTTGGTCATGAACAGTAAGTGTAACTACACGTTATATGTGTGTAAACTACAACATAGTACAAACAGACCACTTCCAACACAAACAACGTTAACCATTCGTTAATTACTTAACCACAATGACAAAATAATAACCTTATTTAAATTTTACTTTGTTTTACATGTGTTGACAGGAATCGGTAGAATCTGCAGTGCCATCTTTAGTTGCTTTGGACTCTAGCATGGCGGGATTTGCTCGAGATCTCGATGTTCTTGATACTACAAACAACCGAACTGTGGATACTGCACACATCTTTTATGTTCAAGCTGGTCAGAGTGTGCCACATGACATTCTCACTAATGTGGTGAGTTTGTGCATTATTTTCTCTAGGAATACATGGTACCAAAAAATATAATACTCATTCTTTTTCTCTCTCATTTTTATCAACTAAGATTAAGGTTCATTATGAATATCGTTGATGTTCCTAATGAAACTGTCAAGTATGAGCTGTTATATTACATCAACTCATTTGAAGCCTGACCCTAGTACTCAAGGGTACAGTGCCAATTTTATAGGTGCCGGAGCTCTGGTGGCCCTGACAAAAACCTGTCATTTCCAATCCTGTTTCTGTAAATGTCACACGATTAAGTATTTTGTGTTTGTACTCATTAATTATAAAATATAATTATCAAACAAATAAAAAACATCACTCCTGTATTTATCAATTTAAGAAGTTAAAACACTTAGTGCTCACAAAATACAACCAGTGAGAAGTTTCATAATAGTTTTCACAAAGGGTCAGGTGTGAGATTACACACAGAAATCACAATAAATGAAATCAAATGAACAAATCCACAAGGGCCATGATGAGGGTTCAAACCTATGTCCGAGAGGATCCCAGATGTGCCTTAATTAACTGTGTCACGACATGGTTAAATGAATTGCAACTGGGAATGCAACTACCCTCACACGGATCCTGCAGTCTCTCCGAGAGATGAGGTTTTACACAATTCCCGCATGCACCCGGGCTCTGTTAACAAGATGTTCCACCTCTTCGCCCTTACTTCATTACACACAGAATTCACAATAGTGTGATGCATCAAATGAATAAAGCCACAAGGGCCGTGATGAGGGTTATAATCGACATACGAGAGGATCCTAGACCCGCCTTAATCGACTGTGCCACAATATGGTTCAGGATGATTCAGGACCAAATTTTGTATTCTCAAATGTCTTGCTACCTCCATGTTTGGCCAGATAGATGCATAGAAAAATCTCCACTGTATCAGAAATAAGAAAGCCAGTCTGACTTGGGCCAGATTTGGGAGTGTTCCTGGGTTAGAAATGATCGAGTTTATTGGTTTAGAAAATAAACCAGTTTATTTTTATTTATAATGTATTCATAAATTAAATTTTTCAGGTGAGCTCAAGTTCCGTACATCCTCATTTCATAGAGTTTTTGAATGGTTTGGGTTGGACGGTGAGTGTTCACCAGCACCCTGGGTGGACCGGCCATGTCTCGACTGCCTTCACAGTTACTTCACCACCACAAGATGGTAATCTACATTCAGTTTTGCATGTGTCATATCTATCGTTCACTAGTGATACGTTTTATTAGTAGCGTGCATAGTATCTTAAGAAGATATCAATACAAAATATATTGTGGTTTTTAATTTTGTTCTAAATAAATTGGATTTGAAAATATATTTAGTTAGGACATTATTGGAGATGGCCATAAAATATTGACAGGTAACTAGAAAGCCAATTAAATATTATAGGGATAGGTGGGATATGATAGAATAAATGTTAATGGTGAACTGAAGTAAGAGTGATATTGTTGTGATGAAAAGACTGTAGGTAATCTGACATCTTGAGGTTGTGGGGGTGAGACCTAATGCATGGTATGTTAAGCAGGATCAGATATGATTAATTATGCTATTGTGATAGATTTTTTTTTACTTTTAGATGTATTCTCTAAGTTGTATGAAAGTGTGTGAGTGTGAAAGACAGTATAACTTCCCAGATGAGACACAGTGCACAAAGCTCCCATCACAACAACACAATACAAGCATATAGTTTAAATGTTAAGAATAATTTTACTACCGCAAGTTTAGTTTCCTTTGATTGTCATGACGGAAATACTGTTTTTTTAAATACTAGTACTGCGTTGCAGTAGCAATATTACTTCTAACATCTATTGTCTGTTTTACATTTTTTTTAGGTCCCATTGAGCCCAATCATGGTGGCAGTGGCTTCAATGGACGGTCACACGTTTTGTACTGGTCTGATGCCCTGAGTGAGATAGCCTTTGTTGTGCCAGCACCATCTCTCGGTAACCCTTCTCCAGGTAGCCAACCACCCAGCACAGCCAATATCAGTATGGGTATGTTCACATCATTTATATATTTTTCTTTACATTCAAGCTTTATTTCTCTGTCTAATCACCACAGTTATTTTCTTCTACCACCCAGCTTACAAAGAAGTGCCTAATGAGGCTACTGTACTTTTTATTTTTAATTCTCCATCCATTGTTGTTCTTTCTGGTGACTCCTCTCCTACTCCTATGTTATATCTAAGATAATGAAGGTAAAGATGACCAAATACACACTTCAACAATTAGGTGGAAAATAGAATCAATTCACCATAGTAGTAAAACATTTTCATATTTAAGTGCAGTTAGACACAAAGAAATGGCTTTAAAAACTGACCATACATAGAAATTGTTTATATACATACGGAAATGTAATTGTAAAATAAAAGGCTATATTTAACATTCAAGGGGCTTGAAAAACTTATAGTAGTTTCAAGATAACACTTACAGTACTGTGTGAGTGATTAAGGGTTTGCAAGAGGTTTGAAGTAATAGATGGAACAAGACAAAACAGTGCAGTGTCCCTGTGGAGTGTTTCCACATGGGTGGAATAGAGGTGAAAGCAGTTTTGGTCCATATTTTTCGAGGTTTCAGCCTCTTCATGGCTATCGAGCAACTCCCTTTTCTCTTTTGTGAAAATAACACTTTCTGCTATACACAATTGTTGGACTAGCATGAGGTTGGGCTGGTTTCAACTTTTCCTTGGAGGGTGAGGGTGTAGCATCCTTGTACTCCGGTTTTCTCCAGCCTTGCTGCGTCGTGACGAGACATACCAATTGCAAGTTAGTTTGCTGTAGATATCCGTTTCCTAGGCTTCTGTCTTGCACCGTTGAGCCGTGCAGGATCTGCTTGCTAGTCAACTGTGTGTGTGGGCTTGGATACTCTGGTGTCTGTTCTCAAGTCTACTACGTTGTGTCTACCGCCTGATGATCTAAAGTTGTGTGCCTCACTCCTGAGGGATGCGGTGGTGGAGACCTGTGGTTGTCACACCCAATTAAACATTTGCAGATAATTACCTACAGTGTCTCATGTCTTGGAACACACAGGCTTGATGTGCACACACTTTGGAAAGCCTGATAGCACTCTCAAGCATTCAGGGCAGTGGAAGGATTAATTACTCACTATGATTCATTACTACTTCTGGCATTGTTTGCCTTTTCTGTTGCATAGGCCTGCCAGACATTATTATACAGTATTGTTGCATAGGCCTGCCAGACATTATTATACAGTATTGTTGCATAGGCCTGCCAGACATTATTATACAGTATTGTTGCATAGACCTGCCAGACATTATTATACAGTATTGTTGCATAGGCCTGCCAGACATTATTATACAGTATTGTTGCATAGGCCTGCCAGACATTATTATACAGTATTGTTGCATAGGCCTGCCAGACATTATTATACAGTACTGTACTTTACATATGCCTGCCAGATATTATAATACATTACTAAGAATTTTTATGAAGAGATTATCTAATGACACCCAATACATGATACTGAAATTCACAAAGGTGATTTTTTTTTTACTGTGTTTTTCTAAATATGCAATACCAGTACAGTACTGTACTGTGATATTCTTTAAGTGCATTAATGAGCATTATCACTGACATTCTCATGGCTTTTGGAAAGTGATTCCTCACACTCGCCCATCTTATTTCAGTTGGCTTTGTTCTTGAACAATGTGATCGAGGTAGTGGTGGTGGTGGTTCTGGCAGTGAACGCTCAGACTCGCTTCCTCCTTATGATGGAGATGTAGATGCTGGATCATCAATTTCCTCGCATACTTCCCAGGTAGGTCAGTTTGTGGTAAAAACTTGGATTTTTTACCAGGTTTTGGAATTGCTATCAAGGTAAAAGCGATTCAGGGTACTGTATCATTTTCCTCGTAAGAAATGGATTTCTACACACACAAAACATTCAAACTCTACACAGAGTTTACAAACATTTATGTATACAGACTTTTATGTGTACTGTGTCCCAGGATGCTACATTTATAATTGGCAGAAGAGTTCCATGTGTGTCTAATCTCTTTTTTTACATGTGTGGTGAGACATACACCTAAGTGATATAGGAAGTTTTGGAAAATTATATACATTGCCCTGATATAATGAAACTATTCAACGAACATGTTGTACTTGAAACTGATGCCATTTTATTATACTTATACAGTACAGTAATTAGAAATAAGTCTTAAGGTATGTCAGTTTCTTTACGCAAGTATGTGTAGTGTATATTTTTTAACTGAACTGAAATCGGTTCAGATTTCATTTGTTTCCAAGACACCTTGTGTTTAGTAAATTCAATATGAATCAACTGATACCAGTTGATTCATGTCGAATTTAGAGAACTTGGTCGAAACTTGCCAGGATTACTCTTGATGCTAACAGGGCCTAAAATCCTGTGTAATGTTTACAAATGATGATATGAGAACTAAATCACACACCAGAAGATGAGGAGACGACGCTGTTTTGGTCCGTCCTGGACATTATCGAGTCGATTGTGATTTGACTTGATGTAACTTCAACTCGAGTCAAATCACAATAGACTGGATAATGGTCCAGGACGGACCGAAACGTCGCCGTCTCCTCATCTTCTGGTGTGTGGTTTAGTTCTCATATCTTCAAGCCACATTATTGTGACTTATCGTCAACGATGATATGTCAAACCATTTTGTCTCCTTTGCTGGTAATTTTCACACTACAATTACCCTTCTTAGTCTACTTAATTCTGTATACCACATTATTCTTTCACTAAATATTGTTTTGCAATTCCTTACCTTTTATATTCTGCATTTGTGCTTTTGTAATATTTTAGGTTCCTTCCCCATGTTTTGTTCTCATTCTTCACTTTCATGATGTCCAAAATATCATTTAGAGAGTTTTTAAAGTTGTCTTTTGGGAGGGGCCCTGTTGGTGTCTCCCGAGCTGTCAACCTAGAATCTTCAAAACTTAAGTACAATTATTGTACACAGCTCTAATGAATCAAAAGTACCTACTGGAGACCAGGTCCAGAATCTGGCCTCCTCAGTAGAGGCAGAGTGGAGAGTGTAGATACAAGATCACAGTGCCAAAGGAAAAAACCAATGAGGTAGAGTGCCTGCACCAAACCAAGCATTAACTGGTTCCAATCACTAGGTAACACAACTTCTTGCCCACCAGGTGGTAGCCCTGACGACCCGAGGGTCCTTGTCAGGCACCCCAGTCATTAACACACTTGGTGTTGAACCTTCCTCGTACCTACCACTCCAGACAAGTTTTAGGTTTTCTCCGGACTTTGTCCACTGCAGGAGCTTGTGCTTGTGTTTGTTCTATTATAGCTTTATTTATAGGTACACTATGTCCTTTTTCATGGCAACCAATTATGTGTGACCTGATCACTTTTGTTTCAGCTGCTTGTGACCAAAGTATTTTTCTCTCTTTCTGGATGATTTGGTGAATGTGATTGCCCTGGTTCTCCGTGATGATGTGTGTATGAAATGATTAATATAGAACGGTGTGAATTTTTTTTATAATTTTACCTATATTTTCCCATACTGCTGTCATATTTTCTCTGGCCTGATGTTTCCACTCCATAAAAATGGGAAATAAGATAATTATAAAGATGATATAACTAACTACATCCAACAACTTTCAGATGTCATATGGTCATGGAAGTGAAAACAAACATCGCAAATTTGGTCGTCAAACAAGTGCCATATCCTGCAGTGATCACAAAGTGTACATAGTGTGGATGGAGAGTTTTGATGATTGTTACACATTCCCAGCAAGTAAGTGGAATGTAATGACAGTAATTTATCATAATAGGTTTTGAATCTTTAAATTGTACTGAAGGGCAAATTTTTAGCATGTGTATTTACTCATACTGTGGCTTTATAGGATCACGCTCAAACTTATTGCGTTCTCTCTGCCTATGTATTTTGCTGTATTCTTAATCCTTTAATGGTGGGGCATGTAATACCGAGTTTTTCCAAGGGAGTGGAATATCTTATTATATTATTACGTATGACTGTGACATATGTAATAATACATTTTACCACATAGAGCAGCATAGAATAAAGTGCGATTTCAATTTTCTGTAGAGATCGGTAAAGTACTTCAGTATACTAAAATAATGGGTAATTAAAGAAGGGGCTAGGATACACCGAGATGAGGGGGGTTAAGACATTTCTTCACAAACACTGCTAAACATGTACATTTTCCCCAGTTATTTCTTATAAATTCTTGTGTTAATAACCATTCTATGTTTTCCATATTTCACAATATTATGTATATATAACTGAGGGAGTGTAGGTGAGAGATGCCACCACTAGCCTTTTCAGATTCTTCACTAATGAAATTAGCCAAGAAAATATATACAAGATGTAAACTTTTACATGTTATTTCTAATACTTGTGATAATAATCATTCTATGTTCCCATCTTTTACTTTATTTAAAGGTGCAGAGCTGTCTACTCTTGGTAATGTTTTCAGATTTATATTGCTTTGATATTTAGCCTTTAGAACATAAACATTTTTATTATGACTTATGCAGTGCATAATACTGTACCACTCTTCATTCATTAATAGGCATACTCCTTCCTTCCTTCACACTTCATTATCATTACTATATATCTTTGTCTCATATAAACCCACCACATCAGACTTTTCTTCTTTAAAAGCTTACCACATCCAACTTTTGTTCTGAATTAATACCTCTCACATTTCACACAGCCACATGAATCTGTCTGGTTCATTTAATGGGAAGATTTTGAGATGTTTCAGTATAAAATTCATATACGAAGATCTGAATGTTCCATAAAGGAATTTTAAATTGTGGCTCACATTCATTTTTTATAGAACTACATTTTATTCATTTTCTAGATAATATTGTCCAACCTTGGCTTTGCTTTTCAGTTGAACTGCTGCCAGAGACTGTGACAGGTTTGGAATCCAGCTCATGGAAGGACAAAGAAGCTAATATATATATCATCTTCATACATGCTCTTGCTAATGGCCTTTTTAGAATTAAACTTCAGGGACAGAATGCAAAGTAAGTAGAGCATTTGTTCAGTGTAATGAAGGACTGAACGTTGTGATGACTATTACTCATTATAAATGTTAAGATACTCCTCATGTGATATTCAGCTTAGTAGAGAGAAAAATCTGGTCAGTAGTTCAAAGGTGAACTCAATATTCTCATTAAGATTTTCCTTTAGGGATGATATGCAATGATTTTGATATAATATTGAAATAAAGCCTGCAGTGATTGGTAATACATATTCAAAAAATTATCACAAAATATCAATATTTTGTGATAAACTTCTAGCTATTAAATTTTATTTTATTAGAATCCCTCCGAAAGTAATGAAGATGTATAATCGATTTGATGAAAGGATGCATAAATATCAAATAACACTAATATATAATTGACTTTATTTTTGCCAACAAAATGAGTTGGCAAAAAAGTTCTCAAATTTAATGAGAAGAGTTCAGGGAAGTAGAGAGAAGGTACAATAGTGATGAAATGAGAATTCTTGTTTGTATTAATGTAACCTTAAATTTTGTGAAAATTTTTGTTAACAATTTAGCCCTAAATCGTTTTTATTTTAATATAAATGTTATTTTATATTGCGTAGCTGGAAGCTTTGTGTGATTACCAAGTAGTTTTGTAATTGCAACAGTAGCTTACACAAGCCTTATGAGATATTGGAAATTTAATAACATTTTTGTACAAAATTTGTATCTTGCAGATTAAACATGGCTGGGCCACTAGTGGATGGACAGGTGGTGAGCAGAAGAGTTCTTGGCACACTTGTTAGACAGACGGCCATAAATATGTGTAGGCGTAGACGACTAGAGAGCGACAGGTTTGTATAATAAAATTATCATCAAAGATTAAAACTATTTTATTAATAATATATTATATTCATATTAATGATACTTTACAAATATGTGTGTGTACTGATGTTCACCCCAAGTAATTGACAAGATTCTTTTTAAGTAATATTCTGATGATCATGGCATAAACTTTAACAACATAGGAAGACAAAATAATTTTTTTATTTTTTTGTTTCTGGCACACAAAAGGGATGCCTCTTTTTAATGTTAGTGCAGTCCAGGGGTTTATCTTTTTTGCCCAAATATGGATTCAGCTATAAGGCCCATAAATCATGCATTGAATTTAATGAAATCACCTTTTCTTAGTGACTGTTGTAGTTCCCCTACCCACCCTTTCTCGTGGAAATCTAGAACATTTTAGGAACAGCACATGAGTAAGGCAAGTTGAACCCTTGGATGACCTGGGCTGCCATTTGGTGATCCACTTTGATATTAGTGTTTGGTTTGTTGACATTTGGGAAATTACATTTACCTTTGTTTCTACTTTGTTTTTAATCAAGATACATGCAGTAATTTGTTTTCCTTTGCTTGTACTTTCTGGCCAGTTTTACTCGCTTCTGTTGATCTCGGATCAACATTCCTCTCTCCTCTATAAGCACACCAAATTCTGGTTTTGTGGCAATCTGTGGTACCAGAGCCACTGTACCAATGAGTGCACCAAGAAAAGTGTTTCATTACATTGTGCTTGATTTTTATTATTTTTAGTAATCTGTGTAAGCAACACTGAATTATTCACATATGTGCTGTATATGTTTCAATTAAATTTTAATTTAATTCAATAATCAATTCAACTTGTGATTAAAGGGAATTTAACTAAAATGTATTTAATTTTTTCTCCATCAGCTACCAACCTCCTCATGTTCGGCGTAAGTTGCGTATTCAGGAGATGGTGCAGAAATACAGATATGAGATGAATGAGCCAGAGTTCTACACCCACCTGTTTACCAGTCCTTTATGTTAGATATATCACTTATTTAATTGGACTCATCGTGGTTGGATGTATTTATCAGAGAACAGTATTTATTATTTCTGTAGAGCAGTTGTGAACTTTAAAGTGCTCTATATATATATTGTAATTACATAAGAACATCCCTGTTTAGTAATGTAGATTATTTGTAATTCTTCAGGTATAAAATTTACGCATGGAGATTTATATTTTACAAACTGGGATATATGTGCATAATTAATTTCATGTATCTATGGTAATTAGTAATTATAAATGTATATTTATACTGTACAGTAATTCATGTTATGTAATATAAGTAAATCAGAATACACATCCTGATAATGCTTAGCATCAGAAGCTATCAAATATACAAAAATATGTATAAAACATAGTGAAGTGTATTTACATGTTGCTAGTAAAATGGTAATACCAAAGAATAACTGACTTCAGCTAATTAGCCTTTTGTTGAAAGTCCATGTAGAAGTGTCTATGCATAGAAAATCTATGCATTCTGTTTTTCTCTGGAAACAGAAATACTCTTGGTTCTCCGTATATTAACTATCTCGATTGTTATATATTGTGCCTTGCCTTATATCACCTTATTACAATTACACAAAATACTGTAGAAACATTATGTGCTGAAACCTTCGTGGCAGTGTATCCGGTAACCACAAATTTGTACTCCATATATTTCTATTTAAAAATATTTAAACTATGAGAGTTATAACTTAAATGATAAACACATGTTTATCTTTTAATATAATGTACAATGTAATATACAAGAGCAGAATGCCATTATGTATCTGCTATGTACAATATTTGTTATGTACACCTAAAAGATAAGTGTACTACAGTACATATACACCTTGTTTTTGGCTGGCAAAGCTTAGAAGTGTTACTGGCCTTTACTGAAATAGTGGCAAGTAGTAATACTTGGACAATTACATACATTCCCCAAAGGCTGCCCCCCAGTGAGTGATATGTGATGGTAACAAGTGACATTAGTGCACTTTTGGCTGGCTGTGTTAGTCAATCATTCCATGTAAGTTAGGGTACAGTTTAACATAATATACTTAATACTGTAGTTTAGAATATTACATAGACTTTATAAGCTATTATAATTTTTTTTAAGAAACGCTAATAAATGAGAAATTGTTACAGTTCGTTACTTTTACAAATTAATTGTGATCCTGATAAAAAATTAAAATTATTTATGTTGTCTTTATAATATGAAATAAAAAGTGAGATTTATTTCAATTATGGTTCTATATGGTTAGAAATGCCATACATAAAAGCTGCATTTGTTTTACCATCTTGCATATGGTAATAACTAGTTACTTGGTTGTCTTTATTTCCTTTGGGAATGACAGTCCTTACACAAATATCATCAACCTAGTTTCATAACTGTCATGAAATCTGACAGATTTATCTTGGCAACTTCCTTGTGAAAAAAAGGTGTTGAATGACATGCTTCTTTCTGAGCAGCATTTTGGTTGCTTCCCTAGCCAGGGCCATGTTACCCATGTCACTGTTACTCTGCCAGGCTCTAGTTAACATTGAACCCCACCAGAACAAGTAAGATTAAATGGTGGTGTCCCGAGACGTGGAGAGTCCTCGTCAATCCACCTCATGAGAGAAATTGCTCAATTTAACATTGTTTTGGGCATCATGGTGACTGGTTTGTAGGAAGGAGGATTGAGGTATGCTCACCATTGTCTATGCCCAACCACTTGGACTGGACAGTAGAGCGACGGTCTCGTTTCATGCAGGTCGGCATTCAATCCCCGACTCTCCAAGTGGTTGGGCACCATTCCTTCCCCCCGTTCCATCCCAAAGGGTCCGTCTAATTACCCAAAGCTACCCAAACTTACTCAATGCTATACAAAGCTTCCTAGCATTACATTAGTAATGAATAAATGATATATTTATTCATTATAATGTTTGTGCTGAATGAAAAACATATTTTTACTCTGAAAAAGTATCACTTTATGACGAAAATATGAAGCTGGCGACGCCAAAGCAAGTGGACGGTCCAAGCGACAATGTTTGCTGGCATGTGAGCCTCCTGTACCAACCTAACCTATCCAAACATAACTTAATACAACCTCTAGGCAACAATATACAGCATCTTGAATAATTTGTTCATCTTGGATAAGTCACTCCACAACATTGTCGCTTCGATCATCGACTTCCTATGGCCTCTCATGCCACTTAGTTTCGTCTAATTTCGTTAATATAAATTTATATTATTTCAGAGTAAAAATGTTTTTTCATGTTCTACATTCAACACCAACAATGTAATGAGTAAATATATCATATTTCTTCATTACTTATGTAATGCTAGGAAGCTTTGGGTAGCTTTGGACAATTAGAACAACCAATCCCAAAATCTTTTCCTGACCCGTTCCAAGTGTTATATACAGTAGTCGTAATGGCTCTGTGCTTTCCCCTGATAATTATCTCCCTATCCTCACCATTGTCTTCCTGCCCCTGGACTGAGACAAGACAATCTTAAAAAGTTAGTTTAAGATGGGGCACAAAGTCAACCAGAGCCTGGTGTGCTACCTTTAACCTGGGAGTGTTGTATAGCTGATTAACCTGGATAACCCAAAGCAGTGAGAAGAGCAACTGAGTAGGCAATGCTCAGAAAAGTTAGTTTTGAGATATATCTAATACCTATATCATATATTTGTTGTTTTATATCAGTATCAGTGAGGATGAAATCTAAGTTATGAGGTCTTAATTAAAAACTTTTGTATCTGCTTTTCCTGAAAGCTGAATGTACCCAGGATTACATTTTGAATATTATCATATTCAATGAACTATATGAACTATTAAGAACTGGAATGGTAAAATATCACAATATATTTTGAGATCTTGACTCATCTCTGCATTAATAGAAAAGTCTGAGCATTGTAACTTACAACATCTAAAATGAAGAAATGTGCCTCAGATTACCTGTTGTCTCTAAATGTCACCACCTTGATATATGAAATACTGAGCCAGAAAACAGTTTCTCCATATTTTCCAATGGAATACCACGAGTCTCGGGCAACAGGAGGAACAAAATTACAAAACCAAGTCCGGCCAAGCCCATGTATAGGTAGAATGCACCTGAAAAGAAAAGACAGTATAAGTGTGGATGGACAACAAATCTCCCCACTTTATGGGTTGTAGTTTCTGGATGCTTATAGTAAGTAGGAAACCGGCCAACACTGAAGTTTTACCTTGCTGTAAGAAAGAAGGCATCCTTTCTTCCACCAATGGTTATTCTTGGGCAAGTCTCACACAGCAGCAGCACTGCTTGGAAGGAGGTCAGCTACATTATCCTTACCTCCACAGGGTTTCCCTATCTCCATGTTTATTTTTTTAAATATTTTATGCAAATTTACCCAAGGGGCTACCATCTCTAGTGGCCTCAACAAGATCAGGAACTGTTGGTCTTTATGAGATTACTATAAAAGAAATGCAACAGGGCTAATGTTGGTCCTGAGACGATCAACCTTTCCTGATAAAAGAGTTAACTTAGTTCTGGAATGAATTTTGCTGCTCTCTGCACTAAACCTTTTCAATGCAGTTATGTCCCTTTGAAGGTGAGGTCTCCTTGCTTGGATATAGTAGTATAGAGGGACAATAAGAATTTGTATAGTTGATTAGCCACTTTTGTTTCTTTGCAATCAAATTTTTTTTTTTTTTACTGTAGTTCCTACTTGCTAAGCAGCTTTCATGCAATAATTGGCAAATCATTACTCTGGGTTCCTTTTTTATATAATTGCTGCAGGGTCCTTTTATTGTGGTAATTAGGGTGTATGTTGTTTTGCTTTATATGTAAAAGTGGTTGCATTCTGTAAACTGAAGAGTATTTGCTATACTGATGCTACAAAGGTACTGAATCTTTACAAAATTCAGCCAAGGATGACCTCTAGAAGGTTTATTTATATTTACTAAATCCCATTTCAAGCTCTACTTAACATCCCTGGAGCCACCAAGAATATATGCTTTGCTAACTGCTAATTTGCCCACCTGATCACTTCTCCAGACTGCAACACACTAAAAACACATCGTTGAAGTAACATTGTGATGAGAGGACTTATTGCTCAGAAGTTTCTAATAATACATCTGTAAAAAAATATGTACTACCACACATACCTTGTTTAAGCAATACTTCTGTGAGGGTGAGGAATGTGAGCGACACAAGTAGATTGGAGGCCCAGTTGACAGCAGTGGTGATGCTGGTACACGATGATCGAGCCCATCCTGGGTAAATCTCACTATTGATGGTCCATGGCATCGGTCCCATACCTGCTTGTGCAATCATGTACAACGCGTAATAATTAATTTTGAAAGACCATTATAAAAATAAATTGATATTTACATATTCATTAGTTAAGGAATAAGGATAAAGATAAAAAATTTCAAATAGCACCCATCCTAGTGCTCAATTGCATAATAGAGTTAAAGGATAGGGTCAGACTAAGAAATAGGGTGCGAGAAAACCACAAGATCATGAGGTAGTGCAGGGAAGAGGACGATAGGATCACAAAGGCTTGGACAAATTACAGAAAATTGGACATGACAGTCAACACTGATGCACTTAAATACCATACATAATTGAGAGTATCAGAGTCAGCTGAGCAATACAGAAGCAGTCAAACTTGTTGTATACCCATATACAGAAAAATGGAGCCCAAGGGTGAAAGAGAACAGATAGACACACTAGCATTAATGAGAGAACTATACATAACAAATGTAGTAAGGCCAAACCAGGTACAGTACTTACTTACCTGGCCATTTAAGAATGTTTAGTTATATACTGAGAGCAGCTCATTATTTTACTTGTGCAATAATGCTAAAAAATAATTAATCCCAAAAATTACACCTTGTGGAGAAGGATCATAAAAGTGTAAAACATATTCAGAAGGTTGAACTAGCAACAGAACTCACCCGGAGAGAAGCACAGGAGGTAGAGTGCAAGTCCCATTAGGGAAAGCCAAGCATACTGGAAGGGGCACCAGTCATAGGCGAAGGTCACTGTTCCTGAGTCTAGTAAAGAGGAATTTGCACATAATCCTGATGTACTCATCTGTAAGTAAAATGCAGAAGATGCCAAGTACAGAAATTAAACATTAATGCATCATAGTTCTCATATACTCATCTGTATATAAAAAAATTGGAATACTGTAATAGGATGGGTACAATCCTCAACATTTATATTACAGTACATATAAGACGATCCAACAGGCATACCAATTTTAAAGTACAGTATATAACATAAGAATAAAGAAAACTGTAGAAGCCTTATTGGCCATTACAAGGCAGCTCCTGTTTATATCTACCTTAGCTTATCTATGTCTAGAAAACCAAATGCCAATGCCAAGGTTGGAGGGCCAGGGGCTAGGTTCACAAAGCAGTTACGCAAATACTTACGAACGTGTACATCTTTCCTCAATCTTTGACGGCTTTGGTTACATTTATTAAACAGTTTGTAAGCATGAAAACTTCCCAATCAACTTTTGTAATTGTTATAAACAGCCGAGTTGCACATTCTAGTTAGCTGGCTTTTTACCAGGAACGTCCAAAAAATATCAACTTTGAATGTGTTTGAGTTTCCTTTTTTAGCAGAAATTTCTGTAACTCAAATTTTTATTCGAGTTGAGAAGTCAAACACTCAAACTAGAATTTATTCGTTGTCATTCAGTCCCTGTAGCAAGTATATTGTCAGTGTGACGATAATCTCCTTCAAGAGATTGAGCCTGCTCTTCCCTCCAAAATTACGTCTTCACAATTATATAAAAAGACTATGGAAGAAATGTCCAACAACGACACCAGCACCAGCAAGGCTTGCCAGGGTGAGCAGAAACGTATGCAACCAGCCACCTGTTCGAACTCCAACCACCAAACTACCCGTTGATCGCTACGGCTCCGCTGATTGGTCGCCGGTCTGGCTGCACCTGCACTCGCCCCCAATACTACCTGATGTCTGGGGTCGCCCCAACATCAGTCCTCAGAATGTTCCGTGCTTTCGTAGCCAGCACTCCTCCCAGCTAGACTCTAGAGTGTACTGAGAGAGGTGGTGGCTTTAAGCCAATATTCCAGCACCTCCCACTTAACTTTTGTGTTGCACTTCTTATTATTTTGCCTTAACGTAACTTTCATTGTGTCATTTAAGTATTCTTATTATTTTGATTCATTGATTTTATTATACATATTTGTTTGTGCATTATTTTCATGTTTTGATTTATTTAACGTAATTAAAATTTCATTGTTAAAGTTTTACTTGTGTTTTGTGTGTCTTCTCCTTACCTTACCACAGACGAAGTTCCAGTTTTTCTATTTTTTTTTATAACTATGTGACGAGGCCATACCCCTAGCCTTAAACAGCCGAACACCAACGCGTTACCGTCACAAGTTATATGGGGGCCTGTCCTAGGAGCTTCACTCAGGTACTGGTGCCAAGTGGTAATTTATGGTAAGCGTATTTAACTCTGTTAACGTAGCTTTACTATTTTTCATTCAATTTCATTTTTTATAAGGTGCGGTGTATTGTGCATTACGAGAGTAACATATAGTGAAGGTGAGACAACTTTGGATTACGTGGTGACTGTAGGCCTCAGTCATACTCTTAATTGGTCATCTCTCCCTCCATGTTATTACTCGTATTTACCATCTATGTCCCTTGAATATTTCTCATTCTGACAGATCATCATATTGGTACCCTGGTACTGTGGTCTGCCCCGGGTCAAGAGTACCCAATCTTCTGCAATCTGACTGTAGGAGGACAAAGAGGGCCATAGTTCCTCTAGCTCGAACTTTAGTTGCTGAATTGGGACCTCAGCAGCAGTTCTCGTCACCAGTTGACACCTCGCACCCCTACACGTCAGTCAGAGATGATGATACATACAACGGTAGGGAATTAGCTTATTTTTTCAGAGCACAAAAGTTCGCTAATTCTGTAAGTATCATATTAAATTCAGTAGGAAAAACTTGCTTTATGTCCTATAGAGACTTGGCAAGGTATGCCTACATCCTTGGACTACCAATTTTACTTTTGAAGCATTTAACTGTTTCATTTGTTTTCGAAACTTTGTTTCATTTGTTAGTAGGATTTTCTTGCCCTTATTCTCTTACATGAGTACCGGGTACAAGATTTCCTGCGCCCTTGATTTAATTTAATCATTTAATATCTTTCACTTAACGTTAATTGTTAAAGATCACACAGGATAGGTACCAGTTGCCACGTTGTCCTGTTTCTGACATTTCATTATTGAACATTCGTGTACCTTTATTTGCTAATTTCACCATGTTTCGTCTCCAAACTTTCCGTGCAAATCCAGCAGGTGAAATAGGGACTTTAAGTCGTGCCAAGAGGACTGAACTACAAACTCTTGCACATGAGTATCAACTAGAAGTTCCCTACCAAGCCAACAAAAATGACCTACACAACCTGTTGCTGGATTACTATTTAGAGCAAGGTAAGATAGACTCTGAAACTCATGAAACTTACTATATTGCAGATAAAACTGATTTGGCAACGCTGAAACTCAAACTAGAGCTGGCCAAGATTGAACGTGAGCAGCAAAGGGAAGCCCTCGAACAACAAGAACGAGCAGCTGCCATACGAAAAGAAGAACAAGAACGCGGACTCGCCCTCCAGGAACGTGAGGTTGCCCTACTCCAGGAGCGGGAACGAGTACAGCTTGAAACACTCCAGGAGCGGGAACGAGTACAGCTTGAAACCAAACGACGAGAGTTGGAGATGCAACGCGAACATGACAAACAACAAGCGACTCTGGCTCTAGAGTGTCGTCAACGTGAAATCGCCTTGGAAACTTCACACTTCACTCAACGCCAACAAGCTACTGCCAATCTTCCCGTCAGTTTTAATATATCACATGCAAGTAAGTTAATGCCATCCTTTGTAGAAGCAGAAGTTGATGTGTTCTTTACCACCTTTGAAACCCTTGCTAATCAACTCAGTTGGCCTGTCGACCAATGGGCCACACTTCTCAGAGTCCATCTTACAGGTAGAGCTGCAGTCACACTCAGTACTTTGGCGTCTGAGAATGACTACTACACTCTGAAACAAGCAGTGTTGGACGCCTACCTCCTCTCTACTGAAAGTTATAGAAGGAAATTCCGTGACCACCTGAAGGCAAGTACCACTACCTTCCTCGAGTTTGCTAACACGAAACGGAGGTATTTCATGAAATGGCTGGAAGCAGCACATGTCTCTACTTTTACAGAACTCGTCAACCTGATGCTTGTTGAAGAATTCTTGAGACGTGTGCCGCCTCCTGTCCGCCTCTACTTAGCAGATAAAGAAGAAACCGACTACCTGAAGTGTGCTAAGTCGGCTGACACTTACAGCCTCATCCACCGGCTGACACCTGAACCATCCTCCAGTAAGAAGTCGTGGTACAGTTACGAGAAGGTGAGCCCCGATCAAGCTGGTTCACAACTGTACTGCAAGTATTGTAGACTCTATGGACATACCATAGACAAGTGTGGTAAGTCTCAATACAAGGGAACCACTGACCAACAACGACCCAAACCAACTCCTCCTAAGTCCGGTAAGCCTGTGATGAATGTTGGTGTTGATGTTAATGATCTTTCTCTTTTCAGTAACCACCTGTATACTGGAACTGTCTCTGCCAACGGTTCAAATCCGGAGGGACGTTTCAAATTGAAGATCTTGAGGGACACAGCGGCTCTACAATCAATCATCTTGAAGTCGGCTGTGCCCAACATAGTCTACACCGGGGAAACAGTCTTCATCACTGACCTCACTGCTACTACTCCATACCCTCTCGCCAGAGTCCACCTGGATTGTCCCTACGTGAACGGGGAAGTCCAAGTCGCCGTCAGGGAAAAGCCTTTTCCCATGCCTGGAGTGCAACTTCTCCTAGGCAACGACTTGGCAGAAGACCTGCAACCGACCAACCTGATCGTCATGGACAAACCCCAGGTGTGTAACTCTGTGCCAAGTAACCCTATTCTTGAGTATGTTCCAGCAGAGGTTCAAGAGAGTGATGAAGTGTCTCCTCCGGTTCTCGTGACCACCCGTGCACAAGCCGCACGTCCACAGCCAGCTGACTCTACTGCCACCGCTGTCCCTCAAGACCCTCAGAAACTACCCCCGCATCTGACCAAGTTGGAGTTCCGTAAGTTGCAGAGGGAAGATCTTACTTTAACACCATTGTTTTTCCAGGCTGAGACTCAACCCGACAGTATTCCTGGGTTCTTCCTAGAGAACGACTTGCTCTACCGCAGATATAGACCCAGTAAACTGAAGGAGGAGGACGATTGGGCCAACACCGAACAACTTGTGATTCCCACCAGCCTGCGGCCCACTATTCTACACCTGGCCCACGGAGCATTCTCCCACTACGGCTTCAACAAGACTTACCATGGGATTCGTCAAGACTACTACTGGCCAGGTATGGTAAATAACGTCAAACAGTACGTAAAACAGTGTCATACATGTCAGATGGCAGGCAAACCGAACGTCTCCATTCCCAGAGCACCACTGATTCCCATACAGGTGCCTGCGGAACCTTTCCACAGACTCATAATAGACTGTGTTGGTCCTTTACCTCGGACCAGTTCAGGTAACGCCTACATCCTAACCATCCTGTGTCCTACCACCAGATTTCCCATAGCAGTTCCAGTGAAGAACATCACGGCTGCTACGGTTATCAAACATCTATTGAAGATCTTCACTCAATACGGATTTCCCAGGGAGATTCAAAGTGACTGTGGCACCAACTTCACCAGTGACCTCTTCAAAAGGACACTGGAGGAGTTCAACATCAAACAGGTATTGTCCAGCCCCTATCATCCTGCTTCACAGGGTTCTCTTGAACGTAGTCATCAGACCATCAAAGCACTCTTGAAAAAGTTTTGTAGTGAAACCTCAAAGGATTGGGATAAGCAGATTGACCTAATAATGTGTATTTTCAGAAGTCTCCCCAATGAGTCCCTAGGAGTATCTCCTTATGAGATGCTCTACGGCCGTAAGTGCCGTACTCCCCTTAAGGCTTTCAAAGACTCTCTCAGAGATGCCACCTTCAGTGAGCATCAGAATGTGCCCCAGTTTCTTCAAAACCTTCAACACATTCTAGAGAGAGTCCACCGCTTTGCTCATGATAATCTATTGAAAGCCCAGGTGAGAATGAAGACTCATTACGACCAGACCAGCAAAGTAAGAAAATTCAAGCCGGGAGACTTCGTCCTTGCTTATTTCCCTATCCCAGGTTCACCTTTACAAAACAGATTTTCAGGACCCTACTGCGTCAAAGAGTGCAGGAATAATAATAATTATGTGATAGAGACTCCTGATAGGCGGCGGAAGACCCAGCTGTGCCACGTCAACCTCCTGAAGCAATATAATGGTACTCCTCCCACTGTCTTGACTAATTATTCCACATTCACAGAACCCTACATCCACAGTGAGACCTTCCCAGCTTCTCCTCCCGAAAGCACTGACAAGGAGTCAGCGCTTTCTAATTCCGAAATCCTTAATGATCTTCCCAAATACTTTCAGGATAATCATAGTGCACCTCTCGTCAAGATCTTCAGAGAACATCAAGAGTTGTTCAGAGATGATCCCCAGGAGTGTAATGTTACCCAGCACGACATCCAACTGCTCCCCGACACCCGGCCGATTCGTCAACCCTTCTACCGAATCAGCCCGAGCAAGAAGGAAGTCATGCGTGCTGAGGTGCAATACCTCTTGGATCATGGACTGGCTACACCTTGTGAGTCCCCCTGGGCCTCACCCTGTATCTTGGTGCCCAAACCCCAAGGTAAGGTGCGGTTGTGCACCGACTATCGTAAACTGAACTCTGTCACTGTCAAGGATGCTTACCCCTTGCCAAGGATAGATGACATCCTTGATGCCATTGGTAGTGCCCAGTACTTGTCCCAAGTGGACTTGCTTAAGGGGTACTATCAAGTGTGTCTAACGGAGCGCGCTAAAGAGATATCTGCCTTCATCACTCCTTTTGGACTTTTCAGATATGAACGCCTTCCTTTCGGACTATGTAATGCCCCGGCCACCTTTCAAAGAGCTGTCAACCGTGTCATCCAGGGCTTGGATAACACATACGCCTACCTGGACGATATCGTCGTAGCCTCCAACTCCTGGAGTGAACATCTGCTCCAGCTGCGGCGTCTGTTCTCCAAGCTCCTGACAGCCGGCCTCACCATCAACCTGGGCAAGTCCACTTTCGCGAAAGGTAAAGTGCGTTATCTGGGTCATGTTATTGGGAGTGGCAGCATAGCTCCGTTAGACTCACACACTCAAGCCATCCTACAGTATCCACAGCCTACCACCAGGAAGCAGCTCCTGCGCTTCCTTGGTCTTGCCTCTTACTACCGTAGGTTTGTGAGGAATTTCAGTACAGTCGCCACACCTCTAATTCTATTAACCAGTCCCAAGCAACGGTATAATTGGACCATGCAGCAAACCGTTGCTTTCGAACAACTCAAATTCCTCCTCTGTTCTAACCCCATTCTCGCCTCTCCAGATATCACCAAGCCTTTCGTCCTTCATGTCGACGCCAGTGGTACCGGCGTTGGTGGTGTCCTGATGCAACTACGAGGCGAGGAGGTTCTACCTGTCAGCTACTACAGCTACAAACTGAAACCACACCAGAGGAACTACAGCACTATTGAAAAGGAGCTACTATCCATCGTCCTGAACCTCCAACACTTCGCTCCGTACCTACAAGGCGCCAGGTCTACCACCATCTTCTCAGACCACAACCCTCTCCGCTTCCTATAATCAAGCCCAATTCACCAACCAGCGTCTTCTACGATGGGCTCTGTATTTACAAGACTTCAACCTGGAGATCCGCTATATCAAGGGTTCTGACAACACCATAGCCGATGCCCTCTCCAGAGTTTATGAAGTAGAAGCGACTCCATCCATTACTCCACCACATAACGACGTACTTCTTCCAGAACCGCAGGCTTCGGGGGAGAGTTGTGACGATAATCTCCTTCAAGAGATTGAGCCTGCTCTTCCCTCCAAAATTACGTCTTCACAATTATATAAAAAGACTATGGAAGAAATGTCCAACAACGACACCAGCACCAGCAAGGCAATATACTTGCTCCATTCTCTCATTAGCTTATGTCCAGATAATGAGACGTGTGTTAATTCTACGTAGTCCACAACCACAAATTCATACCTCTTCCCAAATTACAGTTAACACTTCCTCCCTACCTACTAGAGGATGGCCAAGTGAGGTTGGATCGATAATATAACCTGAATTCCTATTCAGGTTCGAATGTTAAAATGGGTAAAAACTGGAACCTGAATTAATTTGAATTACGTGTACTGTACTTGGAGATTTGGGTTACCAGAATTTAAATTATCGAGTTGTTACAATATACAGTACTCAAGAGCATTTGTTTGAAAACAACATTTTAACAGAAAATTTGTAGTTACTGTATAACCCATAAAATAATTACAAACACTATCCACTTAGCTGAGTGAGGCTCCAAGAGGCCAAAATGTTTACAACTGGACATACAGCAAGACATTCAGCAATTTGTTGGCATAAAATTTGGATATGAAGTGTTAATTAGCAGGATAACATTTTTCCTTTTATAGAACACACTAAGTCCTTGGCCTTACATACCTCATTGTAGGATGCATGATCAGCAGCAACACAGAATGAGCTGGTAATGTTGGAGTTATCACCAACATAGCAGAACCCACAGGCAGACTGGCTAGTGCACACTCCACAACTGTAAATAATTTTTTGATTCAAAACACATTAAACATATATAGTACACAGGAAAGCAAATTTATAATAATGTATTAGTATTTTTGAGGCCCTTATTTTGCTCAATATTCATGACAAGTATAAAGTTGACCAACTGAGATGTGGTTGATGGAGAATTTTGAGACATATGGCATTACAGTAAATATATATCATTATAATAATTGTTCCAGTTAAAGCTATCAAATATGATTAGTTATATAGGGATTATTTAAGAAGCATTACTACCAGAGCCGTCTTGAGTTTGGTCCTTGTTTTAGGTTGTCAGGTGAAGGAGCTTTCTACTTTCCTTTGAAAGTGGAGTTTTTTTGTGTGTGTTTTTTTTATGGCAGGAGTTCTTTTTCCAATCTTCAAAACCTCAAAATCACTTCTCGCTAATAATGAGACTGTTGGATTCCAGAGGAATCCTTTGGTTCTTGACACTTGAATGGATACTCTAGATGGAGGTTCATCATATTCTTTGACTGGTGATGGTCGTTCACCATTACCTTCAGACCACCTGAGAGGCTCGCGTGGATACCTTATTTGTTTATTCGGTGTTCCTTGATCTGTGTTCACAAGCCCAACTGTCTCAGGTGGTTCACAGGTGTGGTTAAATTCAGTCAGCCTGCTGCTTTTCAATGTGTCCATGATGTCTACAAGTATGTGGCATTATCCACTTTCTTGTATGTATTGGATTGAAACTCAAGTTCATGGATCTTGAAGTTCTAATCATGTTTAGGTGGCTCAGTATCCAGTTAATGTTTCCAGTGTGTGTACCGAACATGCATGGCACTAGGTTGCCTTTCCTGGAGCTTATTTCTTTGGGGTTACTGGCATAACCTTCATTTCTCACACTGTAATTCCTTGTTTTCTGTTTGCTATCCATGTTGAGTTAGCTTGTGGAGCCACCGAGGGAAGCCCTCCCAGAAATCCAGCATTGAATGCAATGAAATACAAGTTTGGCTGCTCCATGTTACTGCCCTTAACTCATTTGTATAGTGTTTGGATCATTGCTTGAGCAGTGCATTCATGATTGGGTTAATTGGTCAATACCCTCAGGTGACTAGGGCTGCTATCTGGTGACACAATCTGAAAACATAGTACTGTACTCAAAGCCTTATTTTCCCTATAAATATCATAATATTATTCTGTGCTGATACAAGAATAAATCCCCCAACATATTGCCTCATAAAATTTGGGGCCATATGTATACTATTATAGATGTTTGTACCAAAAAAAAATAATTAACTTACGTATCAGCTTGGCAGTCTGGAACGGTGCTTGGCACTGAAACATTTGGGCTGTCATTGTAAGCCATCTGAAAACTTAAAGCCAGCAAGAGCAAAGATACCATTGTCCCAAAAAGCGATCCCAAGGTGAGAGGCCGGCGACCCAGTCGTTCAACAAGCCACAGCCCAATGAATGTACCCAAAAAATTCATTGATGATGTGGCTGCAGCTAACCAAATTGCAAGAGATTTATCTGACACACCTGCCATTGTGATGATGGAAGCACTGTAGTACCTGCATAATTGTAAGCAAACTAAGTAAAATGTTTTACTACACAGTACTTGTATATATATACAAAAATAAATGCAGAAAATGATTATTACAAAAATATTTTTTAATAACTGCTAACCAAGAGTAGTATGTCAAGGCTGTCATATCTCAAGAGTATAAAAAAGTGGCATAATAAGTAGAGGAGGTAAGATGATGAAAGGGTGCTCTGATTAGTACAAGAAACAATGGTGTTTGGATGAGGAGGTATGGTAATGCTGTGGAGACAGTGTTCTTCTTGTTCTGTAGAGGTATGGTAATGGTGATTTATGGAAGTGTTGAGGTGTGGTACTGGTTGTTGTGATGAAGTAGTATTGTGATGGTTTGGTGATGTGGAGGTGGTAGTGAATATTGTGGTGGAGGTGGTGGTGTTGTAGCGGTGGTGTGGTATTGTGGTGTCATGGGTATTGGGTAGGAAAAAGGGGGTGATGGACTGTGTTTCTGGTGATGTGGATTAGTAATGGCAGCAGTAACAGTGATGTACATTTACAGCAGTGGTGGTGTTAGTGGTCACAATGAAGTGTGATATTTGCTTGTTTACTTGGGATTGGAGGGAGTTCTGCCTCTCTGTTCAGTTTTCGGTTGCAATTTTCTTACCATGAGGGGGTCTATTTTGTTATGCCTACCTTTCTGGGTGCCTAACCCCGGTCAATGGCAGATAAGGAAAACCCCAACCACAGGGGGGGGGGGGGTTCTCCTGGGCCATTGCTCCCTGCACTTCTCTGAGGGGGCCAGGTACTGGCTCATGGTCCTCAGTAGGCTCCATAGATTAATGCCCTGGTCAAATGATTCGGATATTAGCCCGATAGCTCCAGGGAGACTCCAGGGCTCACCCAGAAAATGGCGTTTCATTACATTCAACGCTGGTTTTTTCGTGTTATCATTTATTTTATTAAGTATATTTTCACAGTACAGCTCTCTTTATTATCTTATTATTGCATAGTCCCTCTTTGTTATTTCTTTGGAAATACATTATTTCATTATTTATTCTTTTTTCATGCTCTTCACTGATTGAAGTATGCCTTTTGTAAGTCATGGGTTGTATAAGGAGAATTTATTGTGCAACCTGATGTTAATGTTTATAGTTTCAATTTAATGATCTGATAGTGTTTGTTAGAACAAATGTAGAGAAGCATTTTGTTGTCCCATCAGAGATCATTCCCATGGTCAGTGGAGATGACATGCTGTATGTAGTACCACAGACCTATGAAAGTGTTGTGTACTTGGCACGGACTGTTTCTTTATTGTGAGTGAAACATTTCTTTATTATTATTTTTACAGTATCATATAGTGATAAACCAGTTCAGCTTGTACTTGGACATATAAACTAAGCTGTGGCTAGAAAAAATGACTCATTAATGAGATGAAAACCATTTGTAATATTCCTATCATAATTTTTTTTAATAAAAGTCATTATAAAATGACTGTGAAACTTAAAAGTGAAGATGTTCAATACTTACATGACAGTGTTGATACCAGAGATCTGCTGGAAGAGCTGAAGAAGACAACCAAGCAATAATGCGCGACGTACAGGACGTGACTTCAGTATCTGTTTTATTCCTCCCTGTATAAATTAGCTACATGAAACTTTGGACCAAGTTGGAACTGAAAAACTGACAAAAGGAAATGCAATGTTATCTAAATAAACTCATAATGGCAAATTAAACACTAATCTCTTCACATTACAATAAGAGGTGACTCACCTCATGAGAGCTGCCAGATACAGCCTCTTTGATTGCATCTAACTCTGTATCAAGGTCTGCACTTTCACATCTTATCTTCCGCAGCACATCACGAGCCTCCCTTATCCTGAAAATGTCAGAAATGTAAGTACTGTATTTTCATATGTATTAAGATTATATCTGATGTTTGCAAGACAGTATTCTGAATTAAATCAAATTAATACTCTTCAGATCATCCAAACAGCATCACAGGATAAAGGTGGAAAGCTGGAACTCTTTTATTCTATCACAATTAGCTCCTCCAAATTATCTGAAGAACATGTGGCCTACTGTTGCCCTTGATCTATTAAAGTTGAAGATACATACATAAACACATACACATATAATAATTTAATAATTCACTGTCAGGGGACATGAAGCAAAAGTGTATTCATACGCATTTGGCTTTTATCGAGGTCCCCCACCCTCAGATGCATTACGTGAAAGGAAATGTGCTCAACTATTTCTGTCCTGCCCGGGATTCAAACCCGGAATTCTCAATTGTGGGTCGAGAACGAACCCGACTGTCTGACCCGGGACCCACATATATATATATATCTATAGATATAGGTATAGTTCTCTCAACAATGTACCTATATCTATAGGTAATTAGTAAGCTGCAACTCACCTGCCCTGAGCAACCAGCCAACGTGGACTTTCAGGTAAGAAAGAAAAACCCACAAGCTGCATCACAGCTGGCAGCCCTGCGAGCCCAAGCATGTACCTGTACATGATGTGATAATATTTGATTAAATTTGAGCCAACATACTAATGAGCCATACAAATTATTTTGCCATAGATCTACAACATTCAATGATCTTGTCATAGACAGGATCCTAGGGCTTATGTAAGATCTTCCTTTCTAAATTCCATTATTCTCTATGAACTGCATACGTGTACTGTATTTTAATCATTGTGTCGGGAGACAGGCAGCCAGTTTATACATACAGTACGTCAAGGCTTATATGAATGCCCCCCCCCCCCAGGGTCGAACTAGTTACCTTCTCCAGGATGCAACCCTCACAACAAGCAGAATAACTCCTGGGTACCTATTTACCGCTAGGTGAACAGGAACAGTAGGCTAGAGGGAAACAAACCCAACCTTTCCTGTCTCGCCCGGGATTTGAACCCGGAATTCTTGACTGCGAGTCGAGAATGAACCTGACTGTACTACCGGGACCCTTCATTTTTAAAATGTTCTTTCTCCCAAATGTTTATTACTTTTAATAGGGAAGTATATTTTCTGATTTTTTTTTTTTTTTTGCAAAATGTTAATAGGTTGCTCACAAAGGTGGAGGTTCTACTAACTTTAACAACTATAAATCAATATCTAATCTACATATGATTTAAATACTGTACTGTATATGGAAACTTATCTAAAACCAGCTTGTCTCCTACTTAGCTAAGCATAATATATTAAGCCATTGTTAATGTGACTTTAGGCCCATATAGAGCATTAATGATGTTTTAATAAGCATACTCGACTCGATTTACTCAATTCAATAAAAATGAATAACCATGGTACTTTCTGGGAGGGTTACCCTCGGTGGCTCTCTGAGCTATACACCTGGTTAGCTCCAAATTTAATATACTCCACCAAGTTCTTGTGAGTCACAAGCACCTGCTGGACTCCAGAAGCAGAATCTGGACCCCTCAATAGAGGCAAGGGAGTCTGGATACTATATCAACCACGGTAGAAAAACTTTGGCAACTCCGACAAATGTACATATTCAATAGCTATTCCCAGCTGCAAGTTAGTTACACTCCACCACCACCAGATAGCAGCCCCTGAAAGGGCCCACCAGAAAAAGGCTGGGTTTCTGGAAGGGCTTTCCTTGGTGGTGGCTCCCAGGGTTATGTCTTCATGGAAAACACAAAAAGGGGTTTACCAAGGGCAGATCGATCACGAACCCATTGATGATGTGACGACTTGTACTGAATTTTGTAACTAGCTCATCAAGATTGTAACTTGCTTAGCTAAATGAATTGTGGGGGTTCAGTCCCTGAGCCCATTATGTGCCTCTATAACCCTTTCCACTACTGCCCACAAGATGGCTATGGGGTGCATAATAAATGAACTAAACTAAAACCAAGGGCAGAGGGAAGTAGTAGTCAATAACCTTAAAAAAGGGGGATCAGCTACAGGGCACCACCCCTAGAACTTCAAGAACATGAGGTCATAGATTTAAACTAAGTAAGTAAAGCTGCCGAAGGAAAATACGAAAATTCACTTTCGCAAACAAGAGTGGTAGACGGTTGGAACAAGTTAGGTGAGAAGGTGGTGGAGGCCAAAACTGTCAATAATTTCAAAGCATTATATGACAAAGAGTACTGGGAAGACAGGACACCACGAGCATAGCTTTCATCCTGTAACTACACTAATGTAATTAATTATGTAATTACCCAATAGCATGAATGCCCAGTATGGTCTAGGAATATTTGCCAACTATCATGTATAAAGAAAAACACCTTACCAGGAGGGAAAGAGTATCCAGTAGCCCAGAAGGGATGCACCCCCAACTGGAGAAACTAAGATACAGCAACCAAAGTACTCCTTTGGAACCCTGCCATCTCATAGCTAAAAAGATAGGAGATGGTTGCAACTGAAGAAAGTTCCCTCAGGACCAAAACTGCAAAACTCCTGTTTCCAGAGGAGAGCAAGATGCTCCCCAGATGGCTGGGTCCCACATGCTAGCTAGACATGTGTTAGCTAGCATGCTAGCTAGCACACACAGGAATCGTAGCAGACGTGTGGAAACAGGCTAACATAGTTCCAATCTACAAAAGTGGCAGCAGGGAAGACCCCCTCAATTATAGACCTGTATCATTGACAAGTGTAATAGTGAAAGTATTGGAAAAGCTAATCAAAACTAAATGGGTAGAACACCTGGAGAGAAATGATATAATATCAGACAGACAGTATGGTTTTCGATCAGGAAGATCCTGTGTATCGAATTTACTCAGTTTCTATGATCGGGCCACAGAGATATTACAGGAAAGAGATGGCTGGGTTGACTGCATCTATCTGGACCTAAAAAAGGCTTTCGACAGAGTTCCACACAAGAGGTTGTTCTGGAAACTGGAAAATATTGGAGGGGTGACAGGTAAGCTTCTATCATGGATGAAAAATTTTCTGACTGATAGAAAAATGAGGGCAGTAATCAGAGGCAATGTATCGGAATGGAGAAATGTCACAAGTGGAGTACCACAGGGTTCAGTTCTTGCACCAGTGATGTTTATTGTGTACATAAATGATCTACCAGTTGGTATACAGAATTATATGAACATGTTTGCTGATGATGCTAAGATAATAGGAAGGATAAGAAATTTAGATGATTGTCATGCCCTTCAAGAAGACCTGGACAAAATAAGTATATGGAGCACCACTTGGCAAATGGAATTTAATGTTAATAAATGTCATGTTATGGAATGTGGAATAGGAGAACATAGACCCCACACAACCTATATATTATGTGAGAAATCTTTAAAGAATTCTGATAAAGAAAGAGATCTAGGAGTGGTTCTAGATAAAAAACTATCACCTGAGGACCACATAAAGAATATTGTGCAAGGAGCCTATGCAATGCTTTCTAACTTCAGAATTGCATTTAAATACATGGATGGCGATATACTAAAGAAATTGTTCATGACTTTTGTTAGGCCAAAGCTAGAATATGCAGCTGTTGTGTGGTGCCCATATCTTAAGAAGCACATCAACAAACTGGAAAAGGTGCAAAGACATGCTACTAAGTGGCTCCCAGAACTGAAGGGCAAGAGCTACGAGGAGAGGTTAGAAGCATTAAATATGCCAAAACTAGAAGACAGAAGAAAAAGAGGTGATATGATCACTACGTACAAAATAGTAACAGGAATTGATAAAATCGACAGGGAAGACTTCCTGAGACCTGGAACTTCAAGAACAAGAGGTCATAGATTTAAACTAGCTAAACACAGATGCCGAAGAAATATAAGAAAATTCACTTTCGCAAATAGAGTGGTAGACGGTTGGAACAAGTTAAGTGAGAAGGTGGTGGAGGCCAAGACCGTCAGTAGTTTCAAAGCGTTATATGACAAAGAGTGCTGGGAAGACGGGACACCACGAGCGTAGCTCTCATCCTGTAACTACACTTAGGTAATTACACTTAGGTAATTACTAGGGCCAGTGGCCGACTGGACAGCACGCAGGACGCGTGATCCTGTGGTCCCAGGTTCGATTCCCGGCGCTGGCGAGAAACAATGGGCAGAGTTTCTTTCACCCTGATGCATCTGTTACCTAGCAGTAAATAGGTACCTGAGAGTTAGACAGCTGTCTTCTGCTGCTTCCTGGGGTGTGAGTGTGTGGGGAGGGTGGGGAAAAAAAGTAGCTAGTAACAGTTGAGAGGCGGACCGAAAGAGCGGAGCTCAACCCCCGCAAGCACAAGTAGGTGAATACAACTAGGTGAATACTAGTTGCTAGTACACTCAGCAACCAGGCAAGGTGTACAGGATGTCAGAAGGTGCTTTCCTCTGCCTTCCCAGAAATGGGGCAATCATCATCATCACCCTTTTTATATTATTTGGATATAAATCTACCATTAAAATAGAACTAGGAATAAACAACAGCCTAAATGAGAGCAGAACAGAAGAAACATTTCTAGGACTAGACACATAGGCAACAAAGTTATTATGGCTACTGCTCAAATACTGATTGTTGACAGTGCTTGTAGATACAGTCTCACTAAAGCAGTCTCCACACTGAGGTCATGATAAGCTCCTGTGGATAGTCAAAATCTGCAGTTTGCCTTTTGTTTAAAAATTTTCCATTCACACCAAACTGTTTAATTTCTTTCACTTTCAATGAGAGGCTTGTTCAAGTAAGACATAAAAGCAGATTCACAATGATAACACTTAGTAGTGCCATTATAGTGAACAAACTTACCTCCATCCTTCAGTAACAGTTGAGAATGCACCACAAATTATGCTTGCAACAGTCTGGCCACCGGTGATGAAAAGAGTGTTAGTGACGGTCATACGTCCACGCAGCTCTACTGGTGATGATTCACTCAAGTACACCGGTACAGACATTGAAGCAAAACCTTATCAACATCATAATGAAAGATGAGTAATACATTGCAAATGAATACTTTGGTGTATATGTGAAATAATGAATACATTTCTTGCCACCCACACTAATCCCTCTGAACACTGAAACAGTTACACTGAAATTACATAAACTTTATGAAATGGTCATGATCTGTGGTTTTCGTGACATATTGCTTCAGCTTGAACTCTAACTAATTCTGTGTCTGCTTTTTATACTGAATGTGTGTTAAAGGTGTACAGTATTTGCTTTTTAGTTTGGTTTGTCTGTACTTGTGTTTTAGATAAGTATGTTTAGATGAGAAGCCAGAAGTAAAGTAAGTACTGTATCAAAAGAAGGCACCAAGCCGAGGAGACTATGTAGCACTTAGAAGCCAGAAGACAAACTACACAGAGTTCAGCTCCTAAAGACAGGAACCAAAGAGAACCCTCCAGTTGAAACAATGAACCATGGGAAGACAGTCCGAATGGAGTCAGGCTGTCGACCCCCCAAAGGAGGTGGGGGAGGTTGGGGTGAACGAGCTTGCACTAGTTTCACGAATTTTCACTCTTTTTGTTTACATTGTTGGGGGAGTACTTTTAGCAATTTTAAGGCAACGGTCTTCCTTCTAACCAGCAGTGGTCTGTTTTGTTTTGCTGACTAACTGGGTGCTTCCCAGGTGGTGGCAGACATGATTAATATTCACAGACAATTTTATCATAGTGCCACTGCTCTCTGTGCCTCTTCAGAGGGGGGCAAGAGAAGCAGATCCATGGTGCTGGTGCCACTGCTGAAGTCAATACTAGATGAGACTAGTGTTATTCTTCTGATTCTGATCCAAGGATGAATAAATGATAATGGGCAGGTGAGTGGCTTATTTACATGATTCTGGAGGCTCAGCTAATATAAATAAATCCATGGAAGTACTGAGACTGGTAATCTGCAGGTCAACAGGAAGTTCTGCTGTTACACAAAGAAATCACAATAGCGTGATGCATCAAATGAACAACGGACCTTGTGGATTTGTTTAAGTTCTGCTGTGTTGGTTCAACTTAGATACTGTGGTGAAAGTGTGGTGTTTTTTCTGGCTTCTGATCATACTTACTTAACAGTGACTACAGGAAAATAAGGTTTAGCTCTTCATACCCTACCTACTTGCCTTGTTGTACCTGTTCAGTTCTAGTCTAATTTTCCTAACATTCAAATTATTTGTTGAATCTTGCCTTAAATTTGGCAATAGAGGAGGCATCAAAAATTTGTTCTACCAGTGCATTCCACATACTGACCACCTGTACAGAATATGTAAAAAATAATAGACTTATCAAAGCTTCTTACCAATGCCAATGCCAACAATAATTCGACCAATCAGAAGCATAATCTTTTCTTGCGCAGCACCCATGACCACTGCACCTACCGCAAACACCAGACTGGCACTCAGAATCACAGGACGGCGACCAAAGTAATCTGCAACACCAATGATGATGATTTAGTCCTTTTTAATATACAGGTATGTATACAGGTCACCTAATATTATCAAAATAACATTTTTCCTGGGCTTTAATATAAACTATTTTTATTTAATAAAACAATAACTTTTAACCATTATGAACTTACATCTGCATACAAAAAATAAGCTCTGTTTCAATTACTGTACAAGATTTTCTTCTCACCTGTAGCAGGCCCAGCAATCAGTGCTGAGAGCCAGGCTGCTGCAATAGTTGCAGAAACAATAACTTCATGCCATATTGTGTTTAACTCAAACTCCTCCCTGTTAATAACAGAACATCTCTTCAATTTTGAATAATGTACTGTACTTTTATTTCTGTTATTCAGTAACCATTCAGAATTATCATCAGTACTCTTCAACTAGAACCATTATTTTCACTTTTGTTGTATCATGTCTTATTTTTATATTTATTTTATTTTATTCATATATACAAGAGTTCCTACATTCTTGTAAAGCCACTAGCACGCATAGCGTTTTGGGCAAGTCCTTAAGCCTAATTTTCCCCGGAATACAACCCTCCAAATTGTTTAACAACCAGGTACTCATTCACTACTGGATGGCAGAAGCTACAGTTCAGGATTGGCGTCTGGTCAATCCTCCCCAGCCAGACGAACCCAGGCCAAAGTGCTCGTGAAGCACCGGGTGAGTACTTTGCGACTGTGCCACATGGACTGTTGGATATCTAATGCTAGTTTCACTCAAGTTCCTTTGTAAATGTGCCTATCTTTCTATGCTTCTGGGAACAACCCCCTAAGAGGATGATATGAACATGCTCAAGACATATCATAACATGATACACATGTGCAAATGCAGCATTTTGAGTTACTGTATCACACCTGACTACTCTCTGAAGAAAGAAACCACTGTGTCATAAACAGGATTCACGAATAGGCACATAAGATGACATTCAGCCACTGGCTGAATAGATAGATCAGGATGCAATGGATGGCCAACAGTGTTCTGTGTGTCTCACTGTGCCCTAGTTGTGCCCCACAATACTTTGCTGGTCTGCCTTCCTGCCTGTTGAACTATTCTAATGGTTTCCTCCACTCAGGCCTCCGGGTCCAGTCTTTGCATGCATAGGTAGACAAGCCTTAGTTCACTCTCAGTCCTTTCATGCACTTTTTCATGCTGGTCCAATGATGATAGGGTAGAAGAATGTCTTCAGGCATTTTGAAGTTCTTTGGCCCAGGACGCCTGGGCTTGGTTGGTGGTAGTTTAAGGGGTCACACTACAAGTTTAATTCCTATAAGGGTTCTTTAGACCTCAGAAAGTCAGCCACATTCATATTTACCTTCAGAAGTTGGCCAAGAATGTGGTGTGCATGACTTTATATATGAGAAGTGAAGAAAGGTTTCACCAAGAAAACAATATTCCTCAACAATCTTGGGTAAATACCCAAATTCCTTCTCCAACCTTCATAATGATCACAGTGTCCATGGTAAAGCGGATTATATTTTTCGAGTCCGGACTGGTATTGCTGGTCCTCCAGAATACTTCCTGGTATGTTCCAATTCACCCAGAGTTCAGGGACTTACTGGGGTTCCATGTCAAGAACACATCCTTCCACTTCAGGGCTTTTTTCCTCAACCTATGGGATGCCAGAACTCATTTGCCTCCCTGCCAGTGGCCACATTTGATACAGGCTTCTCACCTACAGCTAATTTAGAAAATTTATTGTTACCACCAACATCAACTATTGTATTGTGTATTGCATACTCATCCTGTGAGCATTAGAACCAAAGGGTTACAAGGGGCCCCAAAGGGCTTAATCTGACCTCAGAAGTGTCATTTATTCTACCAGGATCCTGAGAGACTGCACTCCATGATAAATTTTATTTGCATCGTGTACTTCCTAGGGCTCCTTTAACTGTGTAACTTAAAAAGATTCTTTCACTCATTCATTGCCAGTTCTGGTACCAGTGTGTGCGCTCCCTGCTGACCCTCAGAAATATGGATCCCTACATCTCTTAAGCTCATCATAGAAGCCTGTCATTACAGGTGGACATTTGCCTTTTATCTCCACAATGTAGGTGAATTCCAAATTTACCTCTCACACATAAATTTAGTGAATTAACAGCAGTATTTATCTGAGGGGCCACTATCTTTCTAGTGGCCTTGACAGGACTGAAAGCTAGTAGCTTGTCAAAGGTCCCTACCCATTGTTCCTGAGGATCTTTTCTAACTGAATTTTGAACTGAAGCAATGTCTTGGAATTTACAGGTAAATGGTTCCATGGGTATATGACCTTATGGGCGATAATGTATCTATTTTTCTCTTGTTGAGATTTAATGTTTCCTCTGTATGCATTACATCTGACCTTTCACAAAAATTATCTGGATATATATCCTATAACTTGTTCAGTATTTTAAAGGTCTCAGTGAGATCTGCCCTGTCATGTGTGGTTTACAGTGTTGTTAGTCCTCTGGCCCTCAATCATTCCTGGTATGAGAGTTGACTCAGTTCTGGGTTGATTTTTGAAGTATCTGGCTTTCATGAGAGTCTGAGCAATCGGACTCCATTCAGATAACATGTTGGTGGCCCATTATGATATTTAACACATTTGTGTCCACATGGAACCACAAGCTACATGTTTGTGTTGCTTCTTTCCATGACTGATGTGTTTATGTTTACAGCCTTAACTAAAGGTGCCAGGTGACACAGCTATTTAGGAAGCATATCTTTCATCCAGTAATATGGAGCTTCATTGTTCTGTGACTTATTTTCATATGAATATTATCTTTTAATGTTTGTTAAGTATGTCTTCATGTCCACCTGTTGATATTACTAATGTTATTTACTTACCTATTTTTAACACATTTGGCATTATCAAGAGGAAAAAAAATTCACACCAATTTTTTGACTCAACAAATGTCAAATTGGACTTATTTTTAAATATGAGTAACCCAGACATTACACACTCACTTACCTAATGAGGATCATAGCACCTGACACAACACCAGTGTCATAGCCAAAGAGGAAACCACCTAGGGCACTGAAAGCTGCCAACAGATAAATCGCCAATGGGAGATTCGTACTTGCATCTTTGCCCGAGTCTTCACCCATGGCACTCTCTGTATAATAAAAAATAAAAGCTTTAATAAGTAGTAAAGAAAAGTTTAATTAAGAGTTATGAATTTAATAAATTACTTTATTATTACATTTGTTGTGGCATGATTACAGTACAGCATGTACAATGAAGCCCTTTATGGCTAGGAATAAACACAACACACTGTTGATTAATGGCTAAAAAGCACAGCCCAGGCACTGGACATACATTCTATTTTAGCTCATAATAAAACTACAAAAAAGTAGAGGCTCAAACATGATTAAGGTACATATGTGGTGACCTATAAATCAAGCATTAGGAATTGGCTAGAGGTAGAGGACTTTTGGCAAGCCAGCAGCTCCTGTCCTTGTTGAGACCACTAGAAAGATGTTGGCCCTCAGGTAAATTCAGGTAAAAACTTAACATATGATGTACAATACAAAGTGTGGAGGAGCAATCTCAAGAGGTGGGGCTCATGCAGATGTTTGCACTGTGATATGAGGTCAAGCTATACTGTAATACATTGTGGCGCAGTGACAGCCAAGTTTTGACATCAGGAGGAACACAAGAATGATGCCACTCCACATAAATAAAATAAAAATTATTAATTTTTGGTTTCCATTATTAGGGACAGGAAGCTTGTTAACCTTCTCAAGGTCCCCCTAAGCCCACGGCTGACCTTTCTCCAGATACAAACCACAACAGTTGTCTAACTCCCAAATATCTATAATAACAATAGTAATCATTTTTATTCAGGTAAAAGTACATACATACAAAATACAAAATGAGTTACAAACAGAATGTTGGATTTCTAGATAAAGAGCTAGTATATATTACTGTATGCCTAAAGCCACTAATACGCACAGCATTTCAGACAAGAAGTGGCAATCTATTTACTCCTAGGTGAACAGAGATTTCTGGTAAAAGGAAATGTGGCTGTATACTACTGTATTTTATTACATATACAGTATATTATATATAATAGATCTTAGACAAGGTGAAATATGCACTAGCTATTCTATCACTGTACTACCTGTTGTTTTTGTTTAAGATTCAGCTACTCGGAACAAAAAGTTCCAAGTAGCACGAGCTGTGGTGAGCCCGTAGTGGACTTACCTGGCACAGGAGCGGGGCTGTAACTCATCACTGTATTATCATGCAAGAAGGGCCATGTACTTATGGAATAGGGTCTCATAATTAAGGACAGATCTACTTTGAAATTAATAAAGTTTAAGCTTCAGAACCCCAAATTCCAGAAGGGTCTCAAAAGTGACTTTAGTTATCACTCTGGCCTTCTTAAGAATATCTGGGAAGGTTTAGAGCTCAAGTGATTAGTTGTAAAAAAATACTATGGTAGGGAGCTATGGTTTGCTAAAAATGCTTTGGTTTGGTGGGGAGCTAAAAACCTTGAAGTACAGAATTTTTATAAATTATGGAATGGTATCTCAGAAAGGTTACTTGATTTAGTTTTAGGTGAGAGAATTGTGTCATTAACATCTGACAAGTTTGTTGGAATAGGTGAAGACTCAGGATAGCTGCCAGAGAAGTAGTAAGCTACATTATTTTGGGATTCGGGGATCTCATTTGCATGGGATGTGTCAATGAGTGAGAAGAAATAATATAATATTTATAGTTTAATACATTATTTATACATTTATATTTAATATATTATAAGGTTTACCATAAAAAGCTACAGTATATAAAAACTAAAATAAAATAGTCTACATTCTTTAGCACTAAAGTATTAAATGTAAAAAATTATTATATGTACTAGACTTTCTTAACTATGTTAACATACCTTAAATATATATATTTTGCAAACAAGCCTTAACACTGCTATGGGGTTATATGAAAAAACATTATCATTATTATATCTATGATTCAAACAACAAAAATCATAAAATTGGGCAATTCTTTTAAGCACAAACACATTAAACTAAGACTACCCTGATTAACATCAACAGAAAACGTAAACTCAGTAACACGATCAGAAGCGATCCCTCGACGCATTCATCAACATTATCTATTTATTCTTATCATATGAGTTTATACCGAGTCTACTTCTCAAAAAAGGTACCTCAGTCCCAACCTTGGCGACCACAGGAAGGCGTTACCCTACACCACCGCTTGTGCAGTTATCGAGACGAGAAAAATGACCTCTACATAAGCTTAGGAAATGTATATGCTTATCTCTCAGAAAGTTTGGTAATATGTTTATTGTTTGTGATGTGTTTATATGTATGTATTAACAAGCTGTACTGAACGGGGTGAGAATAGCTTGAGCTACCTCATCCCTTTGTGTGTATTTTACCTCAATAAACTTATTTCAATTTCTACATAAGCTCTGCGTATAAAGACTTAAGCACCTCACGGAAACTATACCTTGTAATAGTTGAACTAATTAGTTTTCTCTTGTTCTCGAATACTCACCTATTCCAGAGTCGAGAAGAGGTTCGTACTCCTCCATACTTTAGTACTGTGATGTGTACAGACGGGTTCTTTACACCATAAACATGTCCCTCCCCTCCACACTATAGCTTGGTCGTGTTGACGTTTAATGATGCTTGCTGTCGCATCTTGACGTCAATAATCTTTAGAAAACTTCTGGCTTATGTGGCATAAATAATTGTTTTTATATAAATGGACTTGAATTGCCCGAAACGCTTTGCGTAATAGTGGTTTTAGGCATTGTATGTACTAGCTCTATCTATAAATCTATCAATTTTTGTAAAATCTCTTGTATGTATGTACCTTACTTGAATAAACATTTATTTATTTATATTTATTTATAGTTATATTTAGTGGCTATTGTTGAGGACTAGGCTTGCAATATGTGCAATATCATATCTGGGTGATGACATGACCTCTTGTCACTAATGTTCGAGAAATGTATCAGTATTTAATCCTGAATAACTTGCATTAATTGTTGCCAAATGCTAAGATCTCGCATGTGGTGCAGTGGTCACCACAACTAAGGTTACAACCGAATGATCCTGGGTTACATTCCCGCGGCAGGACAGAAGCATTTTGTGGTACATATACGGTTTCTTCTACCTGTTGAACTAGTAGTAATGTGTTCCCGGGAGTTGAGCAACTGTTGTGGGTTGCGATTGATGAAGATTAAGCCACCCCAAAAGGTGGCACGGGCATGAATAGCCCGTAAGTAGTAGCCCTTTTGAGCCATTACCAGTATCAAGAGCTGATACTGGAGATCTGTGGAGGTGCGACTGCACCCTGCGTGACGGGAGATGTCTCCCGTGTGTGGGTTGCAAACAGTTGGCCAACATATATCTTGCATAAAGGGCATAACAATTCACGACACAACTGTCAAATTAACAACATTGTCTTGCAGCAGATTGAGGAAGAAGTAAGTAATTATCAAAGACAAATTGAGGAAGAAAAGGACTGAGTCAGAATCTACTTGGCTGTTTTAAGTTCAAGTTCAAGTATGCTTATCGAGACAAGAAAAATACATCTCAAAGGGATAGAGTAGCTTAGGCTATTTCTACCCCACTACTTGGGCTGGATGGTACAGCGTCTTATTTCGTGCAAGTCAGCGTTCAATCCCCGACCGGCCAAGTGGTTGGGCACCATTCCTTTTATCCGTCCCTTCCCAAATCCTTATCCTAATCCCTCTTAAAGTGTTATATAGTAGTAATGACTTAGCATTTTCTCCTGATAATTGCATTTTCACTGGAAGGTGCACAGTAAGTGGGAGCTGCAGTAAAAAATGCTAACCAAACCCTAGGAACAATTAAGTGATTCTTTGACTTTAGCTTAAGGAAAAAGGGTAGTTATTCAACTGTAAGGGGGTTCCACCTCTGGTAAGGGTGGAAGAGACCCATAGCCTCCGAGAAGAGAATAAAGGGTATTCAGAGAAGACCTTGTGGATTCTCCCTGAACACTTGAGTACTGTAATTTCTACTCCTAACACCTCTACTTTGTATTATTTTATACAATATGATTTATTTATTTCATTTATTTTATTACACTCTGTTACAGTTTATAGAAAACAGACATATAGAAATCAGTGTTCGAAGACCTCATAAAGCTAGCTCTTCAGAGGTCAGGTACATGCCCAAGATATAGCAAGCATTTCCTCTCTGGATCGCGACATCCTTGAACTGGTTCAAATACATTTAACTTGAAGCGGGTATAAATTTTAATGATTTTAGCATTAACGTTATTAATGCATTAGCATTATTATTATTTTAGCATTATTAGCATCTTGTTGCATAATTATCATACATTTCTTCATCCTAAATGAGACATTTGTATTTGCCGTTATTGTGAAAATTAAATACTATATCTCTACAATTATTATATAGTTATCTCTAAAGCTACAGAATTTATATTAAAGCTACAGAATATATATTAATATAAATTTATGTTTATCTTTTTTTGAAATTATTATTTTATGTCTGTCTTTCATCGTTATCACGTTAGAAAATTGTACAGTATTTACCCATTCATATACATTAACTTGCTGTTCACATAGCATTCTTAAATATTACTCCAAAAAAATTGAGCTCAGTTAACACTTTTTTTTCAAGTTATGGCCGAAACACTGCACTTAATTATATTTTTATAATACAGTATATACAAACGCTGTACATACTAAATAATTATACTGTAATCTAAATCCTTGTATAGTTTTATAATAATAATAATATTATTATTTTTGTATTATTATTATTATTATTATAAATTTGTCAATGAAAATTAGACGAAAAGGTATATATGACGTGATTAGTATTATATACATAATGTCTCCGGTGGACAGTAATCTACAACAATAAAACAAATTGACCAACCTTATGAACGACTGGGGTTATAAGCTGTATTACTGACGAGGAGATTCAACAAAAGCGAGATAACATCAGAACATGACAGAGAGAAGAGGTGGATTGAGAGGGAGGCGATGTCGAGTAGCCTAGTCCCTGATGTTATGATAAAGGTAATCATGCTTTATCTTTTTATAGCTGATTACCTGATTAATTCATTGTGATCTGGCACTGCAGATGGTGAGAGCCTCATGCTCAGTCAGTTAGGCTAAGCATTATCGAGTCTTGTCAGTAACTGAGTTGGTAACCATATGATATAGCCTCGTCTTAACTAGAAAGGATTTTTGAAAAGCAATTGACGGTGTATTTAATCTAAATTACACCTTTATTGTGCATTCCGTACACTACATATCTATAAAAACCTTAAACATAATTTTCCCCTGATTTTAGATAACTTATATGAGACTATAACAGGATTTAAAAAAAAATAAAAAAAAAAATTGGAATTGTCTGTCTCCACCCCTTGCTGGAGACAGACAATTCCACCTTTAGCTAGTTACTGACAACCCCACCTCTAGCTAGGTACTGACAACCCCACCCCTAGCTAGAGAAAGACAACATCTGCCATATCTGGTGAAAGCATTTGGACAACAAATCTCCCGCCACAACACAGCAGTGACGCAGCAGCAGGAAAACCAGACGTAAACACAAGGTGAAACGTGGCTGGAAAACAGTCTGTCCTACCAACTGGAGGAAGACTTGTTGAACCTGGCGCTTGTTAGCACTAAATTGGTATCAAGTGCTCGTTAGAAATGAAATGACAATCAAATTCATGTTAAAGTGCGCTGGGAGATAGTCAGATATAATGGATTTGTTGAGCTGAACATGCGCCAGGGCCCATAGAACATGAAGAAGGTGATGTATATAGGTGTACCATTCTCAGGGGCACGAAGCCTGTTAGGGTCGTTCCCGTGAGCACCCAGCCAGTGCTGGTCATTCTCAATGGTGCTTAACTTGATTGGTCAAGTGGTGTGCGCATCAACCATGATTCGCCAGTTGAGAACTTGTGGAGTGATGCAGGTGACAACTTGTGGGGTGAGGCGGGTGACAACTTGTAGGGTAAGGCGGGTGACAACTTGTGGAGGCAAGTGACAACTTGTAGGGTGAGGCGGGTGACAACTTGTGGAGGCAAGTGACAACTTGTGGAGTGAGGAAGGTGACCACTTGTAGGGTGAGGCAGACAACTTGTAGGGTGAGGCGGGTGACAACTTGTGGAGGCAAGTGACAACTTGTGGGGTGAGGCAGGTGACCACTTGTAGGGTGAGGCAGGTGACAACTTGTGGAGCCGGCTTACTATGCCAATGACAACTTTAATTGCATGTTTATTAGTGTGCTCGAAAGCGGGATTAAAAAGTACCATAACAGAATAATTGTGTCGGGTTTTATGTCATTCAAGTGTTTGTCGGCAGTGGTGGCGGAGGACTGGCTCCCGCACTAGCCTGTGGGTGTGGACAGCACTCCTGACTGTGGCCCACGTGTACCTGTGGCGGCAGGAGCTGGGCCACCTCTACCAGCAGCCTCTACAGAAGAACTCGGCCAGTATTCAGGTCCTGGAGAGGTACAGACGCTGCGTGAAAAGTTAGTATCTAGCGATAATTTTTAACATTTGAGCATTGGCAGTCTCCGTGGTGTAGTGGTAAGACACTCGCCTGGCGTTCCGCGAGCGCTATGTCATGGGTTCGTATCCTGGCCGGGGAGGATTTACTGGGCGCAATTCCTTAACTGTAGCCTCTGTTTAACGCAACAGTAAAATGTGTACTTGGATGAAAAAACGATTCTTCGCGGCAGGGGATCGTATTCCAGGGACCATAGGATTAAGGACTTGCCCGAAACGCTACGCGTACTAGTGGCTGTACAAGAATGTAACAACTCTTGTATATATCTCAAAAAAAAAAAAAAAAAAAAAAAAAATTGGTTCTCATCCTTTTTTCTTTCTTTTTTTTCCCCATGCCCCCTTTTCGCTATATGTCAGAATGTCATTCTCCCTTTCCAAGATTGTCTGACTCAAAAGTTGCATTCCAAATAATATGCATATACTATTTAAAATGTGTATCTTTATTTTTAATTTAATCTGACATACAATAAAGTGTGATGTTCTGTATATTATGTATAATCTGTAAAATTGTAGTTTGTAGAAAGATCAATATTCCAATAGTTTGAGTTTGTGACCCTAATCCTCTCCACTGAAACCCTAAAATCCCCCTTTTGGGAAAATATTCCCCCCCCCACAGATGAGCATCTCTGATCTAGGGTCTAGAGCAAGGGTTCTTAACCGAGGGGTATCCAAACCCCTTGGGGCTATCGGAAGCAAATAATGGTACAAAACCAACTAATGAACCAAATAGTACAAACCGGTTTTTGTTAGGGGTGCAACAGTCCATGTTTTGTAATCGCTAAGACTAATTTTGGGAAGAACAGTTGACTAGACCCCACTTAATCAAGCCATCCCGCATCTATTTTGTTGCCCAGTAATCAGCTTCACAAATCAATAATCCTACATCCATCTCAGTATTTACACTAGTCTTCTTCATCTTAATTTATCCAATTTACATCCATTGTTTCGTTTGATATTTTGTGTTTATATATTTAACACAATGATATGATTTTGTTTATATTCAACTGTATCTTACAACACAGGCTAACACGCTTAATGATCCTACTATCGTACTCTTGTGTGGCTCAGAGGCGTGCTGGAGACTGAACCTGCGGTACCCCATCCTGAGGGCGACCGACGGCCGGCTGGTGCACCACCTGCGCCGGCTCATAGATTCTCCTCCGGGTGCTTCCCAGGGGCTCCTTGACCGTGGGACTCCTCCTCCCCGGACTTTCCAGGGGCGCCTCAACCCTAGAAATCCTCTTCAAGAGGTCTTCCAGGGGCACCTCGACCCTCACCATCCTCCCTGGCACAACGTCACCTCCTACAGTGTCACCGAGAAAGTCATCAGGGATGTATTTGGAACAGCGGTAATTAGATACATCTCGTTGGTGATTCTATTATATTTATTTCATGCTTATTTCATTCAGGGCCCCCTTTATGTCTAACAATACGACCCTAAGTGTGTAGTCGCTGTTTAAGAACGTACATGTACATTGGGTTTATGAGGATACATAGCATTGGTGTTTTACTTTCTTGTAAAGCCACTAACACGCATAACGTTTCGGGCAGGTCCTTAATCTAACAGATATTTTTAAGTAGGTAATTTCGAGGAAAATTGAGAAATGTTAACAGGTACATTTTACGAAAATTCGACGAAGATTAGTAGGTAGAAAAATTTGAGGATTATCACGAGGTACGTTGAAGCATAATTTGAGAATTGTTTCTATATATGTTGTAGTAAAATATGCGTTCAATATAACAACAATGATATAAGATGATAGCAGTGATTACAATGAAGTTGAATGGCTTAGGCACACATATTGGGAGAGTGGGTAGCACAAGATACAATGCGAGTTTAAAGTTATATTTAAAAGTTAACCGTAATAACATTTAAGCCTATATAATTAAGTTTGATCCTATAACTGTAACTGTAGTGTTAGTTTTTATCTTGACTGCAAGGCTGCAGTTACAGGCTATGTTGTTGACCTATTGGGCTGATTATTGCGTTTGACCAGTCCTATGTATGATAGTCAGGTGTTTGGTATTGTTAACTTGGGTAATGAAATGTTGTAAATAATGAGATGTATTACGAATGTGTGAAGGAGGGCGGAGTGTTCGTGGAGGTCGGCGCCCAGGACGGGCTGTGGCTGAGTAACAGTTGGTGGCTGGAGGCCGCTCGAGGCTGGAGAGGACTCCTCGTCGAGGCCGACCCACACAACTACCTCCACCTCAGAACCTCTCCCAGGACCTCCAGGACCCTCCCCGTCTGCGTCACTACCGGACTCAGAGTTAAACAGGTAAGCTAACCTGTACTGCTGGTACCCCGCTAATCCTCTTGACCTCTGTAGGTCATCAGAGTGTACATAAAGACTATATTTGAAAACAATGTATAGGCCACTCTCTAGACGGCTGGGAGGGATAAGTACACTCCAACTCCGACTTGGACTGGGGACAGAGATAGACTGCAGCTCTCTGAAGAGGAGACGGATCAGTTATCGAAAGTCTGAAAAAGAGAGACAGTCCTGTTTATGGCTGTTTTCCTTTGTCAACTTTGGAGACTGAAATCTGTATGACTGACTTAAAAGTCTTGTGTGAATAACTTGAGGTTTTGTGCATTTAATATTATTATGTTTAATTTACTGATGAATTAGGCATATATAACATTATCAGACACGTGATCCAAATGGTGGAATGGAACAGGGGAGAGGTCTTACAGATCACAAAAATAAGTTTTTTTAAGGCACTTAAATTGGTCTCAACACATCCTGTAACTAATATACTCTCTCTCATTAATATCAGGATAATAAACAGTTATAAAGAAAATAACAGGAAAGACTTGCACCAGCAAAATTCCACAACGATTCCCTAATCGTGTCTTATGATCAAACATCTCCCTAGGCACGAGGGCCACCAACATCATACTGACTTTTACCCCACAGCATCACTTCACAGAATGCCTACGTTTAACTCCACCTCTTTTGGAATCCACTGATCATGGCCTCTCCAAAATCTGGGTCACCACTCACAAGCTCTTCGGGTTTATACGAACTGCCTCATATTGGCCAATAGGCCTTCTGCAGTGTCTTTAATTTTTATTTTATTTTGTTTTCTCTTACAAAACATTTGACCTTCCCCTAAGTACCAAGTTGACAGTGATTTCTGAAATGGCCAGCTTGGGCTGTAGCCTAGTGACAGATGGCGCTGCCTTTAACGTTGCTAGTGTTGTAAACACATAGGGACGGTCTGGGTAAAACCTAATATTTTGCATCCTGAACCAATACAACCTTCTTCAAGTCCAAGCATCATGATACAACACATGTAAGTACACTGGGAGTGCACGTGTTAAGAGGATGTGTTCATAAATTTGTTATACAGTTTTGAAGATCATATCATAATATAGCTGGGCTCATTTTGAGCACAAACAGAGGCACAATAAATGATCTACACAGTTTCTAACACAATGGAGGCTCAAATAAGGCTCTGTTACAACTTTTAACCTAATAGAGGCTAGTGTAAAATTTAAGAACCTCCTCATCCAGTGACTGTTTCCCTGTAATCTAGCAGTAGTTGACTCCCCTGAAATAGATATTCCTTTACCGAGCAGCATTATCTCTTTCTGCCACAGGAGTCGTTGGTGCGGAGGGAGCCAGAGGTGGGAAACACTATACTGGGCATGCACCAGCGGGGTATGACCATGCTCACCCGCTTCGCTACTCCCAGGGTCAGTGTTGTCTATCTCCCAGTCCCAGTAACTTCTTGCTGCTGGTTTGTTTATCGCATGTCATGGGTTTGTTGAGTGTTTGTTGTTGGTGTTGCAAGTACTTGCCTTAGCTGGATTGACCCAGAGGGCGTGCAATACCATTCGTCCAGCTTGCCTTAGCTGGATTGACCCAGAGGGCGTGTAATTCGTATTGCAGACCACCCTATTGATGAAGTGTTGCAGAGGATATTATACCCCGAGTATGTAAAACTTGGATTGTGGTACCGCATGGTGCCATTCAAATTTTTGAGCTCATCATGGTTCATTAGGTAGTACATTTGCTTGGGAAGCTCATAGATGCAGGATGAATCCTGTTGTACTGCCTTAATATTTTAGCTTATTGTAAATTAAACTAGTTTTTTTTATTTCTCTTCATACGTGAGGTTTTTAATTCTTTGTCATCCTTCACAGTAAGCAATTAAGTGAATTTATACTAGGCTTAACATTGCAAATATAAGGCCTATGATTGCTTAGAATTAGGACAGGTTGGGTTAATGTATTACAGTTTGTATTATGCCCTTCTCGCTCCTCCCCCACCATAATACAATACAATACAATGTTTATCCGAAAGAATGAATAAAATACAGAAGCTTACTGCTCACCATCAACTGTTCACTTCCTCTTCACATTTTGTTGCGTCATTTTACCCTTATAAGAACTGAAATTCTTTTGAGTTTTGCTTCACTATAAAGAGTAGTTGTTGGCTCAGAGACATGAACATGTTTTTCTTGACAGGACCATTACCTGGGGAAGACCTGGGACGCCACCTGCTTCCCTCTTCTCTCCGTCCTGGCTGCTGCCGGCTACAGGCAGGTAGGTACGTTAGGAGTGGGTGCGCGCTACGTACTATTTTTGTGTGTTCATGAGGCTTGCTTATTTATGTGCGCCCTCGTGCATTGTCATGTACTTTGTGCGTCGTTTGTGTACTCAGGCGTCGCTGTGTATGTGTGAATTCGTGTGTTGAAGCACATTGTGTTGGTATGTTCTGTGTTCGCGTACACTGTCATGCGTCTGTTTGGTGTGTGCATGTGCATCCATGTGTGACTATGATGTGTGTGTGCATGTGCATCCATGTGTGACTATGATGTGTGTGTGCATGTGCATCCATGTGTGACTATGATGTGTGTGTGTGTGCATGTGCATCCATGTGTGACTATGATGTGTGTGTGCATGTGCATCCATGTGTGACTGATGTGTGTGTAATTACCTAAGTGTAGTTACAGGATGAGAGCTACGCTCGTGGTGTCCCGTCTTCCCAGCACTCTTTGTCATATAACGCTTTGAAACTACTGACGGTCTTGGCCTCCACCACCTTCTCACTTAACTTGTTCCAACCGTCTACCACTCTATTTGCGAAGGTGAATTTTCTTATATTTCTTCGGCATCTGTGTTTAGCTAGTTTAAATCTATGACCTCTTGTTCTTGAAATTCCAGGTCTCAGGAAGTCTTCCCTGTCGATTTTATCAATTCCTGTAACTATTTTGTATGTAGTGATCATATCACCTCTTTTTCTTCTGTCTTCTAGTTTTGGCATATTTAATGCTTCTAACCTCTCCTCGTAGCTCTTGCCCTTCAGTTCTGGGAGCCACTTAGTAGCATGTCTTTGCACCTTTTCCAGTTTGTTGATGTGCTTCTTAAGATATGGGCACCACACAACAGCTGCATATTCTAGCTTTGGCCTAACAAAAGTCATGAACAATTTCTTTAGTATATCGCCATCCATGTATTTAAATGCAATTCTGAAGTTAGAAAGCATAGCATAGGCTCCTTGCACAATATTCTTTATGTGGTCCTCAGGTGATAGTTTTCTATCTAGAACCACTCCTAGATCTCTTTCTTTATCAGAATTCTTTAAAGATTTCTCACATAATATATAGGTTGTGTGGGGTCTATGTTCTCCTATTCCACATTCCATAACATGACATTTATTAACATTAAATTCCATTTGCCAAGTGGTGCTCCATATACTTATTTTGTCCAGGTCTTCTTGAAGGGCATGACAGTCATCTAAATTTCTTATCCTTCCTATTATCTTAGCATCATCAGCAAACATGTTCATATAATTCTGTATACCAACTGGTAGATCATTTATGTACACAATAAACATCACTGGTGCAAGAACTGAACCCTGTGGTACTCCACTTGTGACATTTCTCCATTCTGATACATTGCCTCTGATTACTGCCCTCATTTTTCTATCAGTCAGAAAATTTTTCATCCATGATAGAAGCTTACCTGTCACCCCTCCAATATTTTCCAGTTTCCAGAACAACCTCTTATGTGGAACTCTGTCGAAAGCCTTTTTTAGGTCCAGATAGATGCAGTCAACCCAACCATCTCTTTCCTGTAATATCTCTGTGGCTCGATCATAGAAACTGAGTAAATTCGATACACAGGATCTTCCAGATCGAAAACCATACTGTCTGTCTGATATTATATCATTTCTCTCTAGGTGTTCTACCCATTTAGTTTTGATTAGTTTTTCCAATACTTTCACTATTACACTTGTCAATGATACAGGTCTATAATTGACCTGTGCATGTGTGCATGTGCATCCATGTGTGACTATGATGTGTGTGTGCATGTGCATCCATGTGTGACTGATGTGTGTGTGCATGTGCATCCATGTGTGACTGATGTGTGTGTGCATGTGCATCCATGTGTGACTATGATGTGTGTGTGCATGTGCATCCATGTGTGACTATGATGTGTGTGTGTGCATGTGCATCCATGTGTGACTATGATGTGTGTGCATGTGCATCCATGTGTGACTATGATGTGTGTGTGCATGTGCATCCATGTGTGACTATGATGTGTGTGCACATGTGTACGATAGCCCACATGTGAATGATAATCCATGCAAGTAATTTTATTAATTTTCACTTATTACGTATAAAACAATTTTTTGTTTCTTGCTTAAACAAATTATCTTATGTTTAAATAAAGCTAAGTATGATTTAAAACTGATTTAACTGATTTATGATTTACACACACACATATATATATATATATATATATATATATATATATATATATATATATATATATATATATATATATATATGATATATATGCGCGTGATATATATATATAATATATATTGTGACGCGTTGGTGTTCGGCTGTTCAAAGCTAGGGGTATGGCCTCGTCACATAGTATTAAAAAAAATAGAAAATCTGGAACTTCGTCTGTGGTAAGGTAAGGAGAAGACACACAAAACACAAGTAAATTTTAACAATGGAATTTTAATTACGTTTAAGAAATAAAACATGAATAAAATGGACAAACAAATTCGTATAATAAAATCAATCAATCAAAATAATAAGAATAATTAAATGACACAATGAAAAGTTACGTTAAGACAAAATAACAAGAAGTGCAATATTCAAGTATATGAAAGGTGCTGGAATATTGGCTTTAAGCTATCACCTCTCTCAGTATACGTACGCTAAAGCTTACGTCTAGCAGGGAGAAGTGTTAACTGTGAAAGCACGGAATATTCTGAGGACTGAGGTCGTGGCGGCCCCAGACATCAAGTAGTATGGGGGGGTGGAGTGCAGTTGCAGCCCGACCGGCGACCAATCAGAGGAGCCGGCAGCAAGACAGGTAGTTTGGCGGTTTGAGTCTGAGCAGGTGTTCTTGGCTGCATACGTTTTGCGCTCTGGCAAACCTTGGAGATGTTGTTGTCGTTGTTGGACATTTCTTCCATAGTAGTTTTATATAGTTGTATCGACGTAATTGTGGAGGGAAGAGCAGGCTCAATCTCTTGAAGGAGATTATTGTCACAATATATATATATATATATATATATATATATATATATATATATATATATATATATATATATATATATATATATATATATATTTTTAGTAGCATATATGCTTTGGGACCATTCAAACTTGTTCGCATATATTATATATTATATACACACACATACATACATACATAGAGCAAATACCCATAAATTGTGGATTTATATTACATAATGAAGGTTACAAAATTTATACATTATGTAATAAATATTTACATAATTAAGCGAATTTAATTTTTTTATGGTTAATCATTTTGTCACTATTTATAGTGTTCTCTTTTTCTCATAAAAGTAACAGCTGTTCTTACGTCAAATATTATTGTAAATAGATAATTTAAGTTACTGAGAAACATTCTATTTGTTTTCCAGATAAATCTGTTAATATTTGACGTCACTGGCGGAGGGTTTGAATTGATGCAAGATTTTTTTGAAACGAACTCTGACCTTGGCCACCCTTTCAGGGCACAGGTAAGTGTTCTTCCTGCCTTTATGCACCCTTACAGAACACATACTTAGTGATCCGGCGTTCTTCCTACTTCTGAATACACTTGTAGAATGCACAATGAAATAACTTTAATATGATGTATAATTGAGAACATCAGTACGAGCTATGAGGCGGACAGTCTAAGGCGTGGGCTTGAAAGTACTAAGTGTGCCGGTTCGAATCCTTCTTATGGTTACTCCTGATTTTTCTCATTTGTAGAACACAGATATAGTGATCCGTTAGTGTCTATCGCACATTTCTCACAATTGGTACTTCACTGCTCACCTCTGGCAGGTGGTACTGCTTGGAATTTAATATAAAACAACCCATTAAGGTGTTAATGACCCGCAGGCTGTCCTGTACCAGGACACATCGCTGGTGAACAATACGGAGATGGCGGAGGAGGCGAGGGCTCTAGGCTACACTCATCTGGCCATCAGCTCCTCACACTTCCTCCTGCTGCATCGCTCCCTCGGTGTGGCTCTGGCCTGAAGCCCCCTGCAGCATCCTCGGTGTGGTCCAGGCACTATCTTTTGATAGGACCCTGAGACTCGCCCACCCTTTCCAATCCCTTTGGACATCAAAGCGAAAGCGAAGAGACTCGCCGTCACGGGGTCGGACCTCGTAGGTCGATGGAGCAGCGTGGCGCCGCCGACGGTGCGATGAAATTGACGCTCAAAAAGGATTTAGTGTTTGGGTCAGGGGGGCGCGGGCTTGGCTCTCTCACAGCTCCTGGGGGCCAGGGCGGTGTCAGGATATGCCGTGTTTTTTTTTTTAATTTATTTTGTTATTTGTGGTTTGTGTTGGGGTTATACCCATGTATAGTTTCAATGGTGCGCAATGTTGTGTAATGTGTTTACTGTTGCCCCGTACTATGTTTGTTATTTTTTTTAACTGAGAATGTACATTTTCCTGTTTATAACGGCTGCTGGGCCTAGTTTCTGGAGCATGTAACGACCTTAGAGTGTTGGGATCCCTTGTGTGTACTTTTATGTTTGTAAATATTCTGTTGCACTGTATTGGTGATTTGTAATGTCTAGTTAACTTATCTATATTATTTTTGTGCCTTTGGTGTAATTTTTGTACACGTATGTGTGATGATCAAAGGGAGAGTATCTTTCAGTACTTGTTATGTATTACTACTTGTCTTAGTTCTGTGTTTGTAATATTGTGTAAAGTTATGTTGTTAAGGTGTACTTTTATTTGTATATATTCTCTGTTTTTTATCAAATAAAGGTAAACAAAAAAGAACATTGACAGGCAACATCCAGATGTCCAGGATGTCCGCATTTAAAGCAGGTCCGGGGTTTTCCATGGTAAAGGAAGCTGACCGTAAAACCACCAATCGAAATAGACAACACATTCTTGTGAATCATCATCTTAGCTGTACCGAAGCCATTTAACAACCCCCCTTAGCCTCGCCCGAGGTGTACTCACACATAGGGTCACATTCCATTTTTCCCTACGTGTCAGGTACATGACATAGACTTTCCTCTGACATCTCAAAAGGCGCGTCCTTAAAGGCCACGTACGATTTCAATTTATTTCTTTATAATGCACCCCATATCCATCCCGTGGGCGGTAGTGGAAAGGGTTACAGAGGCACATAACCGGTTCACGAACTGAACCTCATAGTTCATTTAGTTAAGCAAGTGACAATCTTTCAAAGCTAGTTACACAATTGTTAATGTTACATATGTACATTTACACACATACATACATACAAACAATCTTTTTATATCACGAGTGATTCAACAAGTCACTATACAAGGCACTTTACATCTATGGTGAGTCACATAGTTACTAGTCTTGCTGCACACCCACACAACTGGGCGGCAGCTTTACAGTCATGTGCATGCATTACCTACAGTAAGTAAACCTTTGGATACTTCGCTAGGATTCCTGGCAGCACAATCTTATGACTGAAGCACTGACACCATTTCTTGGGCACCATTGATGGTGTTATCTCTGAATTCCGTGATTTTTTCACATACCATTGTATAATGACGCAAAGTATGCGAATAGTTCTGCCGAAAGAATTTACATTTAGTCAAATCTACATCAGCAGATGTTACAAACACCCAGAGGTACTTGTAGCCGAGCCTAAGCTTAGCAGTGGTAACATCTACAAGTCTACGAACCTTACCTTGTATACCTTATTGGATGACCCATAGACGCGCGGTTCTTCCTGCCTACTAGAATGATGATAAATGGAGTAACTGGTGTGAATTGAGTAAACCACACTCAAATTCTTCACGACCACAGCTTCATTGCTCTAACCCACCTCCCACCCTCATACCGGTTCACAAAACTCTTTAACGACGCTCTTTTGAAAAACTTCACCACCGCCTTGTTGTCGCGTAGGACCTGTAACCCAACCAGGTCGGGTTGAATCGACTTGAGAATGGTCCAGGACGGACCGAAACGTCGTCGTCCCTTTACCTTCTAGTGTGTGGTCTGATCAACCAACCAGGTCATCCGATTTCACTTGCATAACATCAAGCAGTGTTGCTGATCACCCCGAGATCCACACTACAGGTAAAAGGTAGCCTGGCCGACTCCCTCCTCCTCGACGGCGGCATATAGGTCCCCATACTGAGACCAGCGTCACCACCGTCAGTGGTAAACAACCACTAGGCAGGACACAACTCGTTCTCGACTCAAGTCCATTACATTCAGCGGTCAACCCCACAGACGCATTCATAAATTTTAACATGCTGTTCATTCAAAACGGGAATTTTCTCAAGTATAAATTAATATTATAATATATTAGCATATTGTGTATATATAGGCATAGGATAGGTTAGGTGTTTAGGTTCTGTTGGCGATTATTTGTATTTATAGTACGTGGGTGAAGCATCTACAGCGTTGTGGTTCGAACAGAATTCGTCAGTGAAACACTTGTTCCGGAAGTGTTTGAACATCATCAGTTGTGAGTCGTGTGTAAACCGTTTTTCATTCATAAACAGCAGGTGCACGGAATCTCTTTTGACCTTTGTGAGTCAGTCTCCACAGTCCCTGTGGCGTGGTGGTAAAACAATTGCCCGACGCTTTGCAAGTGCTTTGGCCTGGGTTCGTATCCTGGCCGTGGAGGATTTACTGGGCGGCATTAGTGAATGGGTACCTGGTTGTTAAACGATTTGGCGGGTCGTATTCCAGGGAAAATTAGAATTAAGGACTTGCCCGAAACGCTATGTGTGCTAATTGCTGTACAAAAATGTAAGAGCTCTGGTATATATAGAAATAAATAAATAAATAAATAAATAAATAAAATTAAAAAGGACGGGCTGTGGGGCCAGTAGTGGCTGAGGAACTTTAGCTTTGATGTCCAAAGAGCTTGGAGAGGATGTGGGAGGCAGAAGGACGGGGCAGTGAAATTCTTGGAAGAGGATCTGGATGTGGAGAGAGGAGGCTTGAAAGTTCGGTGGCCTTTCCACCGCGGATTGGAGATGTTTTTTTTCGGTCTAAGCTTGTAGCTTGAGTTCTTCTTAAGCGGCAGTAGGCTAGTGGTGAGACGGTGTGATGTCGTCCTGATCCGGTTGAGGTGTTCTGTCTGGCTTGCAGGAGGCGTCTTCCCAATGAAGTTGTTAGACCTGTTCGTTCTTTTAACTTTGGTTCGATTTTGACTATGGTGGTACGATGTTGTAATTTCGCCTGAAATATCGGAGCACCAGCTTTGGTATCGGAGTTCCTTCTGGGTGTTCGGCTGCAGGAGAGAAGTCGATTTGTTCCATCTTTTCTGCCCTGAAGACTGAGGTCGATGTGATATTTATGTTCAGGATGGAGAGGTCTATGTATCCCTCCACTGTGGAATAGTGGACGAACATTACGTGAGGTAACTTGGTTTTGTTTGTGTTGGAGATGCGCCGGATGCATTCTATGGCCAGGATTTTTCTAGTATTGCTGTTACATAAGAACATAAGAACAAGGTAACTGCAGAAGGCCTATTGGCCCATACGAGGCAGCTCCTATCTATAACCACCCAATCCCACTCATAAACATGTCCAACCCACGCTTGAAACAATCGAGGGACCCCACCACTGTTGCCATTGAAGACTACCTCCTGAGGGATATAGAGACAGTAACAAGGTTTGCTTCTGTGTGAATATATCAACGAAAACGTTGTCCACAGATTCTGAACATGAAAAACACACTGACAGATTTTATGGTAAAGTTGAAGGTAAAGTAAAGTCATGCTTGTCATTACTCATATTAGGCATAGATGCGGGCTATTACTAGTGCTGCTGGAGAGAGTCCTCACACTTGATGCATCTCTTTGTGTACGCTTTCCAGGCCTAATGAGCGTCTGCCCCGATAGATTGGGCGATTCAATGTAGCTCGTTCGCTTATTGTATGATAAAAGCGTCCAGTGATACTGCGAGGTAATGAAACTGCGTCATCTGAATAAGTTTGTAACCCTGTTGCTGAAACGATGCCTGGAGATCTTCCATATTGAAGAACTGTTGCAGCTCGTTGTCCTGGTACAGTATCACCTGTGAACAGTGTAACCGTACAAATCTCGTGCCTTACAAAGCTGTCGCTGGAAGGTACAAGTATTCAGGGTCATATTCTGAGTAAGAACAAGATTACTTAATTGATAGATATATTTTTAATAGATTTAGTGTCATAACTGTAAAAGTATTTAATACTCATACTTGTACATGGACTGAACTTGTCTAACATGAAGCCTAATTAGTGTGCGATTGTAATCTTGACTACATGGTTGTGATATCTAAGACATGCCAGTTGTATAGCTCCATCTCACCCGTCAAAATTGATTGTACAATACCTGTAGCAACTGTGGATGGAATATACAAAGTTTGGACTGTTGCACCCAAAAAAGTCCTTGTTATATACTATAGGTGTATTAAAAGGCATAACCAAAACTGTAGCAGCCTAACCATCAATCTAACAACCTAGTGTAGGCCTAATCAAGCAATGTTAATCCTAATTTATTTGTATATAAGTATTGTCTAACCCAACGGTTTAATGTGAAAATACAAAGTAAAAGCTTAATTAATGTGTAACATATTGCCGCATATAACGACTGTAAAGCAAAAATGGCTATTTATATTGACTGGAAAACTCTCGTACCTTAGCGTAGAACTTTTTGCCAATAGCTGCGTTCAGAGAGAGGAACTCTGACGTCATCTCGAACCCGCCACCATACATATCAAAGATGAGCAAGTCTACCTGGGGAGTAAAAGAAACCTTGGTCAGTCAGGACTATCTGGGGAGTGGAAGAAACCTTAGTCAGTCAGGACTATCTTGGGAGTAAAAGAAACCTTGGTCAGTCAGTACTATCTGACTATCTTGGGAGTGGAAGAAACCCTGGTCAGTCAGGGCTATCTGGGGAGTGGAAGAAACCCTGGTCAGTCAGGACTATCTGGAGAGTGGAAGAAACCCTGGTCAGTCAGGACTATCTGGAGAGTGGAAGAAACCCCGGCTAGTTTCCATAACCTAGCCTAAATATAAATGTTGGTCTATACATTTAATATACATTTATCTTGCAGTATAACTGATCGGCTTCGCTGATAATATTTTCAATAATGTAATTATTACACTTAATTCCGTCTTTCTGAGAACTACACGTATCGTCCACCCTTAATATTTCTTTAAGAAAATAATAGACTTTGTACACGGGTTTAGATAATACGAACATGATAACATAGTTCTCAGTAAACATGATCTTGCGAGAGTATGCTGGCGGTGAAACATAAGCCTAATATGGTGTTATTAATGTTTTAGTTCCACTGTAGCCTTATTATAATAAGTTATAGCTTATCTTTTAAATTGTACGATTTATAAATTAAATAATTTTGTTCATGTATAGTAAATGCTTGCACAAACTGCAATGTAGGGCGGATAGCTTGTATGGTTTACTCCACGAGGTGTGGACAGCCTGCATGTCCTACACGTTCTATGAAGGGGGGACAGCCTGCATGTCCTACACGTTCTATGAAGGGTAGACAGCCTGCATGTCTTACACGTTCTATGAAGGGTGGACAGCCTGCATATCCTACCACATTCTATGAAGGATGGACAGCCTGCATGTCCTACACGTTCTATGAGGGAAGGACAGCCTGCATGTCCTACACGTTCTATGAAGGATGGACAGCCTGCATGTCCTACACGTTCTATGAAGGACGGACAGCCTGCTTGTCCTACACGTTCTATGAAGGATAGACAGCCTGCTTGTCCTACACGTTCTATGAAGGACGGACAGCCTGCTTGTCCTACACATTCTATGAAGGATGGACAGCCTGCATGACCTACACTCCATTTCATTCTCAGCGCCCCCTCCCTCCACCACAACCGGGAGACGTAACCAATCAGACACCAAGCCCTGGGAACCCGTCCTCCTAACAGAACGTCGCATTTTGACGTATACGCTACCTAAGGCCAAGAATTATCATACCAGAAAATGGTAGCGACTTGCGAAATTGACATAATGTCCCGTTTTCTGTTTTGGGTCCTCTGGTAGGCTATGATAAGGGCACTTTAGTACGACAGTTTCTTGACGTTGGGAAACCTTAAGACGGATTGTTGCATCATCAGTCATCTCACCTGGCGGTACCCGGCGGCGACCAGGACTGAGAAGAGAGGGAAGCAGGTGCTGGTCCAAGTCTCTCCAAAGCCCACGTCCTGTGGAGCAAAACCCACCATTCGCTTCATTATTCGTGACATTCTTTATTAATTTATTTAAGTTTCGAGAAATGTTCATATTTGGTCAAGATAAACTAGTGTATAATATAGTTGGATTATACTGATGTTGCCTCATGTTTATGTACCATTCCTGAATGAAAGTCCAAGGGACTTTCTGGAAGGAAAGGAAATTTCATTTCAAGGAAATGAAAGAAAGTTCGTGCAAATATGATCTTATGTCATTGTAACTTCCACTACTGCACACCGGATGGGTATGGGGTGCATAATAAATTAATATACTGAATGAGTCAAGTACTCACCACTGGGTGAGTCAAGTACTCAAGTACAAAACAGTAACTTACTGACTTAGTGGCGTACTTAAAAAGTTTCGAATGACCCTTCTGGTTACAGTAGACTTCTTCAGTGGTGTTACTTGGAAAGCGAGTCCGAATTAATTTATCCTGCAGAAGGACCCACCGTATTAGTAGTCAATTCGTGACACCATGGTATATTGTACGGTGAATGGCTGTTCAATGTAACTTCACCTTAACGGTAAATTAGTACCTGGCAATATGGTTGTTGTTGTTATAGATTCAGCTACTCGGAACAAGTTCCAAGTAGCACAGGCTATGGTGAGCCCGTAACTTACCTGGCACAGGAGCGGGGGCAAGTAGCACGGGCTATGGTGGGCCCGTAGTGGACTTACCTGGCACTGGAGCGGTGCCCTGCTCTCTCTGGCAATATGGCTCGTTGTCGACAAGTATTCCCATAATACAATAAACGACTAAGCCCCCACCTCGTTACTAGACTGGAAAACTATAATATGACTTGTATACAAGAAAACTCAGGATAACGGATATACCCACTAAAATTTTGACAACTAGTATATTTCAGGGTAGGTACAGAATGCACGATAAAACGTTGTAACATTACAAAGTGCCAGTAAAGTTGGAATGATGGCTATGGCACTGCAACATTATTTTTTTCAGTAAAAAATAGTAAATACAGTTATTTCACTAGGTGCAATATTCAGTTATTTTCACTGAATATTCCAAATCATGCAGGAAAGATAGCAGAGGCACCTCAATTATTATTCCAACACTGATGTAATGTACAACAACAATTATTACAACCATCACAACACGTAAGCAGAGCCAACCAGCATCCCTGGAACTGACGTCTTTGGAATATAATATTCCTAAATTTGTCATAACAGTGAAAAACTCTACAACGCTATCACAGTACCAAGGAGTAATTAGTATCATACCTGTTATATTAAATCTAACTTGAACAGAGATTGAAAGGTACTTGTCCAATTAATACCGGCCCTGAGAGACAGACAGCCTTCGACACTAATAAATCACAAAACAAAGTAAGTTTAAAAAAACCTGGGTTGATGGGGGTGGAAGCTCTTGCTTACCGACGATACATTGCCAAGTCTACGGTAACGTCTTTTCTCTGACAAGAATTATGCAAATCAAAACTGGACATTATCGAAGAAGATGCAGATAATTCTTTACAACATTTCTAACAATCTTTAGTTACATATTGCACATATAATCCCATCCTGGTTGCCGTAAACTTAGCCACAATGCTGGGAAGCTATACAATCTGGCATGGCGCATTAGCTTTGACAAAACCAGTGAAGTGACAAATTTCTAACCGTCGATTTACACAATCGACTTGAGAATGGTCCAGGACGGACCGAAACGTCGTCGTCTCTTCACCTTCTAGTGTGTGTGGTCTGGTCAACATTCTAACCGTCCCTGGCTGGCCCAACTCTAAAATATCCAAGATATGATATAATGATTATCTAAACATAACAACGACCAGTACAATTTGTTGTACTGGTCGGCTGGTAGCTCAGCCATAATTAATATGCACGATATCACATCCCATATGCAAAATTGATAATATGTAAATGTAAAGATTAGCAACTTCTAAAGGAACACGATTATATGTGACAACACTTTTGTATACGCGAATTAACTCCCAGCGCCTGACAGCTGGGTGGACAGCGCTTCGGATTCGTAGTCGGTTCCGGGTTCGATCCCCGGTGGAGGCGGAGACAAATGGGCAAAATGTTTCTTTCACCCTGATGTCCCTGTTACCTAGCAGTAAATAGGTACCTGGGAGTTAGACAGCTGCTTCCTGGGGGGGGGGGGTAACAAAAAGGAGGCCTGGTCAAGGACCGGGCCGCGGGGACACTAAGCCCCCGAAATCATCTCAAGATAACCTTAATGCACTATGCAAATTAAATATTATGTCTACCTTGACTCGCATTTAACAAATAATATTAAGATACACAATCTTAAGCAAATTAGCACAGGCAAGCCTATATGCAGCAATTATCCTACAACCAATTAACATGTTAAAATAAGGACTCAGATAAATATCATAATTACTTCAAGATGACCAATAATAAACCCTCATTATTCCAAACAATGCAACAATATGTAAAATAGATCTTAAACTTGCATTAACATGTACTAAATAATATTCCCATTTTAGTGAGAAGGAGCTATCATGCCGTGACGCAAGCATCTCACCAAGAGTGTATCACACGCGTGACGCAAGCGTCTCACCAAGAGTGTATCACACGCGTGACGCAAGCATCTCACCAAGAGTGTATCACACGCGTGACGCAAGCATCTCACCAAGAGTGTATCACACGCGTGACGCAAGCATCTCACCAAGAGGGTATCACACGCGTGACGCAAGCGTCTCACCAAGAGTGGATAAAAACAAAAATAACAGTTATGTGAATGGAAACTATGCTATTTTTTCTTTGTTTTTATCCACTCTTGATGAGATGCTCGCGTCACTCATCCACATACACACACAGCCCCCTACATACACATGATCCATATACAGCCCCGCGCCTGTGCCAGGTAAGTCCACTACGGGCTCACCATAGCCCGTGCTACTTGGAACTGTTTGTTCCCAGTAGTTGAATCTAAAACAACAACTAGCAAGTTGTCAGTGTAGTCGGCTCGCAAGTGATTGGTTCGTGGTTGCATCGGTGCGCCGACTGACTGATGCTACTGGCCCAATTGTATGGATCCTACTCGAGGATCGAACCCAGGACCAGTTGCTTGTAATTTAGTTGCATTGAAATTGAAATAAGTTTATTGAGGTAAAATACACACAAAGGGATGAGGTATATCGCTTGTAAACAGAGTGCATTGACCACAGTAAATAATTATTGGAACGTATAGCCTATGGCACGTATCTCCCGGCAGTATACAGAAGGTTAGCTTACCTGTTTAACTCTGAGTCCGGTAGTGACGCAGACGGGAAGGGTCCTGGAGGTCCTGGGAGAGGCTCTGAGGTGGAGGTAGTTGTGTGGGTCGGCCTCGACGAGGAGTCCTCTCCAGCCTCGAGCGGCCTCCAGCCACCAACTGTTACTCAGCCACAGCCCGTCCTGGGCGCCGACCTCCACGAACACTCCGCCCTCCTTCACACATTCGTAATACATCTCATTATTTACAACATTTCAGTACGCAAGTTAACAATGCCAAACACCTGACTCATACATAGGACTGGTCAAACTTAATATTAACCTCCTCGATTATATAATACGATGAAACTGTAAAAAGAGTACAATGGTAACACTGTAACCTTGTACACAAGGCTATAATGGTAACACTGAAATTGCTAGAATTTGAGTTCATTTATATCAACAATTTCATCAATATAGCCGGGGCGCCATCACAACATGGTGGCCCTATTTATTCCCTCAACTCATTATAAGAGATAACTTCAATCATCACAACAGCCATTCATGACCTGAATAGAACAGAAGTTGGTACACCTAAGGTATAAGGACACGCATCCAGTGCCCCCTGTTAGTACACATACAGGATAAATACTCACAAATATAAAGATTGTTTGATAAATTTAAATAAAAACACAAATGTAAACATACCTTCGTTTGAAGGACATTCCTGATGTATGTTTCGATGATACTGTGAGAAGGAAGGTTCGCCCAGGGCGGATGGTGAGGGTTTGGGAAATGGCCGGGTGTCCGGGGAGCTTCCTCTATCCTGGTCCTCAGGTGCTCCAACACACGCTTGTCGTGCCATACTGGAGGCTGGCGCATTACATGGCGCAGGCATCGGCCCTCTGCCCACACAACCGTACATCATTAACGAAAAGACCTAACCCGTGAGACATATATATATATATATATATATATATATATATATATATATATATATATATATATATATATATATATCGTACCTATAGCCAGAACGCACTTCTCAGCCTATATATATATATATATATAACCTACCTACAACAACCTAGCTACATACACCTATAAATATAGGTTAGGTTAGGTTAGGTAGGGTTGGTTAGGTTCTTTTTTACATAGAGAAAAGGGTTGCAAACAAAAACTGGACGACTTACGGCAGGCCGGCGCAGGTGAGGGCTGGACAGGTGACAGCGGGCCACCAGCAACAGGCAGGTAATTGTGAATATCTTTTGTGCCGTCCCACCTCAACCACTGATTAAACCTCACCGGCTTAATCTGCAGCACCGTCAGCACAGTCGCCCACAGGTACAGCAGTGTCCAGGAGGGCTTGCGTTTGCTCATCCACTGTAATTAATGTATATACGGGTGAAATAATATTAATATGACAGTGTCTAAATCTTCTCCGAACCATTCGTGACCTAATCAAAGAGGGGGGCTCAGGCACTAATATACCATTGTCTAACTGTTTATGAAGGAACAAGATCATCTCAGACAGTAAATATTAATTAGCATACCTATTGTTTGCCTCTCAGAGGGAAGAAAGAACTATTCTAAGCGTAACAATGATGCGCTAATAAATAGCCTCAACTTAACGCTAGAAATTATTAGAAAAAAAGAGAGAGGGTTCCTATATGTTGTACTTTGCTACTACTTTGGAGAGGGTAATTTGAGTTGTGTCAAGGTTCAATGTAGGTGGCGAGTTTTAACCTACATAGGAACAGGTGGCGACCTAAGCGTACACTTTGGAAAAAGCAGTTAGCAGGACTTTATACCGCTATAATAACGGTCTGGGTGTGAACGTGAGAAGTAAGAAGGTAGAGCGGGACATTATGGGAAAAGGACATAAACATGGAAAGAATAGATTTAGATAATGAAATAAATAAATAATTCGGGGAACATCAAATTCACTCGTGAAAATAATGTTAGGCTATTCCACACAAACTGTAGGAGCGTGAGGAATATAGGTAATTTCCTCAAATGCACAATGATATCACATTTACGTGATGTACCAATGAGAAAATCAATAGGAGTAATTTTCTGTCATCCGCATATTACAATTACAATAGTTACACCCACCTGTTGCTATTCCAGTAGTTACACCCACATGCTAATATTCCGATAGAGTTACGCCCACATGTTACTATTCCTGTAGAGTTACGCCCACATAATCCTATTCCACTAATGTTTCTATTGCATCTAATAAACATCTCATCAAGTTTGTGCTATAACTTTGTATAAACATTTAGTTTGTGAAGATGTTGAAGGTGATGATGGACCCCACTGACCATGGTCAGGCGCGTAGCGGGTTGTCGTCGTGCGGCTGGTGTTGAGAGGCAGCTGGTGCTAGGTTTATGGCAGGACTCTGACAATACTGATGAGTTATATCCCCATCGCACATTTTCCTTCCACGTAGTCTGCAACCATCGGGAAAAACACGGCAGAATACGCGGGAGGAGGAAGATCGAAGGGTGCGGTTGACTCTCATGGATGGTGTTAGTTCCGCCTCTCATTTGGTAACTGCAGGTACCACACTCTTGGTCTATAGGTCTCGCTACTTTGTTTTCCGTTCCCGGTACCCATAGAGCTGGTAAGCAGGAGATGGAAGGAAGAAGGAATTCTTGAAGTACGATTGGGAGATGAGGGAGTACCGAGTAGTGACTCAACCACTTTGACTCCATGGGTGATTCTGACGATGTGATGTGATTTAATAAGTGAAATGATGTATGAGGCTATGCGGTAATCGGGTTTATTTTGATGGTGTGTTTTTTTGTATGTGTGTGTGTGTGGCTGCCGTTGGTTGGACGCTGCAGGTGCGTCACCAGAGGGGGAAGCAGGTGGTAGAACTGGTGAGGATATGTTTTAAGTCATGCAGCTTTTCCGGGAGAGCAGCGCTGTAGTGACTTCGTCGCTGATTTGGGTTAGTTGAGTATGTTTCTTGTTGTTGTTCTCAACGTATTGGGCTTGGTTGGTTGAGTGAATGATACCTGTTGTTTGTTCATGTTGATTTATGAGAGTTTAATTCATGTGTGCTAACTCCATTCATCATGATGGGCCTTGGGTAATTCCTTTTGTGGATGTATCGTCTGACTTTTGTTAAAGTGACATTCTCCTTGTCCTGTGGGGGTGGTCTTGCATGTCATAGTTTGTGGTGTTGTAAACTACGAAAGGGTCTTCTCGGTTTGGCAGGTATATGCTCTTAATTTTATTCAGCTGTTTTGCTGAGAGGCTGTGGAGGCTTAGGGTGAGAGGATGCTTGGGTCCGGGGCGTCCAAGAATTCTAAAGGGGTGCCTTTTGTACGTGGATAATGACAGGCATGTAAACCGATCCCACGTCGTTACCCGGAAGAATTCTACAGTGCAAGATATTGTATTAAGTATTTAACAGGATAAAGTCAGGAGGTTCCTTGGTGATTGCCTACGTATGTTTTGAAGTAGTGGGGCCTAGAATGGTTAAATTCCTCGTTGTCATTAGGCTGTACAGGAGTCGACCTTTCATGTCATCTCGTCCGTTGGTGTGGTTGAAAAACGCTGCGTGGTGTACGTGTAAGTCTCCAGCAAGGGTCGTCGGGACGTTTCTATTGAGTACTGTGTGTATGGCCCTCGATGAGATAATGCTAGCCAGGGAGAATATAAGTTGTTAAAATACCACGAGCGGGTCATGGTTGTGACTATTTCTACGGCTAGGGCGTTCTCTCCTTGTAGGAAGATGCTGGTGAATGAGAAGCCCAGTTTGACAGGGAACTCTACACCTCTGTACTGTCCAGAGTTCCTTTCAATTGTCGTGTAGTCGTGACGTTAAATATATGTTGATCATGGCGTGCAGACGTCTCATTAAAATAAAATTGCTTCTGGATTATGTTAATATGTTTCAGTTCTAGTAGATATGTTAAAAAAATTACCTAATGTTATTCTGCATAATTTTAACCCACATTATTTGTGTTGTTTAGTATTAGTCGTGAAGTGCTTGATCGCTGGGAGTGTTGTTTATTTCTGCTGTATTATTTATTCTGGGGGCCGGCCGGCCGAGCGGACAGCACGCTGGGCACCTGATCCTGTGGTCCCGGGTTCGATTCCGGGCGCCGACGAGAAACAATGGGCAGAGTTTCTTTCACCCTATGGTACGTCCTATGCCCTGGGAGTTAGTCAGCTGTCACGGGCTGCTTCCTGGGGGTGGAGGCCTGGTCGAGGACCGGGCCGCGGGGACACTAAAATGCCCCGAAATCAACTCAAGATAACCTGCTGTCAGTCCATGGGGCGTATGGATTAGTCTAGCTATTAGTTCAAGGTGCTTCTCCACCGTTTGCTGACTTTCACTAACTGCTCCATTTTCTTCATCCTCTACGTTGACTTTTTATCCTGGAGCTGGTGACCAGTGGTGGCTGGGTGTTCCTGCCGAGTACGTCCTCTCCTGAACCCGCCTCCTCTGAACCTCCAACAGCATGGAAGGACTCACCTGACGAGGATGAGTATATAGTTGAGCAAGTTGAGACAGCAAATTACGGGAGACATCTCCCGTCACGCAGGGTGCAGTCACACCTCCACAGATCTCCAGTATCATCTATTGATACTGGTAATGGCTCAAAAGGGCCACCACTTACGGGCTATTCATGCCCGTGCCACCTTTTGGGTGGCTTAATCTTCATCAATCAATCGACAGCAAATTTGTTTATCTATGCTGCTCTTGTCCTACAAGTATGACAACAAATTATTTCATCTATTGTTTGCATATTAGAGGTAAATATAACAAATTAAATATAGGAAGTAAAGTAATATTAATACATTTATCACAACAGATGTTTTTTGCCATTTTAATTTTAAATTGTTTAAATTTATAACAAAATTCAAATGAACTAATGGGGTATTGTGTTATTATCACGGTGATGGCTGCTTTTGGAAGCGCTGACTTACAGTGTGGCTGGCAGCTGCTCGAGCAATAGTTTACTGGTTGAGTGTCTCCTTTATAATGCAATACCTGGTTTTCTTTCGTTACGCTTTCACAGAAAATAATCTACAGGTCAAGAAAAGCGTTTGATTATAAAGCTAATTAGAAGTGATAACGATAATAAATAACAATAAAAAGAAGAATTAATTTATATAATATAAAATTAAATGCGTTCCAATAGTTGGATATTAGGTATAGTATTTTTGTATTTTATACAGCCACAAATTATGCGCAGCGTTTCCGGAATGAAAATAATTTTCCATCTTCTAGGGTAATAGACTTATCTATTTCTGTCTCCAGCTGTACGGAAAAACACAGAAGTGTTTATGGTAATTGCTCGCATTGCCGACTCATCTCTCCACATACCATTTGACTAAGTTGGAGTGCCTGCTAGATGACTTTCAAGGTATAATTGACGACCAGGTGTTCTTCCTCAGAGACATCTTCTGGAGGTAATATGAATTAGGCAAGTCGTTCTTGTACATATTGGTAGATGCCTCTAGCCTCAGGGATCATTTTTTTTGGGTCCACCCTCTTAGTCCCATGTTGTACTTCTTTCTGCCTTTCCTCCTCTTGTTGTTAATTCAGCTACTAGAGCAAAAGCTCCATGTAGCACGGGCTATGGTGAGCCCGTAACTTACCTCCTGTGCCTGGCCCTTCTTATCTTCCTGTCACGTGATCTGCCTCGCATAAAAGAACACTTTTGGTGGAGAAATGAAAATGTCTTCTCTAGCTTGTTCACTTTGCAACTCTGCTCCCGCAGTAGCCATTATAATCTGGCGATGCCCAACTTAACTATTGTTACATTCACCTCGTACTTACTTATAAGACCCGTTTTATGTTACAGTTCATAGACACACACTTGCTTTTCTATTTGTCTCTTCCTCAGCGTTAGGAATGGTCATTATATATTGTGCAATATATATATATATATATATATATATATATATATACTATGTGGTGAACATTGTCCTATTTATATAGGAACGTTAAAAAATATTATATATACTTTTTTATTATTAGAATCTACCGAGGAAGCGCCCTGTAAATGATACAGTTCCAACCAAGTAGCAGAACGAGAATACAAAGTTGTGTGAGGCCCAGAGAGTGAGTGGGTGTTCCTAGCGATGTCTGGCTGTGTCCAAAAAAAAGACAGTGAAAAGACTTTAAGGGATTTTACAGCAGAATTTAATATCAGTAAGGCGTTTGATGATCAAGTTCACTTTTGAATTCAGTGAGTGCCGCAGTGTAACCTGACCCGCCCGCACGCTCTCTGGAATAAAACAGGTGAGGCTCGACAAACAAAAAACTCTTAAGTATATGTCTTTCTTTTCGTCCCAATGAGCGAGTTTATTGGGCGGCTTGAGTCTATTTTAATTTGGTTAGGAATTGGGCTTAAGGCCAATATGAGAGTGAGCTACTGGTACCCGTGGCAGGTGGCTACAGGTGACTAATCTCCCAATGTGTGTGTGTAAACTTGCGAGCAGGAACTTGGTCATGATCTCACACACCACATTATTGAATGTTTGGTCATTAGACCTTCAGACCTGCCGGCATGAGGTACCTGGAACTTTGAAATTACTTTTTTTCACTCTTTTGAAAATATTGTCATAATACATTACATGTTTGCTAGTGCAGGCTACATATCACATGGACCGGTATGGCACTCCATTAGGGTAGCTGCAAGAATGATCAGGTATCGAAGTATCCAATCAAAAAAAAGTCTCATGGTCTTAAAACGTCTGGAGAGTTATTAAGGTCGTGACACCAGCATCCTGAACATTGTTCAGGACTAAAATGTAGTAGTAGGCATCCATCAGTCTCAGGAGACTATGGAGTTGCGCTCTGGTGTCGGCCTGGTCGGGAGTGGCCTCACCAGGGAGCAAAGCCAGGGTAGGGGGGGAGAAGCTGTTACCCAGGCAGCAGGTCCCCCCCCTCTCCACGGCGCTGAAAGTATATGCACCGAGAAGCGGGACTCACTCGGTGATGAGTCGTGAAGGAATCAAACTGGCAGAACAGTTGTGTTGTCCAAACCTGCCAGCGAGGGGTAACACCCACACTGTGGCGTGATTGGATGAGACATTCCTCACCTTTTCCCTTGCAACTCGCCTACCAAAGCGAATTTCCTGATGTCACTATTTTCCCGTAGATCTTTTGCCAACATTGCTGTTCGAGCTGGGGTTTGGGCCTCCTGGCGCCATGTTTGGTGTTCGCTGGTGCCAATTTCGCTCGTCCCTCTCACTTTCCGCTCTGCATTTTCTTAATGTATCAATGGTCGAGCCTGACTCATCAAATTAATTATAAATAAATGAGGCAGACAACTGTTCCACATTACTAGATTTTTAGCATTTTTAGAATCTGTCAACTAATCCAAATTCTACATGTTGAATGGTGAAGTGAATTTGTGGATCAGATCTAGCATGGAAGACTGCTTTTGATCTGTCTTGTCGATGCCTTAAGACTTAGTACTCGATGGTATATTCAATGCTGTTCATGGCTGCGCTTCTTGTTGAACATGATGTTCACAATCGACTTGAGAATGGTCCAGGACGGACTGAAACGTCGTCGTCCCTTCGACGACAGTCCCTTCGAAGGTGAAGGGACGGTCCTGGACCATTCTCAATCGACTTGAGAATGGTCCAGGACCGTCCCTTCACCTTCTAGTGTGTGGTCTGGTCAATATTCAGTATTCATCACCCTGGGTGCCAAGTTTTCCCTTCGTCGTATCATAATAAACGTGGGATCGTTGGGTTGTTTCAATCGTAGGTTAGACATATACAAAAATGAGCTTGTGTGGATAGTCACATGAACCGCCTCGAGTAGCCCAATAATAGTAGTAGGCATCCATCAGTCTCAGGAGACTATGGAGTTGCGCTCTGGTTGTCGGTCTGGAGTGGCCTCTCCAGGGCGCAAAGCCAGGGTAGGTTGATACGGGGCAAAATGCAGAAGGCCAATAGCCTTCTGCATTTTGGCCCTTTATTCTTATGTTCTTAATAACCTTGTAGCTAAACATAGTAGAAATGTTATGAATCTACTCTCACAACTACCCTTGCTCTAATTTATAGCCCTCCAGGACTCTGGTACTCTGCTCAACTCTAATGACTTATTTAATATGCAAGACAGAGGGTTCACTAAACTCTTTACATTAAGTGTCCTGGGAAGCACTTCATCTTGTCCTGGGGACTTGCTGGCTACTAATTGTTTTATTCATTTAACAACTTCTTCTCTGATGACCATTAAACTAGTCAACTTGTCCTCTACATCCCCTACATACATTCAACTGCAGGCTTAATAACGAGACCTTTTTTTATTTACTTATTATTATTATTAACATCTTTATTGACAAAATTAATTACAATTTTGCCTAATCTGAGGATTTTGACAAAGTCTTATTAAAGTGAGGATAGTGCTGGTATTGACTGTCACGCAGGACAGAGGGTTATACATAAGACAATAGGTCTACTTACACATGTGAGTGTACAAGACGCCTTTTGTCTCGTGTTAGCAGGCTGAGAGGTGCTTCTTCCCACAGGTCATGGGGAAGCCTCACCCCTATTAGTTTTCCCTGGAACACCAGCCGTCAAACGGTAAAGAACCAGGGTCTCCAATTACTGCTGGGTGAACAGAAGCGAACACTTAAGGATTGGCGCTCAGTCAATACTCCCTGGGCCAGGACTGGAACTCAGCCCAAATCGCACTAGTAAATAAGAGACACATCACTTATCTAAAATACCACTCATTCCTTTGTCATTATGAATTACGTGACCTGTCTTAATTGCCAATTTGCCCGCTATTATCATTATTAGTTTCGTGATATAATTTGCAAAACAATATTCGTGATATACCTCTATAATTCTTTCCCATTTCTAAAATCTAAATAGGTTTCATGTGTGATGACTGTATAGTACAGAGGAGTGCGACAAACTCCTTATATGAGATTGGGGTTCCTGCGGACGCTGAAAACAAATGAGAAGCGATCTTTAATCATAGTGTACAGTTATACCCACAAACCCCCTTCATAACAGGCTACTAAAATGATAAAGTCAGTGAACCCTAATGAGGTTGATCGTTAAGTTCTGAGTCGAACAACTAATTAGCGGAGCGCCTCCCGCAGCGAGGTAGTCTGAGATGGTTATAACCTCTCTAAAGGGAGCCGGTCGGCCGAGTGGACAGCATGCTGGACCTGTGATCCTGTGGTCCTGGGTTCGATCCCAGGCGCCGGCGAGAAACAATGGGCAGAGTTTCTTTCACCCTATGCCCCTGTTACCTAGCAGTAAAATAGGTACCTGGGTGTTAGTCAGCTGTCACGGGCTGCTTCCTGGGGGTGGAGGCCTGGTCGAGGACCGGGCCGCGGGGACACTAAAAGCCCCGAAATCATCTCAAGATAACCTCAAGATAACCTCTTCTACCACCAGGAGGCCCCGCGCTGGGAGCTCAATGGTCGCCAGACGTGTATCGTCATACAACAAATCCAAGTTTCTTAATATTTGGCGGCATTTGTTGACTTTCGTTTGTTCTGGGAACCTTTTCTAGAGAGTGATTGCACGTTCCATTCCTTGTTGAGCTCCTTCACTGGTGTCTGAGGTCATAGCCATATTTTCCGCTTGAGCTGATTGATATTCATGCCATTGAGTGTGTGTGTCCAATCTGGGTCCATCAAGTGGCAGGCGTCAAGTGTGTACATACAACACAGCCTTTCATGAGGACTGTTGTTAGTACGAACCTACGCCTGACCTGGCCAGGCCCGTCCAGAAAATAACAACAAAGTTATTCGTCTCCCGAATGTAAAAATATTCGTGAATTTTGCGTGAGCCTCAAAGCGCTGAGAGCGAGACTGTCTGCGGTGCTGAGATGATAAGCATCCCACTAGGCCGTCCTCTCTAAGGAGCTGAGATAGACAGACAGCATCCCGCCAGACCGTCCTCTCCCGGGAGATAAAGATACCAGCGGGTCTGGTACCCGGGATCAAAGGCTCCCGTATACAGATTCGAGCTTTTAAGTGCATGCGTGTGGACGTTTGTGGCCGGGGGGGGAGGGCTGCCGCTTCTACGCTTTTTACGGTAAAGTCGTACTGGCATTGTCTAACTGTCCAAAAGCTTAACGTAGACGCATAGATCACGAAGATATGGTGAAGTGTACAATCGACGTCAGCACCGTGGAGAGGGGGGGGGGACCTGCTGCCTGGGTAACAGCTTCTCCCCCGAGTCAACCTACCCTGGCTTTGTGCCCTGATGAGGCCACTCCAGACCAGGCCGACATCAGAGCGCAACTCCATAGTCTCCTGAGACTGATGGATGCCTACTACTACTACTACAATCGACTTGAGAATGGTCTAGGACGGACCGAAACGTCGTCGTCCCTTCACCTTCTAGTGTGTGGTCTGGTCAACATGGTGAAGTGTAGCTTCGAAATCCCTCTCTGATTGTCTTGACGAACCCCATGTACATAAGACACTAGCAGAATAACTAATAATATTTTTATTAGTAGTAATATCCTAAGCAAAAAAACCTCTTGTATCCGTTTATAGAGCCGTTAAGGGTGCCGAGTTAATTAACCTGTGTTATCTCGACGATTGATTTACAGAGAGCTTGGTCGGCGTCGAAGGTCCATTAATGAAGCAACTTTATCAACACGACTCTGAACTTTGTCTTGGGATGTGCCAAGTGGCCAGCCAGCAGGCTGTGGGAGCGTGGCAGGTAAGAGCCGTGGGAGCGTGGCTGATTAAGAGCCGTGGGAGTGTGGCTGATTAAGAGCCGGGGGAGCGTGGCAGATAAGAGCTGGGGGAGCGTGGCTGATTAAGAGCCGTGGGAGCGTGGCAGATAAGAGCCGTGGGAGCGTGGCAGATAAGAGCCGTGGGAGCGTGGCAGATAAGAGCTGGGGGAGCGTGGCTGATTAAGAGCCGTGGGAGCGTGGCGGATAAGAGCTGGGGGAGCGTGGCTGATTAAGAGCCGTGGGAGCGTGGCAGATAAGAGCCGTGGGAGCGTGGCAGATAAGAGCCGTGGGAGCGTGGCTGATAAGAGCCGTGGGAGCGTGGCAGATAAGAGCTGTGGGAGCATGGCAGACAAGAGCCATGGGAGCGTGGCAGAAAAGAGCCGGGAGAGGGGGGGAGAAATATCACTATAGCCACCTCCAGCACAATAATATCCCCAGTCATTTTAACCTATATCAGTCAATTTTAAATATTTACTATGACGTAAGATTGTTCAGGGGGTTCTGCAGTATATTATTCGCAGCTTTAAATTACAATGGTTATCTGTAATATTTGTACCAGCAAGGAGGCAGACGAAGGTGTTGGTGATGGGGCGTGTGAGTGCGGGCTTGCACCCGTCCTTATCGTGAGTTAGCTGCTGAAAAACTGACCTTATCGTTGTAAGTGGCGAGAGCGTAGGGACGCGGAATTTTTAATGTAAGCTTATCTTTCCGAAGATGGTGAACGAAATTATCACAATCAAGAACAGACAAAAAGAGCCGCGGCGGGGAAGTTATATGTCCTCCAGGTCGTGTGGGACTCCAGGAGGGGTGTAGTCCTCCAGGTCGTGTGGGACTCCGGGTGGTGGAGGTGTGGTCCTCCAGGTCGTGTGGGACTCCGGGTGGTGGAGGTGTGGTCCTCCAGGTCGTGTGGGACTCCGGGCGGTGGAGGTGTGGTCCTCGTGGTCGTGTGGGACTCCGGGTGGTGGAGGTGTGGTCCTCCAGGTCGTGTGGGACTCCGGGCGACGCCAAGCAAGTTATGACGCCACTTACCTTGTTGCCAAACACTTTACCACGGCCGATGTTTCTCTTAAGGGTTTAATCATGGCAGGCACGCAAACAACTCGCTTGCACCATTTAACTTGAATACTCTGCAAACAGTCAAAACATATTATGGTAATTTTCAACGAAGCTGCGACGGATTTTAACTGGTAACATTTGGGGTTTGTTTATTTGCTAACGGGTTCACACTGTTTTCTTGATGTATCTAATGAAATGACAGAATGTTAGTCTCGTATTGCGTATTAGAGACAATTATATTGTCACATAAAATTAGTCGGTACCCTGGCAACAATGACTGAAACAGGCTGAAACTGTTACAAAAATGTAAGATATTTATGTGATTAAATAAAAAAAATTGTGACTTTGACTTATAAAGAAATGGTAACCAATGTCATGATATTGTTTATCAAGTTCCAATGGGAAGATATTATCTTGTGGTACGTATATTACCTGCTGTTGGATCATGACCCTCCAGGAGGGTTGATGGGCATTATTATCCTTCTCTAAGGTTAGTTTGATCATTTATTATACACCCCATACCTATCCCGTGGCCATGTTTATGTTTGTTTACATAACTAATTCTCTCTAAGTGTTTAAGTAGTATTATCCTTATTGAGTGAGTGTATGTGTGTGTGTATACAATCGTCTTATTAAAATGTGCAAGTGTTTATCTCTATCTGTGTGTGTATACATATATATATATATATATATATATATATATATATATATATATATATATATATATATATATATATATATATATATATATATATATATATATATATATATATATATATATATTTAATGTGAAGTTGGCGACTGTCATAAAATTTGAGTATGTTAATAATTGTGGAGAAGTACACAAAGAGTGGAAGGTAGAGAGAAGGTGATGGTATAGTGATGGTGGGTGGAGAGGGCGGGCGGGAGGCGGGCCAGGCAGGCAGGCAGTCAGTGTGAGCAGAGCGGGCACCGGGAGAGGCTGCACCTCCTCTACCCACACCTCGTGCCACACGGCTCTTCTACCACACGGCTCTACCACAGCCCCTACCCGCACCTCGTGCCGCACGGCTCTTCTACCACAGCCCTACCCGCATCATCCCTAACCCGCTGGGGCATCATATTCAAGTGCCAAATGGATTGACTTTACGTAAACAATATACAAGTGTATTTAAGTGATTTTATTAGAAAAAGAGGGGGATGTGATATGATATATTTCATATTTTAGAGTTAATTAGTGAAGTGATATATATTAAACCGGTGTAGATACACCTGGAGACAATGTACTTAGGAAGGAGTGTGATGGGCGGCGTGGTCGTGCGGGCGGCGGTGCTGGTGCTGCTGGTGGGGTGGGCGGCCGGCGTCAGGTGCCCGCCCAAGTGCATGTGTTTCCGCACCACCGTCCGCTGCATGTTCCTTGATCTCAAGAGGATACCTCACGTCCCGCCCAAGACTACTATCCTGTAAGTACTGCCCTTAAGACCAGAGACCGTAGCGCTCGCTGCCGGTCTCAGCGCTACGTTGTTGGGTGATTTACATGCAGCTCTTGTCACACTACTAACTCACTCTACTGAATCGCAATGCTCATGTCAAGCTCTTCTTGTACATAATAGTGCCTACATCCCTTTAAGATATGAACAAAATAACCCAAATATGAAAGCCGCTTTGTGGCGTAATCTTGAGTGACTTGTCATAGCAATATAGCACAAGCAACATAGACAAACAAAAGCAGCATACACAAGCAACATACGCAAGCACAAGCGTTAATGCCAAAGATGAGCATAGAATTTGTGTTGCGTCAGTTGTTGCCGTGAACTTGATCTTGAGTCCTACACTTGGTCGCCGTCCTTGCGGCGGCTTTGTGTATTCAAGAGAGTCTTGTACAAATCGTGCCGTTTGTTCTGCTCGAATGAGAATGCCCATTTTAATTCATGTTATTGACACACAGGCATGGCGCACACACGCCACTGTTGCATTATCAACTATGCTAATCTTGCTACTCTGAAATCTTCACGTTCGTACTGGTGTTGTGAGATTATTAAAGAGTCTTGGACGGAGTATTTTATGTCGACATTGATTCACTTCGTTGCACACATCTGGTCTCTGGAAACGGAGCTGGAGTTTTTTTTAGTCAAATTGGATCGACTCTTGTGTCGAGTAGGGCCTCTATATAGCACTTGTTATCAAACTGGGGGCCATGGCCCTCTGGGGAGGGCCTTTTATGCAATATGTAGAGGGCCATTAGTTGAAACAGCGTACAGGTAATGAATGATACCAGAGGATACCACCGAAAGGAGCCTTTCACTGGGTGTAGAGTATCATTAATAAGGACAGTATATGAAAAGGGATATGACCGTAAAGAGTTTGGGAACCAGTGGTATATAGGGTGCTTCGTGTGAGACTTGTAATTTGATTGGTGTGTCGTACAGGGCCCTGTAGCGCAAGCTGAATGCTTCGTGCGAAATTAGTCTAGCCTACTGCAGTATCATCCAGGTCTTGTAAACCAGGTGCTTTTTGCGGGACCGTATAATTTGCTTGTTGTGTCCCGTAATTCTCTTGTTTTGCATGCTAAGCAGGTGCTTCGCATGCAATGTTTTAATGAGCTAATGCCATCGCGGTCCTGAATGGAATATGCTGAGACTTACAGAACCTAATAATTTTATGTTAATTTAGTTCATTTGTTGTATTATACACTCCATACTCAACCTGTGAGCGCTGGGGAAAAAGGTTACAGAGGCACACCGTTAAGTTAACCGAAGAAAGCTTCAGCTTTGGTGAGCTATTGTCATAAAGGACTATTAAAGCATGTCATGCAAGACTGGTCGGTAGAGCGACGGCTTCGCTTCTTTTATCTTGGTGTTCGATCCCAGATGGTTAAAGTAGTTGGGCACCATTCCTTCTCTCTGTCTTATCCCAGCTCATTTTCTTCCTACCCATTCCAAATGCTATATGGTCATACTGGCTTAGCAATTTCTCCTCATAATTAACTTAGTGAGTTTTAGCTGTGTTTTGTAATTGCTATGTCATGTGCAGTTCATTGCACTATGTAAAATCTGCTGGCTAAAGGCAAATTAGCTGGGCTATGTAGTCTGCTGTGTCACTTGAAACTTTCGTCCTGTATAATATGATGGGCCCAGTATGGTCTCTTTGGTCATGTGTTAGGTGATATTATATTTATCACAAGTCTACCTGTTTAAGATAATGGGTAGACTGAGTGGTGGTGTGGTAGCAGGTAATAGCAATAGTATGTAGAGGGATGGAAGTATAGTTGGCTTGGCTTAGCAATTCTAATAGGTGCATTATGTTAAGTGTTTGTGTGGTGGTGGGCAGGGTGAGGGACGGTTGCTATAAGGGTCTCACCGGGACGGAGGGAGCGGGGCGGCAGGCAGCCTTCCCATCTCATGCATATTTATGGTTACCGTACTAAAAGTGTAGTATAAATGGGGCTCAGTTTGCCGTGTGACGGAATATATATTTTTTGGGTTACAACAGTTACCATGAGTTACGTAGAGCAAACAATAATATGTGATCTGCTTTTCTCCCTGAGTTACTTACGATTGTGTTTTAAGCCACTGAGGAAGAAGGGGGAGGGAGAGGGTGAAGTATGAGTTGATACACCTTTACCTTGATCTCTGATCGATAACAATAACCTTATACAAAAAGGAATCAAGGAAGCTAATCCCAAGTTTCGAGTTGACAGTTGAGAGCGTTCAATAAGCTAGGTTAGGCTAGTTTTTTTTTTGCAATATGAAAATATTAACGAATTTGGATGAAACATTTTGAGAAGCGTTCGAGCATGAGAGGTAAGGGAAGCATTTCTCGAACATCAGGCCTAATCAGTTGTAAATCATGTGTAAAGTACATTCCATTCATAAACCAGGGAGGACGGGTGCTGAATGGAATGGGTGTTAGGCCTAGTCCTAATTTAGGCATACACAGTTTAAAATAATGAACTTAGTTCTGGATTCCCTGCAGTTATCTTAAGTGGACATCCTCCCCAATAACTCAATGGATTTGCGTTGGACTTCAGTGACCCGGGCTTACAACATCAACACACACACACACACACACACACACACACACACACACACACACACACACACACACACACACACACACAAAAAAGGCTACTCCAAGATTCCTTTAGGAGTGCAAGAGTCGTTCCTCTGAGGTCTCGAGTCCCCAATCGAAAAATAAAATTCGACATATAGCGCATAGCTCATTAACTCTTACCTATTGTTGTAGATTCAGCTTCTCCGAAGAAAACGTTCCAAGTACCACGGGCTATGGTGAGCCCGTAGTGGACTTACCTGGCACAAGAGTGGGGCTGTAACAAGTTCAAGTACGTTTATTGAGACAATAAAACACATCTTAAAGGATATTTCTATTATACTATTTATCGAGAAATTTATTTATTTCTATTTATATAGAAATATAGAATTTTTTTCTGCCCTCTGTAACTGCTGCGACAGGAAGTCTTACCACACTCGTCATGGAATTTATATGATTTTGAGTGGATGTCGGCGGCGTTGGTGAGGTGGTTGGTGTGGGTCAGTATGGTGGGGGCACTTGGCATGTCTAGTCACGTCAGCCCCAACCCACGACAGCCGCTCACCTTCACCGTCACCCCTCTTGCCATCCCCCGAACGAGCGCTTGCAGTACTAATGTAGTGATGACGCCGGTGCTTGGCTGGGGTGAGCGAGGGATGGCAACTGGTGGGGGGGAGGAACAGTGATGAGGTGTAGCGAAGAGTGGGTGGGCCAAGGAGGGTGGAGGAGGGGTAGTTAAGATTCAGCACTAGTTGCCAGTGTGTCTTGAGGGATAGCATGAGATTAAATCTTGGAGGTTCTGATAGATAAATAAGGAGGAGACTTTACCTCTCCTCTACCGAAGGAGACTTTACGGTGACGTGATGCGGGTGACTAAACAGCCACACCTAACGACCCCAGCGGGTGTAACAGTTGTACAGTGCTGCTACAACTGGCCTTATTGTAGTAATCGATTGGAAAAAGAAGAGAAGTCAAATATAGCGTTTAGTATTGGCCGAATACCTTAAAACATTATTGCTGCCTCCGGGATGTATTCTCCAGAGTATGTGAGTTTGCGAGAGCTAAGAGACCGTGCCGCCCAGCAAGAGCTAAGAGACCGTGCCGCCCAGCAAGAGCTAAGAGACCGTGCCGCCCGGCAAGAGCTAAGAGACCGTGCCGCCCAGCAAGAGCTAAGAGACCGTGCCGCCCAGGCACGGTCTCTTAGCTCAGGCGAAAACTAGAGACCGTGCCGCCCAGGCGAGAACTAGAGACCGTGCCACCCAGCAAGAGCTAAGAGACCGTGCCGCCCAGGCGAGAACTAGAGACCGTGCCACCCAGCAAGAGCTAAGAGACCGTGTCGCCCGGCAAGAGCTAAGAGACCGTGCCGCCCAGGCGAGAACTAGAGACCGTGCCACCCCAGTTTAATAACAGAGAACAGTCCGAGAAGTGCTTATTATCTTCAGTGTGTGTTGGCTTGTATGTTTTATTATGGCATGTTGTGATGTAACATGAAGTGTCAACAATTATCGCGGAGCAGCGACACGCATGAAGGGATCCCACATGTAATCTTTTGCTGCGTTTTGAATAAAATAAATAGAAGACAACATAAAACTCAGACAATAGCTACAATATGTACTATCGTAAACCGTGAACCTTGACCTCCAGGCGGCACAGGTGTCGAGCCAAACACATGCCACCAACTAAGCACATGCCAGCACACGTGCTTACACGAAACATTTGACAATATACCTTGGGTGCTGTGAGCACTTCCTGCCCAGCCTCCAGACTTAACGCCTAGATCGAGCTACCGACGGTTGAGAGGCGGGACCAAAGAGCCAAAGCTCAACCCCCGCAAGCACAACTAGGTAAGTACCTATTGGTACTTGTTTCCCACACACACACACAAGTGCAGTCGCTAAAACCCGACTGAGTTGTGACCATTCTACAGAACAATAATTTGGGTTTCTAGTATACCTGGGAGCCGGTCGGCCGAGCGGACAGCACGCTGTACTTGTGATCCGGTGGTTCTGGGTTCGATCCCAGGCGCCGGCGAGAAACAATGGGCAGAATTTCTTTCACCCTGTGCCCCTGTTACCTAGCAGTAAAATAGGTACCTGGGAGTTAGTCAGCTGTAACGGGCTGCTTCCTGGGGGTGGAGGCCTGGTCGAGGACCGGGCCGCGGGGACACTAAAAAAAAAAGCCCCGAAATCATCTCAAGATAACCTCAAGATATACCTATTCCTATGCCGAGGACTAAGTTCATAAACATGTATAGCTTACACGAACACCATATATACTAGCCCCTTCCTGATTCCCCCCCCCCACCCCCCGTCTTACACCCTCACACATAGTAGAGTTGTGGATATAACGAGATGAATCTGCGGACGTTGGTTAAAGGAAGGCTGATGCTTTGTTGTATTATGTACCGTGGAGC